ACTTAATAATTATAAGATCTTTATAGTTATTAAATAACTTAATAATTAATAAATTATACTACTTAAGTAAGTATTTATATATAAATTTAATATAGATAGATATCTAGCTAAGTTTAAGGTTTATATTTATATTTATAAAGATCTATAATTATTTAACTCTAAAGAAATATAAGTAATAATATTAACAGCATACACCTTTTAAACCTTAATAATAATTATTAATATATTTAACCTAAAAATAAAATAATATAATATTATTAATATATTTTTAAATACTATCCTTAATAAAGAGGTATATATTAAATTCCCTTAAGAATTTAAATAATATAATAAAGCTTTATAATTAATATAAGCTCTTTATAGTCTATATAGATTATTAAAACTATAGTAGAAAGACTTATTTAATATTTTACTTATTTTTAAAATAAAGCCTTATAAGGATCTCTACCTATATATAGATAATATATTAAGCCTAATAATATATATTAATAACTTTATTCTTATATACTATAAATAAGATAAAGCCTAAATAATATAGTTCTCTAATACCTTAATAAGTATTTATTAGATATATAAGATAGAACTAGAATAGTTCTTAAATATATAGATTTAATAAGATTAAAAAGAAGGGAAACTATAGCTATCTTAAGATGTCTATATTATATTTATTACTACTAAATATAGACTAATAAATTATAAGTCACTAAATATACTAGTAATAATTAAGAAGCTAGTCTATAATAATATAGAGATTAATAATAAATAGACTTATTATTATTAATAATTAATAAGATCTACCCTATATACTATAATTATTATAAGACTAGATATATTATAAATTATATATAATTTAAGTTAATTCCTAAAGAATCCCTCTTAGAAGTATATTAAAGCTATAGAATATACTATTTAGTATCTATATAGCACCTAATTCCTTACTATTTAATATACTAGACTATAATAAATACCTAGGGATACTATTAAGATCCTTAATATCTTTATATATATAAGTAATATTATATATAGAGATAATTAAGATTATAAGAGTATTAAAGAGTATCTCTATACCCTATATAAAGGAGTAATTAATTAGTAATCTAAAAAGTAGAAAATAGTGATAATATTAATAATAAAGATAGAGCTTATAGTTATATTATATACTAATAAGGACCTCTTCTAGTAAAAATATCTATTTAATAGTATTAAATTTAATTCTAAGTATAAGCTTATAATCTTATATAATAATTAATAAATAGTTAACCTTTTAATTAAAGATAATCTACTCTTATAGATATAGCTTAGGCATATTAATATTTATTAATATTAACTTTATTAAGAAGTATAAGGTAGAAAACTAAAGATTATCTAGATATTAATAGCCTAAATATCTATAGATAGCTTTATTAAGGCTCTTAATAACTTAAATTATTAAAGATTTATTAAGATATTAGGCATAATTAACCTTATAAAGGACTATAATATTAATAATTTAATTAATACTAAAGAGGTATATTAACTATAATAAATATATAAATACTAATTATTAGATATATAGCTTCTCTTTATATTATTAACTTAACTATTTATTGACTATTTCCTATTAATATTCTTATTATTTATATATTATTAGGGCCTAACCTTACTACGCACTTATATATTATAGACAATATTTATCCCTAAAAGTTATCTAGTTAGTTAGTTTAATATTATCTTATTATTGGCTCCATATAGGGAGAATCCTTACATCATTTAGCTGAAATTAGCTTAGCTTTATGGTATATCTCTATTAGTGCTAGATATATTTATGACTACTTAATTATCCCCTTTATGGTATTATTATTGGCTATAATAGTTAGGAGATTAGTCTATATAGACTAAAATATATAGCTTAAAATATAAGAGATCCCTATCTTTAACTATTTATATTTCTTTTACTTATAGTAATACTTTTTATTAACTTTAGTATATATAATTAATTAGTATCCCTCTAGGTCCCTAGGTAATTATATCTCTTTATTATAGTCTATAATATCTAGAGCTATTAGCAGCTCTAGTTCTATATTATTATCTAAATTAATATAATCCTAGATATTATATAAATCTATAATAATTTATAGGGCTTTATACTAAAGATACTAGTCTATACTATTCCTTAATAAGACTAATATCTTTATATTATTTAATATCTTATTTAGAATACTTATTATCTTTAGCTTATTAGCAGTATATTAGTAGTCTATATATATAGTATAGGTTTATAAATATTATTTTAGCTTAGTAGTATTATTAATATAGTGGTTCTATATCTTTAGTAAGTCTTTAAAGCTTATAGATAAATATAATAATAATTAAGAGTTAATTAGGCTTATAACTTTAATAAATCCTATATATATTTAGGGCTAATAATATTATATTTCTATATAATTTATATACTACCCAGCATATCTAATGTTAGTCAGGCCAGATATATTAAGTAAATAAAAAATTAGAGTGTAACACTAACTATATTAGGCTTAGCTAGTCAGGTGATGGTGTAAATATACGCGAATCATCCTGATTGGCAGCCTCAAGGTCATCCTTTCCTGCAACAATTATTAATACTAAATTATTAACCATATTGTTACTAAACCCCTTGGGCCACTACATATTCACACATTGTAGTTGGAGTGAGGGTATATACATGGCCCCTCAACTATCCCTTCAACAGAATATGATGACCGCGGTCGTTGCTGCTGGTATAAACACTGTACCTAATCTGCGTGCTGTTCAGCTGCGGTAGGTTGGTCACCCAGGTCACCCTCAAGGAAGGCCCGACATACTCGTTCCATAGGCTGTTCCATAGGCTCCTGATGACTAATCCAATGTTCTTGGCTCTTCCTCGGGTTCGGAGATTTTGCCAAGCTGAATAAGAGTGGGGTTGGCAATATAAAGATTTCTCGACGCTTTAGGAAGTTCTAGCAGAACTTTACTTCTGAAACTGAAACCATCTGTTTTAAGCTGGCCTTGAGAATTCTTAGCATGTTTCTTCCTCCTCCAGGTTACTCCAATAGTACCTGTTTAGATAAACAAATATCTCTTTAAAATGTATATCTTTCAACCGGAAATTTATGATCACAGCATATCTGCGTGATTTAAATATTCTGGACCTATCAAGGATCTAACTCAACATCCTAGAAAGTAGGGCATAATTAATAACTCTAGGTAAGAGAAAAGGACCACTATCAATTCTAAGAGTAAATGCTTCAAATTGTATAACTAGTTGTATAGGGGATCTAGTACTCTACCTCATTGAGCAGCAGCCAGTAACTGACTATCAGCTACTTATGGCTATTGAATAGACTCCCCCATGAGAAATTTAACTTAATACAGACTTCTATCCTTCCATTCCCCTCATTCTCCCCTCTCTATGCTTCTCTCCTAGCATATCAATCACTCCTTCGACCAGCAGTCAGAGTCACCGGTAGCACCGTGCTTCTGGCACAGCTGTCTGAAACGGCAGTTGTTGTAGTCCAGGACCACAGGTCCCGCCTCGCCGACGGCATAGGATCTGGCGGCGCAGAAGTGGCGGCCATCATTGAAGGTGTCCAGGTTTCCAGCATAGTCACCGCAAGTCGCCTTAGTAGCTGCTTCGTTGAAGCTACCGTCTGTGTTGGTACAGAGACAGAAGTCGTATGCGGCGCAAGCCCAGCCAAGAGCCGGGAAAAGGGTAACGAGGGCGGCGACGACCTAGCAGCAAGTATTAAGCATATATTGAAATAACATCAGTATTCCTACTTTAGCAGCTTACCTGGAACTTCATCTTGATGGGATTGGAAGTTTTCTTGTGGGTGTTAGAAGGTTGATAGAGAAGTGTTGGATTGTTGATAGATGCTTTCCTTTCTGTGGAAGAGGAACCGCTTTTTATAAGAAGAAGTCGTTAGAGCCTATGCTACCAAATGCGTATCTTTCTCGCCAAGAATCAAGATAAAACGACCAACTTGAATTGATTGGGTTGTCTCGGATCCTCTATTACCAGGGTTGGCCTCTGAGGTTCAATCTAGCCTTGCCATAAATGCCTCACAATATGTTTTCTAAGACATCATCTTTGATGTGTCATGTCTCAACCTGTATACGAGCAAACGCTCTTCTTCTCACTAAGCCTGCTATGTCCTTTACATTTGCATTAGAAGCCCTCAGCTCCTCGTTTGATTTTCACCAAGAAATCAGAGCCGGGATTGGTAGCTACAATCTCAATTATAGAAGCAGATGAGGTCCTAGGGCTAGGCCATCGGAGTATGCTGAATCCTGAGGCAGTGGCTCTTTTCCATGAGCTTACCAAGAATAGTTGAATTCCTCAATAGGTACCTTGATTACTGTCTCAGCTCCGCAATTAGGTAACCTGGTTTGAGATTAGGTTAAAGTTTCCCCCAGCCCACCTAAAAATTAGACTTGTTAGCCTGCCTAAATGGGTTAGGTTTCAGTCCTATTCTGTATAATTGATCACCTGAGCCCACCCCATGCAACATTTTGTTTGCCTAGGGATTGGTGGAATACCTACCCATGAGTACCTTGATAAACAATATTCTCACCTTACTAAAAATTCAGTGGGCTCGGGTTTAAGGTTTCCCCTAAACAGGCAACAATTTTTTATATTTTGAATACTCTATTCCGCCTCAATTTAAGCTTAACTAGATAACCCATATATATATGAAATCATAGCATTATCGTAATTTGAAAACCCATGGGTTAAGCTAAAACCTACAGCTCAGATGAAACCTAGGCTAATCCACACAGCATACCTAAAGCATCAATCCAAAGTTGCCCAGCTTGCCTGGCTTGACAAGTCTCATCCTCTGAGAAGACCAGATAAATATATATATATATATATATATTCAAGTCTGAGGTAAGGTGAATAGATTAATTGTTAAGCTGCCTACAAATTAGAGTAGGGTTGGCATCCATCTAACGTCCATTTTGTCTGACCAATCCGCTGGACTAGAATCGTGCCACGTGCCAGGATAGATGGTAATTGGCCAATCGGATCCAATCTGTAAATTGGAATATACCTAGTAGTTAATCTACACCTATACTACTTAATTTGGTAGGGCCAAGCCTGGGCAAGATGGATAAAGGCCTAATGAGGTATATACTTAGTCCTAATCGGATGATTCTAGTATTAATCTAGAAAATTAGGATGGATGGTTTTCCCCACTTCGAACCTACAGATGCCAAGCATAGGCAGCGTTCGGATAGCTATGCAGTATACTCTGGACCAGCACGTGCTTAGGATAGGGAGAATATAATTGGTTGGACCCTGTGGGTAGACATGAAATTATCCTAGCATTTGCAGATGCCAAGATAATGGATGAAGGGGGGTAAGAACATTGGCTGCCAATACTACAAAGTACTTAGTACTCACCTAAATGGTGCTGAATTAGGCTGCAAAACATGAGCAAAGATGTAGCCAGTACAAGTCAATCCCATTAGGGTTTTGTTGGTGTATGGTTTCTATTCTCTTTTTGTAGAAAGAGAAGATTGATTTCTTCTTCTTGGACAGTTTTTCCAAAGGGACTCGATACCTGTGCCGAGCCTCTGATACAGGACCCGAAAACTGAGCTATAAACCCAGCTGGGTTTTCTCAATCACTTGACATTGCTGTAATTACCAATCTGCAGGCCCAGGGCCTGCGACATACTGCTATGTACATAAATAGCATAATAAGCAATATGACAGAAAACATCATTGACGTTGATCACATCAGCAACAGAACGATGGTTTATGGCCTTTGCCCATAGATAAAATACACCTTTCCATACTGGTGCACACTCAAATCGTACAACTCCTTGCGCACCTTCGCCGTTAGCACAGTAACCTCTTCCTTGGACCATCCCAAGATTGTGGTAAGAAGACCAGGAAGATAAGAGGGTAGAGCCTGGCTCTGTTGAGATTGCATAAACTGTCCAATCTTCTTCTGTTTTGGATCATTTGACCATGGGCTAAATGGGACCTTCACCATCTTGGGTGTAACTTTGATGAACCCTGCCAGCTCAAATGCCTTGGACCATGTTTCTTCAATGTCCTGCATAGGCTTGCCGAACTTCTCGCCTGCCTCCTTAATAAGCTCACACATCTGGATTGTAAATGGTCCACGTTCTTCTAAAGAGTTGTCATCTGAAAAGACATTAAGAGTGAATGCCTGTAGCTCAAAGTATCCGCCAGGGTTGAGGTTATCAAACGCCTGTTTGGCAAGTCGGTTGATATCTTTAATTGACCCAACAAGCTCGCGACCATGAATATAGTCAAAGGGGCGATTGTATTCCCAATTTGACTCAAAGTCATCAACCTCGAAGATACAATTGGAGGGGACCCTGAAGATTTTATGTTAGTGAGTCTGTTCTATTGATACATCATTGTTCTGACTGACCACTTGGGCTGAATTGGGCTCAAGTCGTTTCCGATCACCTCTGCGGCAGGATGCTCACTGAATCGATTAGTATATATACAACTCTCAATTCAAGGATAAGAGGAATATACTCAGCAAAATCTATGGCCCAAATTCCCGTTCCGGTGCCGATGTCGAGGACGCGACGGGCTGTATCGCCGACGGGGGCGACGTACAGCTCGCCGCCCAAGATCATGTTGTAGATGTGGTGCAGAAAATCCATACGATCCTGCTCATCATCATCGTTGGGCTAGAAGATTAGCCTGGTTTTGATATCAGGCACTAGTTTATATGGGAAATTAAAGCTCACAAAGACGTATTCGCCCTTGCGGTAGCTCTGGTACCGGCGGCCGTTTTCATATCTAGACGATTTGTAACATTGAACTGACAAGTGGATTATGAAACTCACTCATAATCCAGCACACTTGACCGGAGTGATGTGTAGTCTGTTCCAGTTGAACTCAATGATGCGTTGTCTCCATCGTCCTGGATACAGTTAGATAACGAATGACCCCAGGGCATGACACGTGGACACAGGGAGGAATTACATGTGCTACGGGCTCTGAGTTGCTGGTAGAAGCCATTTCCAACCAGTGTTAATAGTTGGCAGTCCTGAAGAAAGAGAACAAAAAAGTGGAGGGACTGCGAGGTAGGAAAGACACTTAAAGAGGAGCAGGGAACGGCTTACTTATGACTTTCCATCCTATAAGTAACTAATCAGCTAGTTTAGTGCGTTTGGCCGTTGACAAACGTACTAGTCATACCCTGAAGGATGATCCCTGTTGCAGGTCGTCTCCTGATTGGGATACGAGTCATGACATGCAGTCGTAAGGGCTCCATACTCCTCTGTACACCGGCTGATGCCACGCACGTTTGTCCAATGTGTATGTTGCATGGATTTATTTCCCTTGTCTAATGCGGTCGGATGCTTGGTCTAGCTTGAGAATATGTAGTATTGCTAATGTACACTAGCACTAGACAGTTAATACCTAGGTATGTAGTAAGTAACTATTCTGGATAAACATAACTTACAATTATGAGACGAATGTTGTTGCCTCTAGCTGTTTAAGAATAATTGGCCTGCCTGGTGCAAATTGACTACGGGTTGAGAGGCGCAGGGATTGTTTTTAAATGGCACAAGAAGAAAGATACGAAGTAAACCATCCCCGCGTCTACTGCTACGTAGCAGCCGGTGGGGCTGAGCCTGTCGCGACGGATCCTACGGAGATGGAGTAATGATTGCGGGGGGAATTTTTGTTTTGCTGTTATATACCTATCCCTAGAATAAGCAGAGTAGAAATTCCTCTGTAATCAAGGCTATAAACTTGTAAAAAAGTTAGCCTTTAACTATCTGATCCATGTACGGCGGACTATAGGTTGGACCCCGCCAAATCATTTTTTTTTTCTGGTTACAAAACTGGTCACTTGGCATCTATGAGAAAAATGGGGGTCACTACGGAGTATATAATTATATAGTAGTATACTGACTGACTGGACTAGAAAAGTGCGCGAAAGATACTAATTTAGAATTAGCATTATTGGTATAACTGATAGGAGTATACGGAGTACTCTCCACCGAGGCAATACTAGCGTTCAAGGTTTACACTGTGAATACTAGATAAATAGCCTTACTTTAGAAGAATGAGAGCAAGCATTAGTTAGCGACAGCTAATTCATCACCTTCCAATATAAATTCTGCTCCAATGCTAGACTAAAGGCTTAATTTAATAGAATAGGTATAGCACCACAAATGGCCGGAGTCATTTCCTAACTTTATTTTATATCTTGAATTTAATGATATGAAATGTTTAATTGTGAGCCCACTCCCTGTGCTGTTGTGGAACGTGAGAATGCGGAGGCGTCCAAGGCGTTGTGGGAGTCAATATTGGAAATGTCAACGTGGCAGGCGTCGACGCGTCATTGGAGGCATGGGCTGAGTTGGCGCATCCATCAAGCTATGGAGTATGCTACCTAGGTTGACTCCTTGCTTAGCAATGCAGTAGCACTGGAATACAATGCACCTGGCAATGATATTTCAAAAAACTCTGTGTTGCTTTTAGTGAGGTAACAACATAATTTATTAGATAAAACAGTAGAGGTGGAATTAAGAATAACTATTCACTATCTATCACCCTAGCTTATGTTATCACAAAAACATGGAGGGTAAAATATGATCAAAATCAAGAATGATCATTATGACTTATTTTGAAGGCAACATCTAAATATATAGCATTAACTAATTAAGTAGAAGTAAAGTAACATTTCTCCATTCTAAGAATGGATACAGATATAGCACTAGCTAGATAGGCCCGGATGACGGCAGGGACTATGGAGTTTTCAAGGCTTTGCAACACGCCCCGGGAAATGAAGACATTGACCATTGCCCGATTATCGCGTGAGTAGGCATCGCAGAAGGCGCTGTCAAGATAATAGATACCTTTTCGGCGCCATGCGTGTAGCGTAGTTGATATCGATCTCACTATACCTAAGAAGGCGTTGGATTAGAGCGATAGGAGCGTATTTAATGGCAAGCTGGAGGTGGCACCCTGATGGACGCGCTAATTTAGAATCAAGACGCTCATATACAGCGTCATTCTGGTTCTGCTGGATGTACTAGACCAGTGCTTGGTCGCCATATTTCCAGTCTGATTTGTAGAGTCTGTCATGGAGTAGAACCCTAGCCGGGGATTTAATCTGGCTCCCATATAGTATATTCAAGGGTATTGATTAATTAAGAGTGTTTATAGTATGAATGGTGCAATTAGGAATACTAAGTCATGACCAATTTGTTGGCCAGTCTCTTCATAATATAAGCCTAATCATGGTAAGACTGAAACAGCCTTGTCCAGCCTTTAGTTTTGTTATCTTCACCAATTGCATACCCAGCAAGAGGCAGACATGCAAAATCACAAAAGAAGGAAGCCCCTCTTAGGAGATATATTACTAGACCATGCTTGATTATATTGATACTCTCTTTTTTTATAGAGAAACAGTCTCAGGCATCTAGCTGACACATCATGTCTAGCTCCACCCTTCTCGCAATGCCTCTATCCGCGTTTGCCAACAAGCCGTACAAGGTATATCTAGAGCGAATCTCCATATATCTATTGGAGGTATCATAAAGAGATATGACAATAGGTTCTCATCCAGATGAAGGGTGTAAAATAGCCAAAATATCTGAGTCAATAATGAGCGGACATAGTCTAGTCACCAATATAACTAGAACTACATGAGTGAAAGTCATGTGTATCTATCCACTATAGCTATCACCTGGTGAGAATGACTCCCTGAATGAATTCTTTAGCGCCTCCTCATATCAACTAGAGCTGCAGTAATACTTCCCTTGAGTCTATTTACTGTTCTCCAGGTGGCAGTGAAGAAATTTTAGGTCATAAATATCCTATATAGAATGGATTAGCAAAAGAATTGACATGGCGAAATAGGAGACAAGTATATTTCATTATTATCAGATATGAAAGATCCATTTACCTTTTGTTTCAGAGTGACGTAAGTTTGCAATCTCACAGTGGATTGAACATGTTGGGAAGGTCAAAATCTTCCCATGATCCAGAGCGTCTCTCCAAGGCCTCAGCGTAGCGGGGGATCCCCCCATTGAAAAAGATCAGGTCTCCGTCGCTGTTGCACCGACTCGTGGTGGGTTTGTGGCACTTATTAAAGGCCTGCACTTTGCTGTTCCACTCTTCGATTGCCTCCTCGGTTGGACGGATTGTCTCGACTCCATCTCTCTGAGCATTGACGAGGAGATCCGCAATCCAATTGACTTGGAGATCGATGCATGTTGGGAGGTTGGATTGCTCACTTGGAGCTTGGGGCCCATTGATGATGAACATGTTGGGCAGTTCACGGACCATGATTCCGAAAAGAGTCCGCAGTCTCTGATTCCATATGTCTTTGAGCAAGATTCCTTCCTCGCTACGGATCCCAAGGGAGGTGATGTTAACCACTGCATTTGTAAATCCAATGGCGGGTATAACGATATCATGATGATTGTATGTGCCATCAGCCAACATGATTCCGTCGACAGTAAACCTGGCGATAGGGTTTGTTTCAATATCAACAACATCAACACTGTCTTGGTTAAACTGTTCAAAAAACCCAAACTCCAGGGCCGGCCTCTTTGCTGCAAAGGGATACAGGGGCTTCAAGGGTGCCAGGAGATCACGTTTGCGAGGATTATGGATCTTTTCCCGGGTCCTCTTGGCCCAGTACTCGTGCGCCAACCGGTTAGCAGTAGGGTTTGTGGTGAGATCTCTATACCCGCAAAGCCAGAAATCCAGGCTTCCCGCGTCGTACAGAGACCGGTAAAGTGCTTCTCGCTCCTTAGGGGAGTCGTCCAGGGTGTCTTTGTTCTGGTAGCTGCACGCAGCCACGCCCGTCAATGTCTCATAGCGAGAAGCTAGTAGTTGCTGATAGGCCTCTATAGAGAGCCCTTTTGACTCTTTCTTGTAGCCTACTGCAGCAGGCAGTAGGGGAAGGGCAGTGTTGTAAGACCGTTGATAGAGGGTCAAGGACTTGGCCTTTGACCCCCAGGTCTGCACGATTTGAACGCCGGTACACCCAGTCCCGATGACGGCCACGTCTTTTCCTTCGGGTGATACCTCGTTCATGGGCCATTCACTTGGGTGATAGATATCCCCCTCGAATGACGCAAGGTCGGTATCCAGGGACCGTGATCGGCTGCAGGTGATACCAACAGCAGAAACCAGATATTTACTCTGCACCACGGTTCTGTCCGCACACACAGTAATCCAATTCTGACTACTGGTGTCGAATTGCGCTCCAATGACCTCCGTGTTGAACAAGACGTGGTCCCGGATGGAGGTCTGATCATCACAGTGGTCGAGATAGCGCCGTATCTCTTCATGGTCTGGGTGCTTGCAGGACCAGTTCCAGGTCTTCCAGCATTCAGGCATGTCCAGCAGATAGGATGGAATGCCCGTGTCAATCCGCGCGCCAGGGTACCGGTTGCGCTGCCAGACACCACCGATATCGGCTTCTTTCTCCAACACCTGGCAGCGCAGACCAATTCGCTGTAGATGGTAGAGTGCAGCAATACCGCCCAGGCCAGCGCCGATGATGACCACGTCACACTTGATGAGGGAGTCTTTGCTTGGGGCATCCGTTGCGGTGTCGGGCAGGGAAACAATCGCTGGCGCCATTTTGCTTGGTGAATCGATTTGATTGGAATCTAAATTGGAATTCTTGAGTCCGTTGCTTTTTGTCTAGCAAGAGTATTTCCAGAGGACCGGATTTATACCTGTCATATCACTTCCATGACATTCCACGGTGAGCTTTTTGATGATTCCATCAAGTGTTACAATGCATACTCGCCTCCGTATGAGCCCCCTACTATGTTATGTCATGAGACAGTCCCAACCAACTTCAGCGCACCCGGTACCGGATACCTAGGTACTTCTAACCAGTCATCGCCTGCGCGTGGAGCTTGTGCTTCGCCCAGCGGTCTGGGGTGAGAATACGGTTTTAGGGTTCGGGCCGGACTTGGGGGTGTGATGCAGCTACTTTACTAGCGATCGATCGATCACAACAGAAGAATATGTAAGAATCATATCATAGATCGATCGAACACAGAAACAGAATACGTCAGAATCATATCATAGATCATGCAAAATATGAGGTACGTCGCCACTACTGAATTTTGAGGTGATACAGTGCTGTATTGTTTTAGAAGGGTTCTGATGTATATTGAAATCTTCAAATTCCATGCAAAATCATGTATGATTTCATAGTAAGTACCCCAGGAATGAATCACGGGGTAAAAAAAGACTCGCTCAAGGAGCTTATAGAGAAATAGATTAAGAATGTGCCATCCTGTTAAATATATCCATTAATTAAGCGCCCAGCAGCGCGCTTTTAAGATGAATGCTTAGATCTTGGATCATAGTATAATGCATCATATCCTTTCTAATATGTGATTAATACAGTTTGAAATACATGTAAAATATCTCAGCCAGTATATATGATATCATATTACTGTATTTTTACTCCAGGAAGTCCTTGCATGCAAGTCGCCTACCATCTGCATTATATGTCAAGTCTGATGAAGAACCAATGAGGGTCCTGACTACTACACCCTCATGAACTGTTGCATGAATAGTTCTACCGAGTCTTACGAATCCAAGTGTCACATCATTGTGACTGGTCATATTAAATGTCTCACGGCCATTCTTCCAGGTGCTGATGTCGATGATGTTGTTGGTAGTTGTGCTGTCTTCCCTTGGGTCTGTTGATACATAAGAACAGTACTTCCATCCTAACCAACTCGACTGTCCATCTGCTTTCTGATATCAAAATCTACATAACTTCCATCAACATGTTGACAGCCAAGTTCTCCCAACCCTTTGTTCAATGCCTTTTTGGATGTCAATATCATGGGGCATCTCCTACTGAGCAAAGGGCAACCATCATAAATTTCTTCCAAGCTCTCCTGCAGAGCTCTGCTGCCCATGTGGAGATCCTCGAGTCTGAAGATGGTACGAGGCCTGGCTTTATGAGCAAGCTTTTCCTCGCATACTGGCGACAGGAAACCGACTACCAAAGCTGGTGGAGCAGCGAGCCCGTCACGCAGTTTTGGCACTCGCTGCCCGACGACGCTGGATTCTGGCGTGAGAAATTGACGTTGAGGCCCTCGAGGGTCCTTTACGAGACAAACAAGCATATACCGACAGGCTTTGCAAATGTTGCACAGATAAAGCCCTTGGTGGAAAAGACTGGCTACTGGGGTTCTTACCGTGACCGCATCGAAGATTCCACACCGGAAGATAAGCTCGAAAGCAAGATACAGCTTGCAGCACCTCCATCCTCAGACGATGAAATCCGGCTTGGTCGCACGACCATCAAACATTTTCCAGACAATATTTGCTTCGTTGTCGAGGGACAGGACCGAGGCTCGATGGAGCATGACGAAAAGCATTACTGGACTGAGAACTTTCAGGATATTTCGGAAGAATGGATCCTCACGGCTATTCATGGAGGTCATGAGGATGGAATCATATCAGCCCGTCTCTGCCAAGGTACCGACAGCGGCCTGTTCAAGCCGGAAACCGACAAGACCAATGCGCTGTCGTACAACCGTACAGTCCAGGTTTTTTATTTCACAGACATGTCTTGGATGGAGCGTATCGGAAGGAAGTACAAATCACACGTTACTCTGCGCCGCAGGTTCATGGAAGCATATGGACCAGGCGGCGTGATGGAGAACGGGAACATTCTCCTGTGGGTTGATTTGGGGATTTTGAAAGGTCAGGACATGGAGGCAGAGTATATTGGATGCTATGATGATACTGGGTTTCTTGCGTATAGGGAGCGCCCAGGGTTCACAGTCGAAGCCTGCCTTTAGCATTGCATGAGAAGGGCGGGATGAGAGATATACGGTCACCATCTGTATTCTATTTCAACATGGCATTTTCAAGAAGAATTTTACTACATAAGGTCTAATGAGTATATCTAGTACCAGTGTCTTCCATTGGTTTCTATGAGCTATCATGGATATACAGGTCTATTTATATTATTAAATAAATTATTATGGGTATAGAGATTTTCTGCTGCAGTAAATATATACCTACTAGTCAAGAACAGGCAGTGAATTATTTATTAATGGGTATAAAAAGGAAGACTGCAGCATAGATTTAATATAGCTATAAAACAAAAGATACTCTAGATTCAAATTATATTTCATTCTAGTATATTTATATATAATCACTTAAAATAGTATATATAGACTCAGTGAGAGAAATCTACTACATATCTTTTGTCTCTTGATAATTCTTAATGGCTGTCGGAATAATCTTCTCAATAGAGGAGCTAGAGACTCTATTCCCAGTCTATTTCTATGTTGCTCGCGTAGGCCTCCGTGGTCTACAAGACTGTACTTGCACTTTATTGGTGGTATCTTCTTCAGCCAAAGGGTCCTGCATAAACTAAAAAGAGAATTCTTCTTCAATACCAAGGTCGAGATATTCAAGGTGATTGGTGTCAGACGGGCGAATACTAGAGTCGTCTAGCTGAGTCCCACCGCCAAGTTGGTGGCCAGGGCCATTTGCTATCTCTTGCTGATTGCTGACTTGGTTTGACGCCCGAGAAATCCGAATGGCTGGCAAAACAAACTCCCTTGGTTGGGAAATTGCTCTTCTATCTTTAACTTGGCTTTGCGCTTGAGACTGCCTAATACCAGGAAATTAGACCCTGGAGACATCCTCTGTACCAAGATTTGCATACATGTCGGGTTTACGAGATAGGGGTTTGGTCCCCAGTGCTTCATTGCTAAATAGTCACCCATGCGGACTACGGCTGGGGCTGTCAGCGGCACCAGATCCTGGCCATCGGCGAGCATAAAGACATCTTCCTCGTCGAAGTACAGGGCGACCCGTTGACAGGGACCAGCCCAGGCCCAGCTCACTGCTGGATCCAGATTCGTGCGACAGGTTTATCTCAGGTTGCCAGTTGGAGCGGGCGGGTGTAATGTCTAAGGGTTGACCTTTAACTGCTCGCCGATCACGTCTTGCTGTGAATATTACTATGGATTTCGCCGCGGAAGGCGGCTCATGGTGAGAGTCATAGTGCAACCCCTTTAAAAAATGTGTGGGCAACGCTGCCACCAGATGTAAGAGGGACACCTCCCAAGGTACTAGCTAAGGATATATCACACTTACTGTTGGATTTCATTGAGGTGTGTAATTATAAATATAGTCTACTCTGTGGAAGATATGTATTAGTGGTTCTTATAAAATAAGAAGACTAGATATAATCCTTACTGAAGGGATCAATTTCACCCTTCCTGACACCCCAGCTAAAGTGTAGAGAGTTATAAAATAAATGAATTATTATATTAATCACCTATAAATATATATTGATGAGCACTTGATTGAATAGATATCATTTCAAAGGGCCACTCTACCACTAGACAAAAAAGGTGTCTAAATGTATACCAATTCAGAGTAGCAGTATTCATTATAGCTGTTATATGATTATTAGGCTACTATATGACCAACTTAAGCATAAACTTGATAGATCTATATATTCACCCCACAACTGGGCTGAGCAGGATTTCCATCCTAGCGTACACTTGGGGCATGCGTAACGTCAGGTATAGACCGTCAACCCGAGCAATTTTGCTGTTTTCGAATGGTAGGTTGCTGGCTTAATAAATGCCCTGCTGAAAACATGTGCTATATTGCTATGATCCATTCCTGTATCATCATGTCAAGACAATTGGATAGTGGACAGGGCTTCTTATGACAGACCCAAATTCAGATAACCATGGTAAAGTATGGGTTTAGAGTGCTTCATGAACATATTAAATGATAAATATCAATAGTAGAGCTTAGAAATCATTGCAAACCACGTTCTAAGTCCAGATGAAGAAATAATTTTAAAATAATAGCAGGTAATACATGAGTAATGGGGTTAGACATGGCCCTGTAAGTAATATTATGCAGTATCATAACCCATATAGAGTGCTAGCCAGTTGCTACTACTTAAAAACCCACTGATCATTCTCAAAGACCAAGGTAACATTCTTGCCCGTGATGATCTTGCCATTGACGGCAATAGTCACGCACCCCAGCCCGGCATCCTCGATACTATCCATAGTGATGAGATTAGGATATTTCTCTGGGGATATCTCGTCTGGGACCTTTGGCAGATCCGAGGCCCGCAGCAGACGGGCAACATCGATGATGCTGTACAACCCTTGCCGCAGATACGAGCTCTGGAAGGCATTGTACATTGCAATCAGCAAAATCTGTGCCATAAACCCACCTGTGTCTCGGAGATAGCCCACGATGGCTTCAGTGGTGTCCTGCGTGTGGGTGACTTGCCGGTCTCGCAGGCCGCCCAGCTGGCTGAGGGGATAGAACCCCTAGCCAGCGAATGTGCCTAGGTCCGAGTGGTCCACGGCCACGATGACGGCCGGCCTGGTGCTGCCCGCGAGCATCTCTGTGATCTCCCTCCCGACCACGCCGCGGTCGTTAGGCCCAGGAGTGCTCGGCATCACATAGCGAAGGTTGAGCTGGCTCAGCTGGGTGAGCAGTCGCTCCCATTCCGTCTGGTTGAGCAGATGTCCCCATTCTTCGCCGATTGTCTCGCGGTCAAAACTGAATGCGTGGGAGATACTCAAAATGACGATCTCGTTGTGTGAGGCCATGAACTTGTTCACTTGGCGGATGAGCTCGTCAAGCGAGGCCCCATCGCCACCGTGGTAGCAGTCGACTAAGCTAAAGTCCACCATGGTCACCAGGGATGCGACAGAGGATGGGATGTTGTCTTTCTTGATATATTGGTAGTGGCCATAAATAAACCGGTCTTGTCGGATGACTGGATGGATGTTGAACATGCGCACGCCGTACCGCAGTTAAGTGAGAATGTCCTTGGTTTGGGTACGCACCGTGGATTCGGATCCAAGCCGACAGGTTCTGCATATCTCATACAGCCCTGCATCGTGGGACTGTGGCAAGCAGATTGTATCTATAGTTCGACTCCCGATGTAGGGAAGCAGCTGGGACATCCAGTTTGCGGTCAGATCAAAGGTGCTTCCCATTTGACGCGCGAGATTAACGGTCTCCTTTGCATCAGAAGCATGTAGAATCACCATGATCTTTGACGTGTCAAAAAAAGGCTCTATGGTGTCGGTATGTTTGTTAAGAATAGCAGCCGAAAAGAGGAATAAGAGTATACTGCCTATGAAAGAATAGATGAACGACTAGAAGACTATGTATTATATACTGTATTCATCATATCTGACTAGCCAAGTGTGGACCAAGTAGCGTATCATCTTTTCTAGACTTCAGCTGGCCTCTTCTCTTTTAGAGTTCTAAAAACAGAGTCAAGAAGCTATATAGGACTGATAATTGAAGTCTACTTTAATTACCAACAATACATTCTTTAATTTTACCTATTTTTAATACCCGCGTGCCATTTCATTTTAAAATACATGTTATATTTGTCAAGACAGCTGCTATGGTCTCACACCAAGCCAGGTGCAGGAAACAGCTTTATATTGCGGCGATGAGACACTTGGCGAATTAGCACCCAGATCATCTTGGCTCATCATCCCTTCTTTACATTGTTATCAACTGCTCTAGCAGTGTCGAGCCGCCCCGTCAGCTCTGCCCTACTAAGTCGCAAAATCGACGACGCGCGGCAGTGCATGGTGTGCATGTACGTTACAGGCAGCCAGCCCTGCTTATTATGAGTGTTAAAACAGCTGAAGCTGAAGAGGGGTTGATACCGAGTATACGGAGTAGTGGATGGGCCCTCGGCACGGTTGGCTTTTCTGTTCAGCTGAGGGGCGTGTGATACGATTTGCAGTAGCCTAAGTATCTACACAGTGGATGAGTCCTCAATGGCTAGCCCTCAAGGCATTGCCCAGTGGACCGCTCGGGTGGTTTCTCCATTGGTATAAGTAAAATCAGCCGTGGCCTCTGTACTCAAGCAAACACACCCAATCAACAGAAAAGTCCCCCCTTGGCTGCATTGTCTACCATTGAACATGCCTGAATATAGAGCTCACCAGCCGCCCCACAAGGTGTGGAAGAGATGCCATATTCAGAATATGTAATCTAGAACCATGCTTTATTATTAATAATAACTATAATATATGTGGTAAGCATAGAATCAACTTCTTTCCTTAATGTATATCTTAATTAACTAAAATTGAAACAGGCATAAAAATAGTGTAAAGAACTTCACTAATCATCACTAAATCTAGGATATTTATGACATTAACTAGGGTTCTGCTAAGGTGATGCTCTAGAATAAGGAAGCATCCATACTGCCTCTACTTCTACTCAATCTATAAAGAGCAAATTCCTAGCCAGTGCATTTGAGCAGATTGAGCTTTACAAGGGGAGTGCAGCAGGAGGTAGTGATAGGATTTAGGGTTTAGCCATAAAACACAACATTCATCCAGTCTGCTCAACTCATGCAGATGTACTTTTTGGTGGACCGCGAGCAGAATAATGGAAGAGGAGAATGATTCGCTGAATAGGCGGTGGTTTCTGATCTCAATAAAGCTGTTGACGGCGGGGGTGCCTGGATAGGGTGTGTTGCCCCCGGCCACACCCTGGACATATAGGGTCATCTGCCGAGCTATCTGCCGAGCTGTGATGGCTCTCGTACAGAAGGGAAGCCGGTCTGCCAGACCGGTAAGCACGACGGAGGCCACCGATGGAGAGGAGGACGAGGCGGAGGTTAGAAACTGGACGGCATATTTATGCTTCAGATTGATTTAGGCGTTGAGGCCGGCCATCTCGCTAATCCGGGCAGCCATGTTGATGGCTTCATCAACGGCCATCTGGGCAGCGTCACGTAGGTAGGTTCCCTCCACCAGCTCAGCATAATTTTCATGTGGCGGTAGGCAGCTCCTAGTCTCACCCAGCATAGGCAGCTGCCTTTATGCTGTAATTCACATAATAGTAGTATATAGCCAAGCTACTATTCAATAATAAGAGACTAAAGGTAGACCATGAAATAACAGCAGGCTGCAGAGACATACTTTTATATGCTATATAAGTTGGTTAGATGTATAAATTAAGATCTATGGTGAAGATAGCCGACCAAAAGCACACCCCCAGCCTTGGTCATACGAGGTTTGCTTAGAGGTGTAGCTCAAGTAATCTAGCGAAAGGAAACGACATGGATTAAACCACTATTGGTTCCATTACTTAAGTAACTTGAGAGACTTCTGTCCACTGACCAGTGGCCAGTGTATATCTGCATGCCAGTGAGGTTATATTAGAAAGACATAGAAACGGCGTACTGTCCATGATTAGGATCCAAAAATATATAACTAGAACAAAATTTACAACTACTCGGCAGGACATAGAATGGAGTAACATATCATCTTTCACTAACTAAACGAATATAGAATTACTGGACATAACATAGCACAGTTAAAAAACCTAGCCTTGGTATCCAGTTCCTCAACGAGATGGTTCCTAGTGTTAAGAGTGAGAGGCTTCAGACGGCACCCTTCTCTCGTCTCCCAGCATGAGTTGATGTTGCCTTCTTGTTTCCGCCAGCAGATACAGCTGTAATTGGAGATCCTCTTCACCTGGAGTCTCCAATGGTCGACGGAGATGAGAAAAGTCTGTGATCTCCCGCCCACACTGTTCCGCCAGCTGCCCAATGTACTCCTCCGTCCTCCCCTGCTCACGGAGCCGGGCACAGAGTAACTTTATGCAGTTCTCTAGAAGAGAGAAGAAATTATGAATCCCCTCGTCATCCCAGCCTTGGGCTCGGAGCTGATCGCATCTCTCTTGCTGTAAGGGTGTGAGGTGGGCGAGGTAGGCTGCGATCGCCGCTGGCGATGGTTTCTCAGGCTGAACGCGGTCGACGGTGAGCTCTTGGCTGTCTTGGGAGGGAAGACAGACAAGTTGTCCTTCATCATTAAAGGCCCAGATGGCTGGGACTAAAGGAGCCGGTTCCATGGTGAATTTGTCTAGATGAGAGTTGGTCTAGATGAGATATAAAATGCTTGGGGAATCGACTATTAAACTCTCGCTTTAGGCAGTCATTGTGTCATGGTTACACACTTACACCACCACCTCTACTACTGTTACATTGAGATTGCTGTAGTATAAATTCAAATATCGTCTGATAGTCTAGGTACAGACTGCAATCCCACTAATATCTGACCAGTTGCAATGATTGCTTGTCCTACTGCACAAGTGCAAATGGTGACATTTGACCCATCTACACTCCCCCATGTAGGGAAAATAACACCGCTGAGCAGACCCAGCGGAGCAGTACTAGAAGATAACGATCAGCTCGAGATCAAAGCATAGACATACCTAGCTATCTCTTACACCTGAAAAGATCGCTCCTGCGCCATCTATCTTGGGTGAAACACCCTCGAATCCGGTGGAAATATCGTCAATTGTGTCAGATATTTTACACTCGTTGACTGGACAGTGTTAACAGCCATGTATGGATGAAAGTCAATTTGAGATTCACCTATGCCGGTACTGGTTGTACCGTCAACTGGCACAGCCATGGTGAGACAGGGGAGAGTAATGAGAAGCTCAAGGATGAGAGTAAAGTGCATGATGAATCTGATAATAATGATAGATCTCCAAGTCACTGCATCTCTTTGTATATATGAAGGGAAGCTGTCTTTATACTACAGCTGTCGGCTGATTCCTCCCATCAACACGGAGTAAATCGCCGTCAACCAACATGGTGCTACAACTGTCTTCTGGCTGTACTACAGAATCATAGAATAAGTATAGTCATGGCTATATACGACTGATTTCCGATGTCTATTAGGATTATAGTACTATCACGTCCGCCAAGTAATAGATTATTAGAAATATCCTAGCAAGGGTTCAGCTGGCTGTGTCAGTAAATTCCTGCCTCTGAGATATCACACATCAAAAGCCGAATAAGTTCCCCCCACATGCTCGGTCGGGATCACCGCCGCAAAAACCAGCACGGTTGAAAATGTCACCAGTGTCCTCGGCTGTAACCTCAAGAACAAGAGATATATGAACCGCATGGGGAAGCGCGGGGTATTTACGATGACTAAAGATGTTACCGGGAAGACAAAACTCCCAGAGAAATCTAACCCCTTTAGCTGATCGCTTAGTCAATCCAGGCCCGTTATGGATATCCCAAGCAGTGATATAAACTAGCCAGGTGGCTCTAATTGTAGCCTGGTTCCCCCAATCCTACTGCTACTCCACCTATAACCAAACAGCCAAAGCTGGGAAGTCCCGACTGACGGTATCCAGGCTGCCAGCGCCCAGTTATTAACCTGAATTCCCTAGGTTATCTATCCTTCGCCCGGCCTTCTTGCTAGCCTATTCTTCTCGAAGCCTGTGCGGACAGATCGTGGTCGGAGCGGAGTCTGTGGCTGATCCTGCCTGCAGCCACCACGGAACGGGCCGATGCTGAAGGATCGATTAACTCATGGCGCAACTAGCCGGTTCTAACGCCTTTCTCCGCCGTGTCTACGAATTGGCCTTCGTTATCTGCCGCTGGCTCTCGTCTCTATCGTGGTCACTACCTGCCAAGTATCGATGCTTTGCTTCTTAGACGCCCTATTCATATTAAGTAATTAGTAAGTATACTAGGAGACATATTTAGTCAACTAAATAGTATGATAAGTGAGGGTGTATAGGCTCTACACTACAGTACAGCTATGCTATGTACAGAAACTTATATTCAAGATCTAGGGCAAGGAGACAATTTCAAGTGGTTCTGACATTTGCCAAACTTTCCGCCCCCGTGCAGTCATCGTGCTTAACAAATTCCTTGGTTCTTCCTACTGGACTCTCACTTCGTTCGCGAGACCTTTGGTATGCCCTAACCAAAAACCTGTTTTGAGGCCCAGAACAGGGATGCCAAACCAACAATGACGAACCATACAGCTTTGGCGTAGTTTGATACAATTTGGCTTGTCTCAGCAGACCACCATCCAGGGGTCCCTGTGGTCGCGAGAACCTCACTAATAGGAGGCTTTTCCATGTTTGAATCTGGATGAGATAATATGAGTGAACTGTGATTGTATATAAACTCAAACTCACTAACTGTTATATATATAAATGGAATGATAGAATAAAACCTCGAGATGGATGTTAATTTAAGTTTATAGGGATGGCTTAATAGAGTTCAGTGTCAAGTAATGAGCAAGGCGTTATAAGTCTTAAAGGCCAGGGAAGGGATCTGGTGCATACGTAACTAACCGTGGCTATGCCTGGGCGAAGCTGGGGCTTTGCTATGGGACTTTATCTTATCAGTTTCAGGAAGCTTAGAGTATGATCTCGCATCCTCCTAGGCATGGTATATTTATCCTAGTTTCATGATTTCTAGCAACTGAAAGTTTGATTTTTGCTCTGTATTCAAATATACTCCTGTTTAAGATATTTTTTCCCCCAAAAAGCAACGGTTGCATACAAGATTGCCAAATTAAAGGTTGCCGCACTAGCCGCCTAGTTACAGCTAGCCCTGGATTTCTAACCAACAGGCAACGAGTCGTGCACTGGACAAATCACAGACCTAGCCCAAGACTGGGCACCAGCGTCCTACTATTGGAAATACGACAAGGCCTTTCTCCATGCTTCCATAGCCCAGATCAAGACTAAGTAGGAAAAGGTCTGAGGTATTTTTGTCATTGGCCACACAAGACCCACATAGCATTTCTCCAGGATTTTGTCATAACCCCATCTAGTCTAGGCAACTCCACTAAACCAGAGTGGGAACCCTTAGTATTTAGTGGTAGCTGTCTGCAGTATTGATAGAAATTGCTTAGTATGGACCCATGGGGCAGTCTGTAGTATGCTCTGTAGGCATAAATTATATAGGTTAATATCCTGTGTTCTCAACCTGAGCAATACTTAAAAATACGACTATGTGGCAGCTAGAAGTCATATCTCGCCTTGGTGCAAAGACATTTTAAGATTATAACTATACAGCCTGCACAGCAGAAGCCAGCACTAAAACCGATCATAGAGTAACATGTTACACAGTCTGCGGCACATCGACATGACCGGCCTCGACCTTGGCAGTTGAAGGCCGGCGACTGTCATCCTGGCCCTCTGGGAATTCAAAACGGGAGCTTTTCCAGGGTTTGACCTTCATCACGTACATCGAGTCGATCTCCTCGAGGGTGCGGCCACGGCCTTCAATGACAGCAACGTAGACGAGGCCAGCGGCAAGGAAGAGACAGCCCGCAAAGACATACCCCAGACGGAAATCGATTGCACTGGTGATAAAGGGAGTAAAGAAGGCCAGCAGGAAATTCCACAGCCAGTTAGATGCTGTAGCCAGCGACATGGCGCGCGCCCTGTACTGCGAGGGATATAGTTCAGCAATGATTGTCCAGACCATGGGCCCCCAAGTGCTAGCGAAACCCAAGATAAAGAGACAAGCAAACACGACCATGACCACCCCGGGGGTCTTGGTGGCCTCTGGGTCATTGCGATTGAGAGAAAAGTGTCCCACAGAGGCAAACACCATGAAGCAGACGAACATCCACAGGGCGCCGGCAATGAGGGAGCGGCGACGGCCATAGTTTTCAATCAGATACAGGCCTAAAAAGGTGGTGCCAAAGTTAACACCCCCCAAGATCATCTGCGTCACGTAACTGTTCTGGATGCCCGCCCCCTTGAAGACGGTGGTGCCGTAGTAGAAGAAGTAATTGGCGCCCGTGAGCTGCTGCAGGGCCTGCAGCGCCATCCCGACAGCGACACGATAGGGCATGCGCGGGGCCTGGAACAGACGGCGCCAGGTGACGGGCCCGCGCTCGACCTCCTCGCGGTATTTCTGGCGGATCTCGTGGAGCTCGATGTGCAGGGCGCGGTGGTTGCGCGGGACGCCGTACATGCGCGAGAGAGTGGTGATGGCCGACTCGACGCGGCCGTGGCGGTAGTCGAAGCGCGGGCTCTCGGGGAACAGGGAGATGCCGATGCCCAGGATGGCGGCGAACACGTACGTCAGGCCCATGGGGATGCGCCAGGAGCTGGGGTTGAGGCGGGCTTCGGTGCCAAAGTTGATACAGTTGGCGACGAAGATGCCCAGCGTGATGAACAGCTGGTATGTACTATAGACTTAAACAGCCATTCTTATTGAATGGTGGATGTATTCATACCTCACGAGAGCCCCCCGGATGTGTCGGGGCCCCGACTCAGCCTGGTACATGGGCACAAGCAGGGAGCAGCCGCCGATGCCCAGGCCGGCCACCCAGCGCCCGATGGCGACCTGGTACCATTTGCCCGAGGGGGAGGAGATCTGGACGGTGATGCCGATGCAGACCATCAGACTCCATACGCTGAGCGACCACTTGCGGCCGATGCGGTCGGCGATGGGGGCAGCCACCAGGGCGCCTATCAGGGTGCCGATGGACAGCAGGCCGACGATCAAGCCCGAGCGCACGTTGGAGAAGTGGTAAGTCCCGTCGGATCCCCGCTGGCCGTAGCGCTGCAGGAAATTGGGCATCTCTAGGAAGCCGGAGATCTGGCCCGTGTCGTAGCCGAAGAGAAAGCCGCCCATTGAGACGAAGATGCCCATCGTAAAGGAGCGCCAGGTGAGCAGCGGCACGGGGGTGTCCACCAGGGGCTCATCCTTCTCCGCATGTTCGAGAGCGGAGGGGGGGACCTCTTTTTTAGGCTTGAACCTCATGGTAGCAAAGTACAATAGTATAGTAGTGGAATACTAGAATAAAATATAATAGAATAAATAATAATAGGAACAGTGGTAAGTATTATAGTGATCATTGTCTCACTCATAGCGTCATTGATTTTATAATCAGTTCTCTAATAGAACTATAAAATGAGCCATGGTTGAGTATAATTAGTAATAGTATCATGGTACAGAGCTGACATAACTCTAATCAAGCATTATATAGTTAATGAATAGTTCATAAAATTAATCATAGTCTTCTAGCATAATTTACTATTTATTATAGAGATTATTCTTTGGCATCTAACTCTATGTATATAAGTACCGGGGCACGCCGCCCCGGACCCCAGGCTTGCTTAGGCTTTAAGGGAGTTATAAGAGCAATATAGATGGCTATCCTTTACTTAGATGCTCAATCGATGCTTAATCTGCTGGCAGCACCCCGCAAGAGCTAATATTATATAGAGTATAGGCTAATAGTAGCCACTCTGGATCTTGGCCTCCACTCATACAATGGGAATTAATTAAGGAATTAATATAGAATAGCCTAGGAATCATAAAGGAATTAGCCAAGAAACCAGCAAGGAATTAACAGGAATCAACATAAATCAATATATAATTATAGCCCTAATTTTAACCCCTGGTTTCCTATTATAATAATTATATAATAGCTATATTGACTAGACATATCCTGACATCGCTGCCACTGCTAAGGCTAAGTGATCAAGAATGTCTTGAGTCACTCGCCGGATAAATCAAGCTCAGTTGTATCAGAACTATCAAGCAAGCTTACTGCTTGACAAACTCGAGCCGACGAGCCAGCCAACAGCCGATGGTAAAGCCAGTGACTCCCCCCGCTGGATCGCGCCGCAAGACAACCGTCCAGTCGCCCGGGGGCGGCGCATCCAGCCCCCGCGGGCAGGTCAGCGCCCAGACATCCTCGCCCAGATGGCGCATGGGCGTCGCAGGCCCGCGGCCCAGATAGCCGTCAAAGGCGCCGTACAGCATTGCGCCCTCGCCAAAGCAGTGGAAGACGGAGTCGACGTCGGCGCATTCGTAGTCGCCGACGATAGATGCCAGCGCTGCATGCGAGGTGAACGACTTGTCTTCGTCCCTGAGACGCAGACGGCGGGCATCGAGATGGCGGTTCTCGATGATCCGATGGATGGACAGCCGGTCGTTGTCAATGCGGGAATGCATGGACCGCGAGCGCCCATGATGCGGATCCGTCAGCTTGATGGTCTCCGGCGCGTTGTGGGCTGCATATGCGATCTTGATCTCTCCTTCACGGGAGCCCTGGGTGACGGTGATGGCGAGCTGGGTCTCGCCATCCAGATAGACGCCTGCCCAGTCTGCACTGGCGGTGACTGTTGGCGTTGCCAGACTGTTCGTCGGGCGGTTCAGGACCGCTCGTAGGATATCGTCCACCGCAGCCGAAGCGTCCGCTTCATGGTTGAACAGCACCACAACCGACAGATGCTCGCTGGGCGCATGGCGGCGATGCAGACGGTATCCCCGGAGGGCGCCGCCGTGGCCCAGGGAATCGACCCCCTCGACATCTACATGCGCCATGCCGTAGTGGTAATGGGCGGGCGTGATGCCATCCGCGTACGTCTGGGGCTGGTAGACAGTGCGACGATACCAGCTGTCCGGGTCTGCAAAGAGCGTCTCCAGGTGTTTTTCCCAGGCGATCATGTCCGTCAGCGAAGCCACCAGGCCCGCGTCGCCCGCCCATTCCATCCGGTTGACCGCTGCCTGGTACCCGGCGACCTCGCCGCCCTCGTAGCCCACGCAGGGGGGCGGATGGTGCGCCGTGTTGGGGCAGAGGAACGCCGTCTTCATCCCCGCGGGACGCAGCACTCGCTCCGCCAGCAGCTGATCCAGAGGCTCGCCAGTCACCCGCTCGATCGCCCGCGCCACGACGTAAAAGTTGACGTTGGAATAGGAGTATTCGGTGCCCGTGTCGAACATCAACGACCGGGTGCGCGCCATCGCGCCGGGCCCGTCGCGCGCCACCAGGAATTCATCCTCGGGCTTTGCGCCCCAGAGCGTCGTCATGGCCCAGTAGTCGCGCAGGCCCGAGTGCATGCCGCACAGCGTCTCGATGGTCAGCTTGTCGCTGTTGGCGGTGTTGCGGAAGAGAGCGGGCAACAGCTCCTTCAGCTGGTCGGAGAACTGCTGGGGGATGTCCTCTCCCCGGGCAGCCATGGCGGGCGTCGGGTTGCGATACAGATCAAGCAGCAGGGCGCACACAAACTGCTTCGTGATGGAACAGATGGGCATCTGCGTCTCGGCCGTCAGGGCAATGCGCTCGTTCATGTCTGCCCATCCCCAGACCCTCTGGCCGACCACTGCGCCGTGCTGGAGCACTGCCACTGCGCCGCCGGGGCCGCGGTAGCGAACGGCGATCGTCTCCAGGATCTCCTCGATTTTGGTTGTCTCCATTGTCGTCTGTTATATTGTATAATTGAGGTGGAGGGGAAGTGGGGAGGGGAAGTGAAGTATTTTCAGTACAATACACTGTACAGTATTCAATGTTAGTAATACATCAATAGATAAGATAACAATACACTAGATAAAATAACCAGAATAAACAACTTCTAATATATATTCTAAGCAAGACTTCATCAAAACATATCTAAGATATTAAGATATTCTAATATAATAAATGGTATCAATTTTGTCTTTAGGGTTTAGGGTTTAGGGTTTAGCTTTAAACCCTACATTACCAGAAACTAGAAAAACAACATCCAGGCAATCATGACAACCCATGCCCCAATCAGCCCAGACGTCAAAAACGCCGCGCCGACCTTGTCGCCCGTCGTGATCGCAGACGTCGTCGTATCGTCGTCGGTGGTGTCTGTAGTCCCCGCCGAGGGATCGCTGGTGCTGTTCCCGCCCGTGGTCGACGTGACGGGCGCCGCCGTGGACGAGTCGAGGAAGGGCAGCATGTTGGCAAAGAAGATGCTGGTCGCGCTCATCTGCTCCTCCAGCCCGATCCAGCCATCCCACGAGCTGTTCCACCAGCGCACGCCGCAGGTGTCGTTGCTATACCCGGAACACGACCCTGCGGCCCCCTTGGCCGACCCCTGCAGTTTGGGCAGGATGGTGTCGTATGTCGAGGGCACCAGGTACGCCGTCAGCATCAGCCAGCCGGACAGCAGGCCCTTGAAGATGATCTCGTTGTCGTTGCACACCTCTGTCGGCTCACACAGGATCTCCGACATGATCTCGCCGCCGTGCTTGGCTGGGAAGAACTTTTCCAGCGTCACATTAAGCAGGCCTTCCACTGCATCCAGCCATTTGGTCGTTCCATTGGTCTATAAATTAGCCACACACACACACACACACACACACACACACACACACAGACATATGTATATATATATACTTACGTAGTTATACATATAGGCAGCCCCCCCCAAAAAGGCGCCGTAGTTGTACGTCCATTGATCGTCGCCTTGCGTGGCACAATCGTTGGTCGTCTCGGTGGAATCGGCAACATTCCACGTCGAGTTGCTCAGCAGCGGCGAGGAGGCCGCCCAGTCCCAGATCTTCTCCGCCCATTCATAGTACGACTCGTTGTATGTATAGCGAGCCAGTCGCGCCGACAGCTGGAACAAGCCTGCGTTGGAAATGGTGTTTTTCATCGTGTATCCGGCCTCGTATGTCCAGATCTGCCAGCGCATGCCTCCGTCGCACGTCGACGTATCCCAGCGGGCCACTTGAGTGTTGAACACGCCCTGTGCGAGGGCAAGCCATGAGTATCCGTCGTCCGAGTTGGGGAAGTTCAATTCTGCTGCCGTCATCGCCGCCAGGCCCCAGAACATTTGGTCGTCATTGCCCTAACAATATTAACACCCCCATCATCATCATCATCATCATCATCATCATCACTATCACATACAATGTAGCTGGAGTAGTTCGACGGCATGTAGTCGCAGTCACCCGCCTGCCACTGCATACCAGAGATGACCTCTTCGTTATATGTCGAGTCGTTGGTGTAGTGATAATATTGGATCAGCGTCATGAACATCGCGCCGCCCTCCCACCATGTGTTGGGCAGCTTTCCGGGGATATGGCCGGTCTCGTTGCCGTGATAATGTATCATCATCCCGTACGCGGCGTTGCTTGCTGCATTTTTGATCGAATCTATAACCAGATGGAATTAATAACTCAAGTCTTTCATCACGCAAGAGAGAACAGTCGCATTACCCTCGCTGGTGAGGTCCAGGTCGATCGCCCTGACCCCCTGGATAAGGAGGAGGACCGAGAGAACGCGCCTCCAGGCAAGCCCGTCCTTCATCTTGTTCGCTATTTCAGAAATGCATATATATAAGATGACAAAATGATAAGAGATACCGAGTAACGATGGAATTGGTAAAGAATGTCAGATAGAACGAATGATTAAATGAATGAATGACAGTAGATGAACAATTGATAAAAGATAAAATGCCCAAGAATGAATGATAATTCAATCGTCGTCAGCCATTACTCCTCGGCCCCCCACACACTTGCGCAAGTATACGTAACGCCAAGTGTGGTTGGCTGGGCCCTGCTGAGTCATTCGCTGTGGCTGTGAAGGTGGGGCACCCATCGATCCACGTGGCTTGCATAAGCGAAATCACTATTCTAGGAAATAGAGAACAAGAGGGGTATCATATCTATGAGTCTTATAGTAGAATTATTAAACTTGATTCAAGAATTATATTCATTTGAATACTGCTTCAAGAATCTATGTAGTATTAACCTTCTTCTCCACATCCTAACATTGAGTGCAATAGCATCTTAATTATCTTGGCGCCAGGACTTCCTACAATCTATTAAAAGGATTCTCGTATCCTGTATAGGGGCTGTAGAATTGATTCAAATTTTAGACCTATCTCACCTGGTCTACACTTGGCGTCTTATAGACCACCCCCATATTGATCGGGCAGCTCAACAGGAAGCGTATAGCAACTCTTCAGAGATCGGATGTCAGGAGACCCGAATCTGATTTGAAGCCTCCTCAGCTTACACAGTTGACACCACACTCACATCAATCAACCCCTCTTCATTCAGCATCTCCGCGCTCCCGTCAGGATCTTGGCGTCCACAGGGAAAACCTCGGCGCCAAGACAAAGAGTCGCTTGGAAGGCATCCGGAGTGGACAGCACATCACGGATCCGGCTGAGAGCGTGCTTGAACCCCATATACCAGTCCAGCAGCTCCGCCACAGACGGGGTCAGGCAGGCTAACTGTGGAACGTCGATGTTCTTGGCTGTCGCCATCTCCCGAATCCGGGTGAGGATGGCGCAGGTTGGGGACCACATTTAAGGGTCCAGTCTTGGCTCTAAATGTTTGGTCAATCCCTGTTTGATTGTGATCTTAGCTGCTAATCACCTGGTTTAATCTGACCACTGGTCTAGTCGACCCCAAGTTACTTAGAGTCGTTCTATAAATTCCTCAAAACTATTCTTCATTACTTAGTCATTAATATATTCTAGTCAGGGCCTCGTGTAGATTCATTTTTGACTAAAAAGATATAATTCTATCAAGATCTCACCCTAGTATATTCTCCACCCAGCTGCATTGATCCACTGTACAGAGCTGGAAATTCATTATTATATACTAAGCAGAGTCAAGCAGAGAAGAGACCTTGGTGGAAGACTTGCCAATATCCTCTTTACAGAGTAGAAGGCCTCCATCGAGGACAGATCTTATAGTTCCAATATAGTGGCAATTATCAGTGGGTTCAATATTACCTAGGTAGTCAGTGGAAAGTGAATGAATTGATCAGCTTAATATAGTACTTTCTCTATCTAATGATATATACATATATATCTATTCTCTGAGGTACCAAAAGTATCCTTAAATAGATATGCCATATACATATTCCTATAGGCAAAGGTTCAGAAGAATGACTATATCAGTAGATAAATATGAGAAATTGGTAGATTACTAGCCAGTCTTCGATTATATTATGATGTATAACTTGGTACCCTATAAGTGATATGAATGTGTAATGGCCTAAACCAGCCTCATAAAAGCAGGCGTGCGTATATCATCTTCATATATATAATTTACATTGATGATATAGTTCATTGGTCTACCTGAGCAGCTTCCATACAGCCCAAGGTGCCAGGAGATAGACGTTGGTTCGAGCAAGGCCAACTCACTGATGACGCGCTTTGAGTATATCTGGCAAAGCTCAGTCTCATGCTCGAAATTGCAGGCACCTTGAAGATGAATTAGCCGAGAAGGACCTGGAAACTGAAGCATACTATGTAGCAGAATACATCTACACCTCAAAGTGGCTGTGCCGCGTTATAGTCTATCAATTCACTCATGATGGTCCGTTGAACAACCGGGCAAGCCGATCATTCCTGGTGATTATCTTCTATCCCAGAGGCCCTCTTCACCGGCTTCGAACGTGAGCCAACCGATGGATCTTGAAACGTCCTTAAGCCTGGAGACCAAGGTCAATAGATATAATGCCATGGGAAGCCTAATATGGAGGCCAATAAGCTAGAGTAGTCACTGTTGTCTGACTAGACTGATTAATTCTATGGAATGGCATGTTCTAAACTGATTATAGCTTATTCAAGACGATATTTACATTTTCATCGCCCCTGAATTCTGACCGCATATAGTACTATGATGCGTCAAACCTAGAGGCCATGGCTTAGATACATATAATCATTCTTTACATCCCATCTCAAGCTATAAGATATACCCTATTATATGCTTCCACAGCATCTGCTGCTAATGGCGCTGCTCTAACTATCTTAGAACTGTCCGCCTCGACAGGTCGCAGACCTAGGTTGAGGGTTTGAGATTGAATCAGACTTTACCTAATTATACAAATGTATGATAACAGTTTATTTATGTATTCAGGTAATTATAGATTATTCCCTCACTTATTATTACTAGAGGAGAGAAGGACAAAAGGGAGTATTAATACATCGCTCAAGAGACTTGAGATAGAAAGATAGACAGAGATAGAGATGAAAAGAACCGATAGAGCGATAGACAAGTCGGTATTCATCTACCAGTCCTCATCGCCGCAGTCATCCCACGAGTCGTCTGTTTCGGGAAGAGCAGTGACGATGGGATGGTGGGTGTGATGATGTCCATGGGCTGCATAGTTGCCCACTGCCAGTGTAGCAGAGCTAGATGCAGAAGAGACGAATGCAGAGGTAGATGTAGCAGAGGCAACTGATGCAGATGCAGACGCAACTGATGCAGATGCAGACGCATAGACAGAGCTGGAAACAGACTGATTCTGCAGAGCAGCAACATCAGACGCGTTGAGATGGTAGAGAATCGTGCCCCAGCCGAGGGTATCGTAATAGCCCGAATCCCAAGGATCGCCATACGAGCCAGAGCCAGGCTCAAAGCCGCCAAAGGTCTCGTACGTCGCGTTCAGATACTCGGTCGTCCAGGGGGCTTCCTGGCCCTTGATCATCACGTAGTGGTTGTAGAGCACCTCCCAGGCCCATCTCACATTGCCACGCGAGGCGCTGCTGATGTTTGTGTAGCTGACGATTCCGTTTGTGTACGGCTCGAAGGGGACGTCGTATCCAAGGTTATACCGAGCGAAATATTCGGCTCTAAAAGATTAGCAGGGAAAAGCAAAGGAAAAGGCAGGATAGAATGAATGAGGAAAGAAGGAAATACCCCAGAAGAATCCGACTGTCGTTATAAGCAAAGAGATCCTCGCCCTGATTCCAGGCCTGTTGTCCAATAACCCCCAGTAGGGCATAGTCCATGGCGGAATGGCCTTGGTCGCGTCCTTCCTCCTGGCCCTGTCCCAGGGGGTTGCCCGTGCCCGGTTCCTCGACGATGTTGGTGATGGCGTTGTTGATGGCTCCGTTGCCTGTGCCGTTCTTGAAATAGTCGACGGCGAAATCCCATGTGGTCTGGTTGTCGGTGAGGACGGAGATTGCCATGACCGATGCGACCTGCGACAGCTCCCAGTTGGCGAAGAAGTGCAGGACGTTGTGTTCGGAGCCGTCGAGATGCTCCAGGAAGTAGATGTTCTTCGCCAGGAAGACGGTCTCCATCATCTCGATGAACTGCGCCAGCCCGTTCTCCTGGAAAGGCTCGTAGTCCCGCAGCAGCTCGGCGGCGTTGGCAAGCTCATGGCCCTGCAGCCCGGCCACCAGGTACTGGTCGTCGTTGCTGCCGATGGAGGTGAGGTTGCCCGCCCACGCCGTGAGGATCTCCGCCGCGGCGTCGGCGTACGTCGTGTTGCCCTCGACCTTCCATCTCAAGGCCAGGGCAAACGCGGCCGCGGTGTCCTGCCAGAGGAGATACGCGTTGGCGGCCGTGTCGCCCTCGGCGTCCCGGTCGACGGAGCTGACGGCCTGCGGGCTGTAGGGAACATCCGCGGTGGTCATTCGGACCAGAGAGTCCCAGCAGGAGGTCCATGGATCCAGCTGGGCGGCAATCTTGCCCTGGAGCCGGCTGATATCTGAGTCTGAGACCAGCAGACCGGGATGGGAGAAGCAGGTGGCCAGAGCAGGCCACAGCAGGCCAGCGAACCACTTCATTGGAAAAAGAGACTAGAAAGAGTGACTAGAAAGAGGGAGAAAAAACAAAAACTAGAAGAGAGAGAGTAATGAATGACTGGTGACTGAAGACTGAAGAACAAGATGATAGATAATATTTATATACTGTCTACATGATCGGATAATACAAAAGCATATCTGGAGTAGAATAACCGAGTGATTTGTATGAAACACATCTTGTTTGACGCTAGCCCTAAATCCTCCTTACTGCCAAGACCGGCGTTCTATAGAGTACAGGGCATGGGCGCATAAGTAGTATGGAATACAGTAGTTATACGATATCTCGGTCTCAATCCGAGTCCTTTTCATCCAATCGATTGCCGCAGGATTCTCGGAGTAAAGCTCCATCCAATCATAAGCGACTTGGCGGAGGCTACAGGATCACTCATTACGGAGTACTATTAGCAATTTTGTAGGTTAGGGTTAGGGTTAGGGTTAGGGTTTATCAATCAACCACATACATCAACACATGAACACACTCAGGGTAGTTAGTTCTCTTAACACCCTGCTCCTATCTATTAGTTACATAGTACTACCGGTAGTGCTCCTGATGCAGGGTCTGTAGAGGGTTCTAAGAAGGGTCAGTGGCGTGCCGATCAGGAGTTGAATTTATTCTATTGGCTTCTATCAGACCCATATCTTCCATCGCCAAGACCTGCCACGTGGACGCTGTGTCATTGTGTCAACAATCTTGTATTAAGAATAAGCATAATAACCGTGCTTAATGGTAATCATATTGCTGTCAAGTATTAAAGATATATGGTCACTACCTTGTCTGTATAAATCCATAACTCTATTTCTATAAATGAAGATAAAGAGAGGTATTATACTTAGGTATCATTACTATGTTATATACAATCTGACTAGTCATACGACTTATACACAAAACACATCTATGCAGAGTCCATCCCGCCCCCCGTATTAACCCCCGTTGGGGGGTTGAAAAACAGCATGGCGGTCACCAACGCCTTGATCCCCCCTGAGAGAATAAGAGCTAACGCCGAGCCGGCGACGAGATAAATGCCAGCCCCTGAAAACGACCCCGCCACGAGGGCAAGCAGGAAAAACGCCCGTCGGTTCCGAGACCGGTTCTTGGAGGCCGTCAGCCGCGGGTCGACAACCAGGTCCAGCCATGCGGCGGTCGCCATGGCGGTGGTGATCTCCGGGATCTTGAGGGCGCGCGACATGACGACCTGGGAGCCCGAGGAGAAAGCCAGCAGGGCGATGACGGTCAAGGCAATGGGGCCTTCCTGCCGTACCCCGTATCCCAGCTGGATGCCCGCTGCGGCAAACACAAACGCCGTCTGCAGGAAGTTGATGGCGATCACCCACGCCCGCGTGAGGGTGCCGAACACATGGTTGCCCAACTGCCCGGTGATGAGGGCGCCCGCGATGAAACACGGCAGGCTCACCCCGATATTGGCCGGGATGACGAGGTCGGCCGTGTGGGCGTTCTTGATCACCGCCACGGCGAGCATGACCGTGTTGCCCGTCTGGTTCGAGGTAAAGCAGCGGTAGTCCGGGTACGTGGTCGTATCTTGGATGCCGATGTTGAACGTCAACAGCAACAGTTCTAGTTCAGCCCAGCTGTTGGCGGCGATCTGGGCGCTCAGGTAGGAGCGCCAGCTCGATGCTTTCCCACTCGATCCTTGTTCATCCTCCATTGATGACTGTTCCTCGTGGGTACCCATTGATCATGCTAGGGGAACGGATATGCAAGGGGTGAGCTGGAGGTGAATATCCCATTATATCGTTTTTTCTTTTCTAGAATTTCTATACATTCCTCGGATTCTATAATAATCGGCGAATAGCAGTCGCCGAGTTGAGGCAGCCACGTGATCGGCGACTCGGCGTTCTAGCAGTATAATTTAAATGTTAGTAACAGATGTTATATTAATTCTATTACTATTCAGATCCTCTAAGCTACCTAGGTAGGTAAGCATGTCCCTGATGAATGGAATCATATTCTCTATCTTTCACTATAGTATTGGAAGTCACCTAGAAGTTAAGATATAGCAATAAGAAGAATAAAGATGTGCAACTCCATAATAGTTAGTCAGATCTCATTAGTTAATAAAGCATTACTACAGAATATATAGCAGCTCTATATTAATTTATTGAATAGATATGGATAATTCTTCCCTTTTAATCTGGCCACCTTTAAATTATCTATTTAGGTTATACTATTAATTAGCCTTATATAAAGGACCCTACTACCAAGTTTATTTTCATCTTAAGCTTATTTAGGGCTATAATTATTTCCAGGCACTATATAATTTAACTGCTATTCACATCCTAGTCAGTTTTGAGGTTGATAGAGTTCATATGAGTACACCTGTGACACCCATACAAGCCACGCAGTTGAGCATGTTCCCCAGCCGATCTTCACGAGTAACTTGTATTGATCCTCCGGACATCCCCTGGTGGGCAGCGAAGCAGTCCGGATATCGTAATAATTAGAGCTGAAAAGTAAGGAAAAGAGCAAGATATCTTGCTGACCACAGCTAAGCGACGTTGAAATAGGTCACCAAATAGAATAGAAAAATATTAAATTCCACCTATGACTCTAGATAGTTTAAACAGCTACTGAATAGTTATATTGTTCCTGAGAATATTTACTATATACAGTCAGGTGGTGTAGGATCAATATGTAGTCCTTAATGGATGTTGATTTATATAGTAGAATGATAAGATCAATCTGTAGATATCCTAAATAGAATTATAACTACTACTACTTACCCATAAAGAGTGAAAACATCTCTAGGATATATATGATGATATTAATTTACATATTAAGAACATTTACTGCCAAATAATGTATAAGGATATCTCCTATCCTCTACTAACTAAGTGTTAAGCTCCTATGTAAAAGTTAAACTGCAGGAATATCAATTTCATTATACCAATACAGCTGCAGGTAGATTCAAGATAACTCCTAACTATTAAACATCAACTCCATAAGTTACTTGAGGCAGATTAGGTTAGTGATCGCCGAGGATTAACCGAATCGCCGATACCGAGCAAAACAAAGATTTATGACCAACCTGGAATGCTGTTCTCTATTATTCCTCTATCAGTTCCACTACATTGAATCAATCTTTCTAATCAATCATTCTCATGTTTCGGCGCCTCCTCCGGCAGCCAATTGCCAATAATGGCTCGCAGCTACGCGACCACCAGGCCAACGAACGTACCTTTCTCTCCTGGACACGTATGGGACTGGCCTTTGCCGCGATGGGCCTCGCTCTGGGCCGACTGAGCATGATCGACCGCTTCTTCGCCACATACGAACATCGAAATGAAAACGCTTCAAATACTTCCAATCCAGCCAGCAAACCCAAATTCCTCACCGAGGAAATTCTCCTGGCAAGCCAGGTCTGCCAGGTGAGCAGCGTCTGGACGTTTGGATACGGCATTTTCCGTTATCTCTCTGTCCGCCACCATCTGCTACGCGGGCAGTTCGTGCCGGCGCTTTGGGGTCCGATCATTGGCACGGGAGGGTTGCTCGGTTTATGGGGGCTCACTGCAACATACAGCAGATAGAATAAAGAATAATATAGAATTAGATTGTATCAGTATAGAGCATATATTAAATATATCTTTTAATTACTACTGATTGATTAATTCTTTCCAATACAGTGTACTCTAGATATATATTCTATACACAAAAACTAGACTACTATTTCCACCCCTTCGGACCGGCCCAGGTCCCCTTTACCATAGACTTATAATAAACCCACGGAAAGAAGTCCTTTTTGAGATGGTAAAAGGCCCGCCGGGGCGTGCCCTGGTCGAGGCCAAGGAAAGAAAAGGTCTCCTTGATCTCGCCGTTGTACTTGAACTCGGCCAGCATCACCTTGCCATACTCGGTGATCAGCGGGCATGAGGTATACCCGTCATACACGGTCTCCGGGGTCTTCCCATCCATCGCCTGCAGTAAATTGTCGACCAGCACGGGAGCCTGCGAGGTGATGGCGGCGGCTGTCTTGGAGGTCGGCAGGCTCGAGGCATCGCCAATTGACCAGACGTTGGCGTAGTTGAGATGTCGCGTCGTGGCCGGGTCGACGTCCACCAGGCCCGAGGCCTTGTTGGCCAGCGGGCTGTCGCGGATGAAGCCATGCGGGCCCATCTTGGGCACGACGTGTAGAAAATCAAACCGTTTGGTCACTGTGCCCTCGGGGGTGCTGAACACGGCCTTGTCGCCATTCACTTCTGTCAGATCGTGCTGGAAATGCCCGTGGACCCCGCGTTGGCGCCGCAGCTCGTCCAGGCGCTGGCTGTACTTGGGCACGCCGAACATGCCCGGCAGCGCCGTGGCAAAGTGCACGTCGATGGCCGAGGGGAAGAGGCCCGCCTTGCGCCAGAAGTCCATCGCCAACCACATCGCCTTCTGCGGCGCCCCGGCGCATTTCACGATCCCGCTGGGTTGCGTGAAGATGGCGGTTCCCTTCTGCAGCCGCTTCACCGAGGTATACACCTTGTCGCACGTCTCGTACCCGTACGTCGAGGAGACCAGCATGTGCGGATCGGCGAGCGCCTCGGGCAGTCCCTTGATGCTCGTGTAGTCGATGCGGATGCCCGGAACCACCACCAGCTGGTCGTAGTGCACGCGATCCCCGTTCCCCAGCGTCAACGTGTTGGTGTCGGGCGTGAAGCTCTCCACGCGCTCATGGTAGAACCGCAGCTTCGGGTCGATCAGCTCGCGCAGGGGGCGCTGCAGATCGGTCTTGTCCTTCAGCCCGGCGCCCACCAGTGTCCAGCCGGGCTGGTAGTGGTGCCAGGCGGCCGGGTCGATGATGGCGATCTCGTTCTGCAGAAACCGGCCGGACCGTAGCAGCTGGTGGCTCACGGCCAACCCGGCGCTGCCTGCCCCGACCACCACCACCCGGTGCTTGCCTGCTGCCCTGGCGACTGCTCGCATAGTATATACAATAAATGAAAAGGAATAAACAAGTGAACGAAATATACAAAGAGAAAAAAAAAATATACAGTATAACAAGATAACAGTAGGAAAAAATATACAGTCAGAAAGATAGTACAAGTACGGGAGCTGATTGAAGATATATGAATAGGAGATTGGATCGGCGACATTCGGTCGCCGACTCGGCGAGCAGTAAGCTTAAGCAAGAAAATTTAGACAAAAGCATGCGTATCGTATGGTAAGCGATACTACATTCTCCACTTGAGATTTGCTATCTATTAGGGTAATATAGTTGGAATGATTTCTCTGCAACGTCTTGCAATAGACCTGGTTTTGTGGCTACAAAAGCTTCCTCTTGATTGGTCTGTTTCCTGCTCACAAAGGACAGAATACGACCTAATAGGAAACTAGGGCTCGAAATTAGGGTACATTCACGCTACCCCCAATTCTATTGATTCTATGCCGATTCCTGGTCTAATTTCTATGACCAGGGGTATTCTTAACAATTCCTTATCCTCTATAAGCAGGGGGCTGTAGGTCGGAGGACTGCTATTAATCTATAGGACTCTATATAGTATGCTCTGTTGCGAGCTGGGCTTAGTAGATTAAGCAATTCACCAAGTATTGAATTAATCTTAGGGTTAGGGTTGGGTTAGGGTTAGGGTTTAACTTAGCGTTTAATTAAGTATTATAGTAAAGATAGACTCCCTATAAGCGGTCCAGGGGCACTGGAAAATGGATTAGTTCTGCGCCAATATGAGGGATACCGCCGCGATGTCCCGTAGAAGATTACTATGACAATATGATAAGGCCACCCGCACTTCCCTCTGAGGCATAGTTGACTGTCACATAGGTTCTTAATCTATCTGCTAGGCAATACTACGTCGTTATTCCATACAAGGCTATGTATACGAATAAGAAAGGGCGGGTCCGGCACATGCCGCATAAACACAATCAAACAGGGCCAAGAGACACGCCCATCGGCAGTCCCTGGCCAATGTCGTCTTCCCCCGCCGGGACATACCCCATACCTGTCGATGATTGGCTCAATGCGCCTCAACCCCGGAATCGAGCCCACTCTTTCCCCACCGGCTATATCCCCGCCTGAGAAGTATAGAAGTATATAATAGACTTTCACCGTGTTCTGCACACAACGGTATTGTGTATATCTTGATTGCGCACCATGCACTGGACTGGACTTGTTCTCGGCGCACTGCTGGCCGTCGCCGGCGGCACAGCATCGTCAAAGCAGACGGCGGTGACGTTTGACCCTGTCTGAACAAGACCTACATGCAGTACATCGAGAACCAGTATCGCGATGCCGGAATTGCCATCCCTATCACCGCCAACGACATGATCCCGCTGGGCGATTGGGTCCCTGGGAGTGGCCGGGGGGCAGTCGACATCTACGGCTATGATGCTTATCCTCTCGAGTTGGGCTCGTGTATGTCTCTGTTTGTATAGACGGAAGGTATACTGATGTTATAGGCACCCCCGCGTGGACTATGGATGAGAATCCATTGACCCTGTTCAATTACTCTGTCCATCTGGAGATGAGCCCGTCCAACCCCGTCGCCGTCACCGAGTTCCAGGGAGGCTCCAACGACAACTGGTAGATCTTTTTCATTTCCTCTTTCTCCTGGTGAGGATGTTCCTGACTCTTGAGCCAGGGGAGGGAATGGAATGGACGTGTGCGCATCCATGGTCGGCGCCGAATTCGAGAGCGTCTTTCAGAAAGAGCTGTACGGCCAACGGACGACGATTCTCAATGTCTACATGGTCAGTTCTGATCGCCAGTCTATTAGACAGTCTATTAGACAGTCTATTAGATAGTCTATTAGATAGTCTATTAGATAGTCTATTAGATAGTCTATTAGATAGTCTATTAGATAGTCTATTAGATAGTCTAGTAGATAGTCTAGTAGATAGTCTATTAGATAGTCTATTCAGATGTCTGTATGCTAATCTGTCAGATCTATGGCGGCACCAACTGGGGCAATCTCGGCCAGCCCGAGGGATACACCTCGTACGACTACGGAGCAGCCATTGCTGAGGACCGCACCATCTCGCGGCCCAAATACGGCGAGATGAAGCTGCAGGCTCAGTTCCTGCAGTCCAGTCCGGACTATCTCACCAGCTCGCCGGCGACTCCCGTGTACAGCACATATACCGACTCGCAAGACCTCGTCACCACGCCGCTCCTCACCAACACCAGCACCGCCTTTCACACCCTCGCCGGCCACTCGCAGACCGACCTCACCTGGAAGATGACGGGCAACTTGGGCGGCGACCACTATTGGGATCTCACTCGGGGGCCCCTCAACGAGGGCGGCATGTATGCTGAGCGCCAGGGATTCCATCTCCCCGGCGCCCCGACAAGCACCTGGGAGATCCGGTCGCCGGTCCATGATGGGCTGTCGGGCCCTGGACTCGCTTTCTTTGCCACCTCGTTCGACCTGGATCTGCCTGTAGGATACGACATCCCGCTCAGCGTCACCTTTGCCAATACCTCGCTGCCTACCGGATCCCCGGCTGCTCTGCGCGTCCAGCTGTTTGTCAACGGCTGGCAGTTTGGAGAGATGATCAATAACATCGGCCCGCAGACCAGCTTTCCTGTTCCAGAGGGTATCTTTGACTATACCGGGCCCAATTATCTGGCACTCACGCTCTGGGGGCTGGATGGCACCGCCGAGTCTATCAAACTGGGCGGTATTGCTCTTGAGCCTACGGCTGTCATTCAGGGCGCATTCTCTAAACCAGCGCTGGTCCAGGGGGCGACATATGCGGTGCGGGGGGGGTATTAGTATTATAATAATATAGTTAATATATCAACTATTCATTATGACCTGCTTCAAAAGTTCCCTTATGCCCTGCCTATATAAAATATTAAGGCATTATTACTTTCTTCAACACTCTTTAACCATGGTCCATTATTATATAGTCCTTTAAAACAATAGCTATGTAAGCAGTGACCTGGCAGTACCAGAGATTTAGATAGGGGATTAATATAACTAGTTAATAATAAGCTCTAGAGATATGAGAATCTATAGTAAGTTTAATAAGAAAATAAAACAATACTCAATGTTTTATTCTCTATCTAAAGGGTGCCTTATTCCTTATTTTAGAGTAGAGTACTTGAACAATTTACCATATACTTAATATCAACCACTAGCCATAGGATAAGCTTAATTAGGTCTATTTATAGGATCAGCCTTAATACTGGCCTTTTAAGTTATTCAAATAATAAACCATGATTTAGAGCTTTTTTTAGAAGATTAATATCCAGTATCTTAATAAACTAGTGGTAGTTAGATCCATAAGGGCTTTTATAAACCCTTGATAATATAAAGACTTTCCTTCTAACCTCAAATCATTCAAAAAGCTTTGAGCCTTGTCAGAAATCTCATGGTGCTAATGTATCCCAATCTGCAGCAGTAGTTCAGTATATCTCTATACTATATGTTATATTAAGTCCTGAAGATCTATAAATAGTAATATAGTATCCTTAGAAACCCTAACCCTAAACCCTATTCCTATAGAAATAAATATGATATTAGTCTATAGCTAAATATATTCTTTAATTCCCCTATAACCTATCTCTGGATATTAGACTCCTGTTTAAGTCCATGCATAGACAGAGAACACGCCATCATCTAAGAGTCTTGTCTTTCAAGGTCATTGCAGTGGATTCTATCTGGCCTCTGATATTCTTCTGCCTGGTGCCTGATTACTAGTTGCTTTGTGCAGTTACATCAATATCAACAACCTAAACCTTCAGGAGGACAGGTTAATCATCTTATTGGGTGTCCAGCCGGCAATACCCCGTCAGTTCGGCATATGGTTTCCTAATTCGGAGCTCAATACGAGTACGAGAGTACACGGCCCGGAGCGAGTGTGGAGGCGGGGTTATGGGGAATTAGGGTTACTGCTTACCATGTATCACCTACCTTATAAAATGATGAGTCCTCCTAATGTTGACAGCAGCAGCAGCAGCAACATGGCGAGCTTCATTGCGGTTCTTGCATTCACAGCCTCTGTTCAGGCCACCAACTTTACTGAACTGGAGCTCTTCTGGTCCTATGGCCGTTCTCCTCCCGTATACCCATCCCGTAAGCCTTTTGCCATGATCATATCAACGCATTGATAATCTCTATTAGCACCCGGAGCAGGGCTCGGGGACTGGAGCGCCGCCTACGCCCGGGCCAGAGCCGATGTCGCCAATCTCACCAACGAGGAGAAAAACAACATGACATATGGATACGACAGCGAGACTCTGGCGTTTATCAATGGCTGCTCCGGTCTCAGTTACGGGGTTGCCTCGATCGGCTATCCGGGCATGTGTCTTTCAGATGCTGGAAACGGCCTTCGGGGGGCCGAGTGGAGTGCCCAGTTGACGGGCATCGCCAGTGCCAACGCCGGCCTGGACGTCGCCATGCCGGACTCGACGTACTGGGAGGGAACCCTGAGCGAGGCCGTGGCCAATGGCTCCATGACCCAGGCCCGTCTGGACGACATGGCCACCAGGTGAGTCTTGAATTGCACAGCACAGCAGCCTTTATCGCCTCAACACTCACTGTATAGAATCCTGGCGACCTGGTACAAGCTGGCCCCCTTTGAAGAGCCAGGGTTTGGCATGCCATGCCGTCCGTCATCGCCAACCTGGGCGGCGACAACGTCGACGCCCGGAACCCAGCGGCCACCCCGACCATCTTCCAGGGCGCCGTCGAGGGCCAGGTGCTGCTCAAGAACTATAACAACACCCTCCCATTGTCCAAGCCCAAGCACATGGCCATCTACGGCTACGATGCGCCCGCCCCGCCCAAGGTCAACCCCCCGGCCAGCATGGCCTGGTGGATGGGCGACGAGTCCCTGGGCATGGTGGACAGCCTTGCCCTCGACAACCTGACCTACCTGACCTCTTTTCCAGAGTCTGCCTATAACGGCACTTTAATCGGTGGTGGTGGCTCCGGGGGGGTGTCGCCTCCATACATCCACGACCCATTCTCGGCCCTGAGCGCCCAGGCCCGCCTCGATGGGACCTATCTCTCCTGGGACTTTACGGAATTCAACCCGCTGGTGCCGGTGGGAACAGATGTGTGTCTTGTTTTGATCAACGAGTTTTCTACTGAATCGCGCGATCGGCCGGGGCTCGCAGACCCTGACTCGGATGCCCTGGTGGAAACCGTCGCCAGCCAGTGTCCCAACACCGTCGTGGTGATTCACAATGCCGGGATTCGCTTGGTGGATGCCTGGATCGACAATGAAAACGTCACGGCAGTGCTTCTCAGCCATCTCCCCGGCCAGGACACCGGCGCGGCCTTGGTGGAGGTCTTGTATGGCCGTCAGTCCCCCTCAGGGCGGTTGCCCTATACCATTGCCAAAAGGGCGTCTGATTATGGTGCCTTGTTGGCTCCGACAAGACCCAGTGCCACCTCAGACTATTATACTCAAGGTATGGTTTTTCTTTTTGCAAAAATAAAGGAACAAAGCTAATAATCACAGTCAACTATACCGAAGGCATTGATATCGACTACCGCTATTTCCATCGCCCACAACATCACGCCGCAGGTTGAATTCGGATACGGTCTGACCTACAGTACCTTTTCATATTCAGACATTGCTGTGTCCGTGTCCAATGCCTCTCTTCCAGCGTATGCGCCAGGCACAGAAATCCAGCAGGGCGGATTACCCTCGCTGTGGAATGTGGTTGCTTCCGTCGCCTGTACCATCACCAACACCGGCAGCGTCACGGCGGCTGAAGTCCCGCAGCTGTACGTGGGCATTCCAGGCGGGTCGGAGAAGACTCTCCGCGGGTTTGATAAAGTCAGTCTTGCCCCCGGCGAACTCACTCGGGTCCAGTTTGACTTGAAGAGACGGGATCTCAGCGTGTGGGATGTTGTCGGCCAGCAGTGGGAGCTGCAGTCAGGGATATACAATGTCTATGTGGGGGCAAGTGTATTGGATATCAAATTGACCAGCTCTTTGTCTCTTAGCACAGAGTACTGAGTCTAGGAAGTTATCAAGGTTGATATTTATCACTGTTATTCACATGGCATTCACTCTTCCTATCTATACAGTAGCTTAGCTTTCTATTTATTAAAGTAAATCTGTATATTAATGCATGTCGCACTTTGAGGTTTTCCTTGAGTTAGGGTTAGGGTTAGAGTTTAAGCTTTGATAATATGAATAGACTCTATACTCGGTATATTGCTACTAGATAATCATAATACATATCCCTATTATTCTACTCATCATTATATGTGTGAACTGAGTCTTGTTTTGCCAAGTAGATGTAGTAAAGCATACAGATGAAGGTCCTGTTACTCGAGTGTAGTATCAGGGAGCTTTATATAGTTAGATATTAGCCTACATATTCTGAAGAATAGTATACTTTAGAGTAAACCTGTTAGTACTTTTACTTTCATAACCTTGGTTAGCCTGGCAGTGAACAGCAGCATTATTATTAATAAATCATAACTTATATTCCATGATAAGATTATTATCTTATTAATGAATGATAGTGTAGCATCAGTGTTATTTAGGTAAAACAGTCAATTAAATCAGGCTGCCTTTCTCCCTCGGCAGCAGCCAGAGCTATTGCTCAATGACAACGGCAATTCATCGGAACTATGCAATATATGAACACTTATCAGAAATATGCAGTATGTGAATGCTGATATGACACCGTCAAGGGCGTCCGTCGTATTGCACTTCTACTTTGAGATAGAAACTATACGAGGAAGAGCAGGGTTTCTTCTCCCCGCAATATTCCTTACCAATAACAAGCCTTGCAAGTCCAAACCCCTTGCATCTTTCTATCAATGAATGCGGAGATTTCAGAGAGGTAAAAGACATCATATTGCACTGTCTAATAGTCATTATTTTACTTCTCTGGTGGCACGCGATTAAAATCCCTCAGAGAGTGTACTGGATGAATGCCTGGCTTGGAGAGTCCTTATTCTTTATGAGTATAAGTAAGCCCTTATTCTATTCTTCTATTATGTATCTGACTCCCTGGCAATAAAGATACTGCAAAATGCACTCTTGGGTATTGATCTCCATCCTTCAACTGCTCATCCATCTGAGATGCATCAACGCAGCTGCCGTTGGCACTATGACAGCAGCATCATATGGCGCTGTCTACATCCCCTTCAGTCATACGCAGATGACCGCTGGCCGTTACGCAAGTCGGAAGACGCCAAACGGTACGATCTCGAACGAAGCCTTTACTAGAGCTTGTCGAAAACAACGAGTGGGGGGACCTACACGTACATGTACGGGATGCAGACGGTCAATCGCACGGATGGACTTTTGACTCGCAAGTACAAGCGCAGTTTCTTTGACTGGGTGGACTTTTTTCATCGTCATATCGAGTAGACTCTCTAGCTCTAGATCTTATCCAAGATAGGCTTGCTCACTGCCGATGCTTCATTCAGCTACTGTGAAAAACATCTGGCTATATAATATACATTTCAGTCTTTAATACAGGGTATACTATATGCATTGAATTATTTATAATGATTTTGAATATGGCAGAGTCCTTTCGTACAAAGTATAGTCTCAGGTATAGGTCTATAATAGAATCAATCATTGAATAGCTCCCTCCTCTCCCACCCCCCCTCCTTGACCACATCGACCCCCTTGCTCGGATGGCTTTTGGTGGTGTCGCTGTACACTGTCTGGTAGGGATTGGGATCGGCATTTTGCTTGAGATTGCCCAGCGTGTGGTTCACCTCGCGGTGTTTGGCCTCGTCTGCCCGCACGTACAGCAGCAGATCCTTCATCGTCCGCTGGCCCGGGGGCATCTTCCAGTATTGGATCGCAATGTCCGGGGCGTCGAGATGCGTCCAACCAGGAAGTTTCCCTTGCTCGAGCTCCTCAATCGCCCGCGTGTACGTGATCACCGCTTCTTCCTCAAGATAACCCACGAACCGATGGCAGATGCGCGGCGAGATCAGATATGAGACGAAGAAGCCGTTGAAGAAGACGCCCTGCGCTGCCAGAACCATCAATCGCATGAACCAGCCGGGCTCTGCAATCTTCAGAAACGTCAACAGATGCATCCGTTCGTTGTACGCCTCTTCCAGCAGGGTTTCAATCCTATAATTCATCAGTATCATATCTTCCAAGCCTCTTCAAAGGCCTTACCATCCGTTATCTCGCTTCATTCGCCGTAGACTGTGCAGATGCCGTAACATCCCCCCCACCATGCCAGGCACGCCCGCCACGCTCTCCAGAAACACAAACCGCGCCAGCCATTTCTTCTCGGTCATCTCGAATCGTGCCGGCATGCGCTTGCCTGGGCGTGGATGGCGGTATCCCGTCACGAAATCCATCCCCCAGCGGAACACCCGGACTGTTCCCAGCGCAACCCAGTCGGACCAATTCGTTGCTTCTCGGTGGGCGATTTTGATTCCCCGCATCTGCGATTCAGTGTATCTATATGTTTAGTATTTGTGGGCAGCAACACTGCTTATTCTCAAGAAGGTATAGGCATTCCTTACATTGGATGCTCCCAGGCAGATTTCACTTCTTTCACTCCCTGGATATGAGGAGGGGGGAAATATTCTTTGATCCGATTCGGAGTGGCATTGGAGAGGAGTCTTGTAGTATCCGTGAGATGAAAAGGAACAATATATGCTTGCACTGTATACAGAGGATGCACTGGATATGTGGCACGTCCTGTAGTACAGCGTAAGAGTCGAGTTCGAAACATCTTCGTTGGTAATTAGTTTTCGTTGGTTTTGATAAAGAATATACTCTAGATGCATTTACTTATATCACACTGGATCGCCGACTATCTAGCCTATTCGGGTGGAATCGGGCATCTCGGAACTTATCGGCAGAATTGATCGCCGACCAACAGCATATGATTTCTTATCATTATTAAGTAAAGAACTATTGGATCAGTTATTTTTGATATGCTTATAATTACAATCTATTTATCATGCTTAGCTATCTCTAAAATAATAACTATAGTCAAGTTAAAAGACCTTGCTAGAAGACCAAGCTATAAGGTTATAGTTCTGCTTTGAATCTGGTAAAGTTAAATATAGTATCACATTTTTAATAGTATTGAATCGGCTGAAGGGCCGTCGGGCCTATTTTTATTCCTTTGATCAGCATTCTCATTGCTGATTGCAGTTAATCTAGCTAAACAAGATAGATTATCCAGTCATAATATTATTTAAGATATCTCTATACTGTTTATACTGTATGTAGGTTCTAGACGCACTAAGTGCCATATATCACCCAAACCTATTTCTGTTTCTAGTCCATCAAGCCTCCCACTGCTTGGCCAGCTCCAGAATAACCTTCGCAAGCTCCTCCGGCGCTGACAGCTGCGCACTGTGTCCGCTCTGGATCTCCCGAGTGATCCATTTCTGTCCCGACGCCTGCAGTATCATGCGCTGCGCCTCGTACGGCACAGCCCGATCGTCCAGCGTATGAATATAGGCGATGCGGTCTTGGAAAGCGGGCGTGTTCCAGCTAGCAGCCGGACAGGGGCTCAGCATTGAGGTTGCGCCGTGACTCAGGGAGGTTTGGCAGGCGGCTTCAGCGAGGACAGGAGACACGTCGTTGAATAGAGGCGGGATGGGGTTGTCGCAGCACAGAAGATTCCTTTCCTCCTATTAACAGTCAGATATTCATCTATTCAATCATTTCTTTGGTCTTTGTTTACGTCAAGCCGGATGTGCGGTGGCAGGTGTCCGCCAAAGGAATCCTGTACACTCCTGCCATCACCGCCAGGCAAGATGAGAGAGGCGAGGAAGATCTGCCCAAGAACAGCCGTAGACTTGCCCTCGGCGAGGCGATCAGCCTTCCCCAGTCCTCGGGCGGCCGCGCTGGCGGGCATCCCACTATACGAGTGGCTGATGAGGATGACGTCCTGCTGGCCGACATCCAGCACAGGCAGAAGCATGCGAGAACGGACGTATTCAGCGTCGTCAGATGCGGTAATGGGATCTCGGGAGCCGACACTGGGTAGAAGAGCGCTTAGGGCACCATAGCCTGCGGACTGAAGGAGGTGGAGGAGATGGGCATAATGAGCTGGGTTTTGCGATGCGCCGGGCACCAACACAAAGACAGGTTTGGCCATACTGTTGAGCTGATGATGAGTTCAAAATGAAAGGGCAATGAGGGTAGAAATATGCATCAGTAAAGAGCGGAAGGTGAGATAAACTTACCATGGTAAGTAGCATTGGGGGCGGCGCTAGACCACTAGACCATTAAAAATTGTCTAGGCCATTGTCTAAGCTTCATATAGTAATTTTTCCGAACCACCCAGGAGCACTATAAATTTAGTGCTTAGCTATGTGGAGAGTGATACATGTACAGCCCCCAGCTATACAGGTACAGCCCCCAGCTATAGGCGTATAGCCCGTAACTTCCATTTATAGTTAGATCACCTATATAAATAGGATAATAATAGTAAGCCTAATAAAGAGGGCCATATTTATGGCCAATTCTTAATAGTATTAATAGGAATTAATAGATATAGTGAATATATAGGGGTTATATATATATACTAAAAATCTTTATATAGTTTAATTTTCTCTAAGTTAGCTATCTCTCCCCTTTATACCTTATTATTTATATCTTTATAAATTATTATATATAAAAATAGCACCTTTATTTAAAGCTATATTTAAGGCTATATCTAGATCTATATCTATTAGCCCCTAATCTATATTTATAAGCCTTTATTCTCTCTTTATTATTAGCCCTCTGGCGTCCGCAATGGCCGCGCTTAACCTCACTAATATTATTAAACCCTCTACTAATATATAGTTAATAATTAAGAAAATGGCCGCCTAGGCGTCAACTCTATAAGTAGGCTATAACTTAATAAAGATTAATATCTCTTAGTCTATAAACTATAAAGCTCTTATATTGCAGGTGGTGGGCATATTATAATATTCTTTATATATTAACTATAAGAAGAGAGATGAGCCCTTCTTAGAGTATATATAGAAAAAGGATCTTCTTAAGGGATTATATGTAAACTGCCACTTTAGTAGTAGTAAATCTTAATACTCTCTTTATTATAAGTTATATAAATAGTATAAAGAGATATATAGACTATTAATTAAAAAAAATAACTAAGTAGAATATTAATAATAGTGCTAGTAATAATACTAGTAATAATAAGGGGACCTAGGGTAAGAGGGGTAGGCCTATAAACCTATTATTAAAAAATAATAGTAAGAAGAGTAAGAAGGGTAAGAAAGATAATAAGGTTAAGAAGAAGGCTAATAAAAAGGACTATAAGAAGATATAGATATATTTTAAGGAGATGGCGACAGGCCTTAAGACTATAAGCTATATAATAAAGAAGTTAAATAAATTATTTAATAATAAGTAAGAATAGGGTTTTTATAGGCCAGCTATAGCATATAGCTTAATTAAATAGGTTTAATAAATAATATCTTTATTATCTAAAACTACTTATACTTTATAGAAGTATTTAAAGTGATATAATACCTATTAATAATAAAGAAATCCCTATATATTTCCCTTTCTTATAGACTATAGATAATATTACTTATTATCTTAATAACTATATAAATAACTATATAGATAACTATATAGATGGCTGTATAGATGACTATATAGATAACTATATAAATAACTATATAGATAACTATATAGATATAGCTATAGACTATCTTTAACTAGTATAAAAATCTATATTATAAGTTCTTAAAATCTTAAAGTTATTTAGATTATAATAACTTAAAGATTATAAAGAGCACCTATAAGTACGCCTCTAAATATATAGTTTTAAGATATTTAGAAGGTTATTAACTATAAGGTTTAAAGCTAGTAGATACTATTATTAATAAAAGTTATTTATCTATAAAGAATAGCCTATATTTATATATTATCTAATTTTATAGATATAGGGTATCCCTTAAGTATAGGTTATAAAGGATATATAGGCCTAAATCTCTAATATTAATTTATTATATTAAGGCTATAAATATTACTAATAGATTCTTATAACTTCTTAAAAAGTATATAATAATATCTTATTAAGGACATCTTAATAAAGAGGTTTAAGAAGAGAGATTAATTATAAGCTTAGCTCTTAAGCTAAGGTATGCTATATACTCTCTACTTAAGACTTAATAGTCTATTTAAAGGACTAAAATATAATAAGAAGATCAGCTCTTATGCCCCTAAGATCTCTTTTTAAAATTTAATATATAGCTTTATTTTAAGATATTATATAGTTCTTAATATAAAAAATTTAATATATATAGCTATAAAGGAATCTATAGGCTATATTAGAGACTAATTAAGTAAAGTTAATATAAATAATAAGGTCTAGATATAATTTATATTCTATTTTAAATAGGTCTTATTTATCTCTTATCTTTAAAGGGGTATAGGTATAAACTATCTATATCTAGATCCTAAGTATTTTCTCCTAGGCTATATTAACTACTTTTTAGAAATCTCTAGTATCTTTAATATTTCTATAAATAACCTAAAAGTGAGGCCTAGTGTGCTTTAGGATATTTATATTAATATACTAGATATAAAGTATATATTTTATATCTAGTAAAATAGTTATAATTATATTTAATAGAGCTTAATCTTTATCTATAAGGATTATTAAAGGTAGCTTAAGTTTAAGCTTACTATATAATTTCTATAAGGTATATAGAATAAACTTATAGGATGCCTACTTCTTATTACTAATAAACCTAAAGCTAATATAAAAGGTCTTATTTATTAGGTATAGGCTAATAATATTAAGAAGAGGTATATTATAATAGTTTATTTTATATATATAGTCTATAAAAAGGATATAAGGTGTAGTCTTTAAATACTAGACTAATAGCTTATAAGCCCTAAAAAGACTAATAAGATAATTATTATAGATAATATAATTAAATATCTAGAAATTATTTATTAGCATATTCTTTAATAGAGCCTAAATAGATATATAGCCATTAAGGAACTTTATATAGAGAAATACTTAATAATTATAGATATTATAAAGCTAAATAAATATAGTAGGGCACTAGTTATATATAATTTATAAGGTTTAATAGGCTATAAGACCTTATAAAAGTAAAGAATTAATATCCTCCCTAAAGTAATTAAGATCTGATTTGCGGACTATTAGATATATAGAGAGAGATATTATTATATAATTATAATTTAGGATATAAATCTATATAGTCTATTTATTATCTTACTTTATAAATATAATAATAGTACTAAAAGGATAGTCCTAGAGTTAAGTATAAGTCCTTTACTTTTAATTTAATATATCTAGATTACCTTTATATATACTATTAAAGTCATAATAGATATAAACCTAATATATTATCTTATTATAGGTAACTAAATATTACTTTATAATACTAAATCTATACTCTTATATAAAGCTAAAAAAGTAGCTGAAAACTTTATTTAGGCTATTAAAGGGTATATTAAAGATATCTAGAGGTAGAATTTTAGCCCTAGGTTTAAGAATAATATAATTATTATTATTTATAAAGGTATTAGTATTAGTTAATAGTATTAAATTAGGAGAAGCTAAGCACTAGTAAAGATCTATATTAGGATTAAGAGAGAGTATTAAATCTTTAGGAGAAATTAAATCCTTAAGATCTATATTAATTAAAGCTATTATTAAATATTATAAAGCTCTGTCAAGGACGTGTAGACAAATCTTTATAGATAAATAGAATATAAATAATAATTATTTATAAATAATATAAATAGCATATCTTAGGCTGTCTATATACTAATACTAACTATAAATAGAAGTTACGGGCTGTACGCCTATAGCTGGGGGCTGTACCTGTATAGCTGGGGGCTGTACGCGTATCACTTCCCAGCTATGTAAGAGCCTTCTATAAGTGGTCCCAATATCTTGTTTCTGATTATCTAATACTTTAGTCCGTGCTGCTTTCTAAAAGTGGAGATGTTATGTTTTCTTACAACCTAGTTCAAAAGTTCAAATGCTATCCTGTTCTAAATATTGAATTGCTTGGCTCTAAGTAGAAGTAGATAACCTAGAAATACTACTCATGGGGGGTTTCTTACAAAGTTCTAGTGCCTCTACTAGAGGCTATTAAAGCAGGTGAACTACTCAGAGAACCAGTACAAAACTAGACTAAATAGGAGTAGTAATATAAGATATGCTGAAATCCTGCCCTAAACCAAAACTATATCTGTAAAGCCCAACACCTACTAGGTAGGTATACTAAAGAGTTGGAATAGAAATGTCATTTGTCAGAGGGATACTCTTGGCCACGCCTTCGAGATCCCACACCCACAATCCCTCCTCTTTCGCTTCAGGCTCTCCCAGCCCCACGTTAAGGGTCAGGCAAAATCCAGGGACGCATTGAGGTGAGGTCATTGTGCAGCTGCTGGCATGTTTCGCCATAGCCCCGGATACGAGGATGGATGATGGCTTATCCGGTTTCAGTTTGTCCGGGTGTAGCAAGGTCTGTCGTTTCAGCATTTCACTCTTAGTACAGGAGCCCTATAAGCTGGAATATTCTATCAGGTGAAGTGGTTCTATATAGATCTGGTCTATAGTGTTATTATTCTATTTTAATTAAATTTATGGGTAGGCAACGGGCCGGGCCGCAGTGGTCACGGTTATAAGATTAGTATAGTATAGACATGTATCTGGTAGATAAGGAATAGTCTATTCATTGTACTCCGTATCTTGTATATTGAGATGAGATTTCTAATGGAGAAAGAAATAAAACTAATCCTGTTCATACATCGTCTCAATATCCGTGACGACCATTACTCTCGACCGGGGAACCATGTCGTCTTTTCGGTCCACCGCCGTCAATTCCACCCAGCTATTATCCTCCGGGCGTCGCCCAGCGGATATGTATGCCCTACCCGATCGACTGGTGGTATAGGGCACCCTAGTGGGATTCTTGTTGGAGGAGCGATTGCTTGTGAAGCCTAATTGTTGGAAGAGCCGGTCAACCAGGGGGCGGATGGGGGGTACACAGCCGACGATAATTACAATCCAGCCTTCTGTGGAGACCCAGATCAGGAGGGGAGGTTGTGCGTCTGGAGGAATCAATAAGTAGACAATAGTCAATATCCGGGATTAAGGCGTACATGTAGTGTTTGATGTCCGCGACAAGACTTGTAGTTGGTATGTTTTCACGGCCGAACAGGCAGACGCACTGAGTATATCAGTATAAGTATATCAGCATGAGGATTTGAATAAGCATCAAAAAAAAAGTATGTACATCCACCCCATCCCCATCAGAACAATAAGCGCGATCTTCAAGCGGAATCGCATCTGCAGCTTCCAGAAGAGATGGACAGGATACGAGGCCAGAGCGGCGTCGGCGAGGGCGTTGAAGCTGCCTTGGAAGAAGGAAAAGTCCTGGTTGACTCGTCTTCCAGGCTCACAGCTGCCCGGGATAGAGTCATTCCACAGTTTTGCCATGGGGACACATTGGCCCAGCAGGGTTCCCATCACAGTCACATTGATGGCGGTAATAAGCACAGCCAGCACGAGGAGGAACCATGGTTTTTTCTCATGGCGGCCACGGATCTGGATGAGAAAGACCAGGATGGCCAGCTTGCCGCTCATACTGGCTGTGATGGAGAGTAGCTGGAAGACCCAGCCGTAGAAGAGGGCGGCGGCCCTGTGTTTCTCTGACAGGCCCATTATCTGTTCGCCCATCTCATTGTTCACTGACAGCTGCAGGAAGACTTGTCCAGCACATGCAAAGAGCTGCATTAAAGGATTAGAATCATCAAAAGTAGTGTTAAGTTGTTTTCCCTACCACGGCAATAGTCACTAGAGCTAAATCCCACCGCGCTCTGCCAACAAACGTCCAGGTACTGACCAGACGCAATATGTAGAAGAGCAGCCCGACGGCGGTTTCTGTCCAGGAGGAGCCGATCACGGCGGCCTGGAGGGCAGTCATAATGTGTGGTCTGTGTAGGACTGTTATTCAAGAAAGACAATAGCAATATACACATACACTCAAGGGAAATTAATCAAGTGTAATTAAGGGGTATACGCTCATCCAGCTGCATCAAGCGTCCCACTCGCCCGAGGGGTGTGGGGTGTGGGGTATGGGGTAACTGTTTATCTGGTAGACACGACACGAGTCATGCATCCTTTGACCCGGAGCACATTTGAGACTAGGGTTACATTAGGGTTGTCAGGGTTTAGGGTTAGGTACTATTCAGATGTCATCCAATATTCTCAATTTAGTTAGACTCGTTTATTTAACTTAAATCTGGCAGTGATCCATCCCTAGAGACTGAATTATAAGTTGCCCTGGAGACAGGCGATGAGCAAGAGTAGTCTCCTAGTATATACATGGAATAGTATAATAGAAGATACAGAATGTCAGTATACATAGAATTCTCCTAGTATATGGAGAATATACAGCTATACAGAATACAGAATCCACTTTACCAGCTTAATTATCCGATGGCTAAGGACTCGGTCTATTCCTTCCGGCTATTCTGATCCCTTATTGCCGATTAACAGTCCGGCTAAAGTACCCCAGATCCTACCCCGGATCCAGATCAATTATCCAGACAATACTGAGATATATATTGACTATACCTTATAGTACTTACCATCCATTTCCAATACATACTATCTTTGTATGTATACTACAATGTCCCTCTGGTTGTTCCTCCCCCTTGTGGCTGCTGCCCCTACTTCCTCCTCTTCCTCCTCCTCCTCCTCTTCGTCCTGCGGCAAACCACTGACAGTGTATAATGCCTCCATCACCCATCTAGGCTGTTATACAGACGCAACCGGCTCAACGCTGACAGGGATCAACTCAGCGCCCGACAGCTTCGATGCCCCGCAGTTCTGTGCCGACTGGTGTGGTGAACTGGGCTATCAGTACAGCGGGGTGCAGACATCTTAGTGAGAAAGGAATAAACAGAAATGAATGCTCCATATCTAATGGTCTCCAGTCAATGTTTCTGTGGCGATGAGATTGGCAGCTCTGCAGTCAAGGTGAATGAAAGTCTCTGCGACTATGCCTGTCCAGCCGACGCATCAGCAACATGTGGAGGAGATTTAGTGTGAGTAATAGTATATTATGTAGTATCTTATGATGAGTATGATGCTGAACTGCTAGGATGGACCTCTATAAAGTGAACAATGCAGCCGATCTCCCCTCTCACAGCCTCCCCTTCACGGCTGCCTGCGAATATTCCCCCCTGTGCTCAACCGCCGTGTGTGACACTTCGCTAAGCATCGCAGACCGGGTCAAAGCATTGGTGTCTGCCATGACAGTCGACGAAAAGGTGAACAACGTCATTAGCGTGGCTGCCGGGGCGGCCCGTCTGGGGCTGCCGGCGTACGAATGGTGGAGCGAGGCTCTCCACGGGGTTGCGGGGAGCCCCGGGGTGGGCTTCCGCGGGGTCAACGGCAGCGCCTTTAGCTACGCAACCAGCTTCCCCATGCCGATCCTGATGGCTGCGGCGTTTGACAACCCCTTGATCTCACGCGTGGCAGCCGTCATCGGACGGGAGGCCCGCGCCTTTGCCAACCAGGGGTTCGCAGGGTTCGATTTCTGGACGCCCAACATCAACCCCTTCCGGGACCCCCGCTGGGGCCGGGGCGCCGAAACCCCAGGCGAAGACCCGTTCCATATCCAGGAATACGTCAGGCAGTTGATCCCGGGCCTCCAGGGGGACCATGGCAACGCAGAGGTCAAGCAGATCATCGCGACGTGCAAGCATTTCGCCGTGTACGACATCGAGACGGACCGCGAGGGCAACAATCTGGATCCCACGCAGCAGGACCTGGGCGACTTCTATCTGCCCTCTTTCAAGACGTGTGTGCGCGACGTGCACGTCGGCAGCGTGATGTGCTCGTACAACGGGGTCGACGGCATCCCCTCGTGCGCCAACGAGTATCTGCTGCGGGACATGCTGCGGGAGACGTACAACTTCACAGGCGAGTACAACTACGTGGTGGCCGACTGCGACGCCGTGGCGAACATCTACAGCCCGCACAGCTTCACCGACAGCACCGCTGCTGCTGCTGCCGTGGCCCTCAACGCCGGCACCGATCTGGACTGCGGCTATACGTACCGCAACCTGACGCAGGCATTGGCGGCGGAGATGACCACGGAAGCGACTCTCGACCAGGCATTGTCGCGCCTCTACTCTGCCTTGTTCACCGTGGGCTACTTTGACGGCGACTCGCCCTATACCGGACTCGCGTGGAAGGACGTCAACACCGGCCATGCGCAGGTGCTCGCCTACGAAGCCGCCGTGGAGGGGATGACGCTCCTCAAGAACGACGGCCTGCTCCCTCTGAACACTGCCAAATACCCTCGCCTCGCGGTGGTCGGCCCCTGGGCCAATGCCACCACGCAGATGCAGGGGAGCTACGAGGGCGTGGCGCCGTACCTGCACAGCCCGTTGACTGCGTTCTCTACAGCCTGGGAGACGGTGGAATACGCTCTGGGAACGAACATCACCGACACCAGTACCGCCGGGTTTGCCGCCGCCGTCGCCATCGCCGAAGAGGCCGATCTGGTGCTGTACCTGGGGGGCATCGACCAGACTGTCGAGGGAGAGGGCTGGGACCGGTCTTCGATCGTCTGGCCGGGCAATCAGTTGGATCTTGTCTCCGCGCTGGCGGACACGGGGAAGCCCTTGGTGGTGGTGCAGTTTGGCGGCGGGCAGATCGACGATACGGCCTTGCTCGCCAACGACTCGGTCAACGCCCTCGTTTGGGCCGGGTATCCCGGGCAGGACGGGGGATACGCCCTGCTGGACGTGTTGACGGGCAAGAAATCCATCGCCGGACGGCTCCCCGTCACGCAGTATCCAGCCAAATACGTCGACCAGGTCAGTCTGTACGATATGAACCTGCGGCCCAATGCGTCGGCGTCGTTCCCAGGCAGGACGTATAAATGGTACACGGGCGATGCGGTGGTTCCCTTTGGGTTCGGGCTTCACTATACCGATTTTGCATTCGAGTGGGCGTCAACGTTGAAGAGAGAGTACCAGATTGCCGATCTTCTCAAGCATACAGCAGAAGCATCGTATACAGACCTCATCTCCTTCGCTACTCTATCGGCTATCGTGGAAAACATCGGCAGGGGAAAACAAGGTATGGCCTCCGACTATGTCGGTCTGCTCTTCCTCTCCACCACCAACGCCGGACCAGCTCCGTACGCCAAAAGGGAACTTGTCGCCTTTGACAGAGCCCATTCCATCCCCGTTCACGGACGGGACACGCTCGTCTTCAACGTGAGTCTCGGCTCGTTGGCGCGCACCGATGTCACCGGCGATCTTGTCCTGTATCCGGGTGATTACACCCTCACGCTCGATATTGATGCCAGATTGAGCATGGAGTTTTCGCTCAAAGGGGAGGCCACCGTCATTGAGACTCTGCCCCGACAGAGGGAGCAGACCTTTACAGTCCCGGTGCATATCCAGGCAGCGAGTACTTAACAGTGGGTTGGTAGAGCAGTTCATGTTAGGGTTATGTTAGGGTTATGTTAGGGTTTCGTGTTAGGGTTAGGGTTAGGGTTAGGGTTACATTACGTACGTTTAGCGTTCCTAACCTGAATGTGGCTTATACTTGATATTAAGCTATAGTGGACTGTCGTCGGCATATCAAGCCATGGTTAAAAATAGCCCAGTACATCATTTCCAGGTAGTATTTATAGTTACTGTAACCCTCATACCTGGGGCGAGTATTGTATCGATTATAGCTTAGCAGTGTATAGTGAGTATTACTACTAAATAACATACCAGCTGAAATTAGTATATGTACACTACAAATGATATATACTTTTGACAGCTGTCACTACAAAACAAAATCGATTAACAGATAAATTGACTATGCATAATCCATTACTCCACATGCTCCGCCTCCTTCTTCTCAGGCTCATACGAGAATTCTATATACCATAAGCATAAGCACAGTAGACATTTGGATGAAACTCACGATCTGCTTTCGTATATTTGAACTTCCTGGCCGGCACTTGGTGGTGGAAGAGCAGGTCGATCTCACCAAAGGTGCGGCCTTTTGTCTCTGGCAGGCGGAACCAGCACCAGATATTGCACAGCAGGTTGGTTCCAGCGTAGAAGAAGCCTGCTTTGGCGCCCCAGTTCCATGCTAAACCGTTAGTATAACTGGAATGATGTAGTTCTAGATATACATAGAGATGAATTACCAGTTGCAGAAATCATTCGCGGCGTGAGAATATTGGAAACGATCCCGGTGAGGTTATAGACAGCTCGCCCGATGACGATCGTCTTGTATCGCAGGCGCCCTGACGGCGTCTCGGCCACGATGGGATAGCAGGCGGGCCCTGTGGTGATCATATTGCACAGCGTGGAGATGACAAAGAGGACGGCGACAGCCATCTGGGCGCCCGTTCCATCGACGTAGCCCAGGGCGCCAATCGCGATGAGACAGAAGAACATAAAGGTCAGCCCGCCCATGTAGATGGTTGCCCGGCCGAGATGCGGGAACAGCAGCCAGCAGATGACGCCGCCGATGATGTAGCAGGCCGACAGGGAGATGTTGACGTCGAACGCCTGCAGTTCCGAGAAGCCGGCCGCCTCGAGGAACTCGACCGAGTAGCCCAGCAGGGCGTTGCCGCACAGGATCTGCGCCGCCCAGACGACGCAGTTGATCTCCGTCCGCCGCAGGTTCGTCCCCTGGAAGCACTCGAGGAAGCTGGCGCCCGCCGTCTCGGCCTGCTCCAGCTTCGTCGTGTGCTGGATGTACGCCAGCGACGCCTCGACCTCGCGCTCTCTATTCGGCGACTCGCGCGCCAGCCGGTGCAGCGCCTGCCGGGCCTCTTCGGGCTTGCCCCGGCGCACGGCGTTCCACGGCGACTCGGGGGCAAAGTAGGCGCCTATCAATAGCGGGATGGGCCAGATCCATTGCAGCACAAAGGGCAGACGCCAGGCCAGGTTGCCTTCAATGCCCGCCACCGCCCTCACCACGCCCGAGGACAGCAGGATCCCGCCGCCCCAGCACATGCACACGTAGGCCGTCACATAGGGGCGGAGCACGGTAGGAACGACTTCAGACGCATAGCTGGTTGAGAGGGTCTATACCGTTAGCAAGATTTCTAATAGAGGGTAAAAATAAAGGAAAAATGATAGGAAAATGAGAGGAAAATACTTGAAAAACACCCCAGGACACTCCGCACATGGCCTCTCCAAACGCCAGGACAGACAGCGAGTTGCAAAACACAGGGATAAAGATCATCACCGCCATCCAGCACATGAAGAACATCATCGTCTGTCGGCATCCGAACCGGTCCTGCGCCCAGGCGTTGACCATCAGTCCCGCCAGTTGGCCGACGATACTCGAGTTCGACAGGCCTGTCTGCCATTTCGCGGGGATCGCTTTTGTGCCAGTCTTGGGGGAGATGACTCCGAACCGATCGATGAACTGGTTTTGTCCATAGAATGAGGTGATCTAGCCGGTTAGCAGTATACTAGGGCGTATACTTTTCTACTTACAATAACTAAATCGTATCCCTCCATCACAAGACTGGTGGAAAGAAACATCGCCCAGAAGACGGCCTTCTTGTACTTGGACAGCGCCTGTCGCACCGTCAACAGCCGGTCGGCCGCATCGCTCTCCTGCGCGTGCCGCACCAGCTCCGCGACCTCGGGCTTCGTCACGTCAAACGTGCGCAGCTCATCGGTCAGAACGATGGTCGACATTTTCGATTAATCATATACCAGTAGTGTTGCACCAGCAGCAGGATGCTAGAAGCTCATCATGCAGGGTGTAGCAGCGGTGCCCCGGCCACCTTATTATAGTTCTGCATTCCGGAATCTGGGGACGGAGAATGGGGAAGAGAATGGAGCTCCGGGTGGGGCCACAGAGAAGTAGTTGCGGAGTAATAGTATGGAGTACCGAGTCCAGAGTACGGAGTAATGGGGTATACGGGACCTCCAGTCTGCAGTTAGAATAACCCATTTGATATATTCGCTGTTGACCCCCAGACGGAGCCCCACCCCCGCGGAGAATCGCCCGGTTGGTCTCCACCCCGCCGGCATGTTTCTAAATAGATTAGATTGATTAAATAGATGTCTATCTCTATTTATATGTTCTAAATATATTCCATAGATACAACTTCTGATCATTGATAGTTATAGCTGATTCAAAATACATTCAAGCATATGATCTGGTCAACCAAGGCCGTCTTGTCTCCAACGAAGTAAAACTGCAATGTCCCTTCCACTGTGCTTTCCTGCCAGATGAATTCAAATCAGACGCCCAATGTGGGCGTTCAGTTGTCTCTCCCCAGGTCACCAAGCCCAAAGCGACGGTCTCTAGATTCTCGCTTTTGGGGGGGTGACAAGCAGCACTGATAGCAGCGCTACAAGATCCTGCCAGTGGGATCTCTGACTTGAGCTGTCTGAATGATAACATAATCAAAATAAATAACATGAACCCCATAATAATGGCAGCTAAAATAATTGGAAGCGGGGAAAGAAAAATTCCGCTATATATATTATTTGGATCAGGTTCATCAATAATGGTATAAGGGGTGAGGAAAAGATAGTAACAGCCTTGCGAAACTAGCCAATGGATAATCATTTGAATAATCAGGAAGAGGAGCCCATATCGATACGGAATAGTTAGCCAATAGGTTGACTGCTGCTGGCTGTTTTCAACAGGCCATGTAACTCGCAATGGTTTGCGAGTATTCCCATAAGAACTATACTCGACTGCCACGAGCATAGAGGTGAGGACATTATTATAGGCAAAATAGGTGATAGTGATCAGTAGCTGTGGAAGATTTGCTATGACCATAGCGGCTGTTGAATGGATGCCATCGAAATAATCATACCCCTCATCGAAATCGAGGCTGGTATATCCATTTTATTTTCTTTCAGTGCCGCTCCACAGGTCTTTAAAGTTTTTTGGAGTGAAGAAGCTCTCTCGAAATCTTCTCGCGACGCTCCTATCTGACAATATAACGCCAGCGCAAAGCAGGTAGAACAACTTGAACTTTGTTAGCCATGGGCTTGAGGCCTAGGGTAAGGGTCTGTTGAAGGGCTCAACTAACAGAAACAGCACTGTTAACCACCGCCATATACTAGCTCCTCGCATCCACCTTTTAGGTTGTGATAGCTGTGTATAGGTGGAAGGGGCTTCTAAAGCAATCTTCCATCCACCACAAATCTCTGTTTTTGATGCCCAACACAGTCCTTCTGTCATTCGATCTGGTCTTTCCAGAAAAGACGCCACTGCGTCACCAATGGTAAAAAGAGGTCGTGATCGAGATGAGCTGATTCGGGCAGCAAGAAACATGGCTATCACCTTTGTCGATGTCGCAAAAGTGATCACAATGCAGATTAGTGGACTATAGCGGAGTTGGCAATGCTCATCAGTTTTCAACAGCAAGCATTCAGAGACAGTGTATTCTTGAGAGTTTGAGAGATCATCTTGATACCATTGGGTCAGATTATTGCATATGAGAGAGTCGCTTTCAGCAGTCAAAATATGACTCAAGAATGGTATGGCTTGCACTGTAGGTGGACTGTTCTTATGATCATTATATCATAAATCATCTGCTACAAAGAGCACTGATGCATTCCCCCCCTCTCTCACTGTTAGTTCATCCCCAAGAAGGATAATAGACTGGACTCCTGTCACTGGATAACTTGAAAATTGAAGACATTGCGAGTAGGTAATTCGCTCGTGGTCTTTTTCCGCAATGAGAGAAGCCATTTCATGCCAGCTTGGATATGAATCAGACTCAATTCTTTCATAGTCAGAAAGGATAGGCGAGTGAAAGCATTTTTCCAGCCCGGTCGTCGTCAGGCTCCAGACATTCGTTGAGTTTATATCTTTAGGCCCAAGAAAAACGGCCAATTCATTCATCACTAGGCCTCGAAATATCAATGAATTATATCTCGAGTAAGATCAGTATTGATCGAAAAATATATCAATTCCCCTTATACTTACAATAGATGGAACGGGGTTGTTGTCATCAATAATACCAGCCAGAGAGTGAATTGATATCGTCCGACAATGAATAAGTTCCTAATGCTTGCAGATCCAATATCAAGCCATTGATACTTGACATGCTGAGCATCAACTTCCTCTCTTGTTGGCGCGACAAGAGTCTGCATGCAATAATTACTTGCTGCTAGAATCACGGTACTTAGAAAATTAATCGCCCAGTGTAGTATCACATCCCATCGCTTTGAGACCTCACAGCTACCCTCATAGAAGACCAAGGAACTGGCAAAGTCGCCTTCCGACGGGTATCTCCGAGCAAGACCGGCAGCAACAGCGATGAGGGTTGTGTTAAGTAAAAAGATCACAGTAGAGGCTTTGGCGCAGAGGTAAACACCACGGAACCATTTGGGTTCCTCATTGCCTGGCTGGTCCATTTTGAGATTCAGGGCACTTGATATAAGTAGATGTACGCAAGAAGTATAGCAGCAGTAAAGATATACTCGACGACCAACTATATAGTAGGATTGGAGGCCTAATCTGTGTATAAGGCTGAGCTAGTGTAAAGTTCAGCGATCTACATTCCTACTTGGCAAGGCAAAGAAGGGGTCAGACTCAGCCTTTACCTTCTCAGACCCAGACAGCTTGATACAGTGCCTTACTAAGGATGAGAACAATGGAGTTATCTTGTTTAGAACAACTTGTACATCCAAATCAGGATTTAAATTTAAGCTGGACTGCTGAATGTCGCCAGATGCCTCAGCTTTCTGGGGTAATTGGATATCTACCATCAGTCATGGAGCAGATGATGAGGTGCGTCTGTGTTCCAGAGAAGATAGGCGCAAGGAGAAGAAAGGCAAGGGCGATGAGACCTCATAGTTAAATGGTCAGATACAGTTGCAGCGCCTAGAAAATATCAGATGCTGTACTAGGTGACGGGTGAAATAGTGGGTAGTAATAATGTAACCTCTGTAGACTAGTAAGGACTATAAGGTCACCTACTGGTTAAGCTGGTTTCTTATCAATATTTATAATATAGCCTACCTGATGCTTGCAGCTAGTTGACAGAGTTCTCTCATGGGATTATAGATAATCAAAGATAATCTACAGTTTATATTTCAGTTTTCCATTGGTTTCAGGTTATGTATAATAGATGAGAGGCTTTTGAAGCCGAATGATTTGAGGGTCTTAATGTCTAGAACCGAGCTATAAAAACGCTCTCGTTTGCCAGGCCCTAGATTGAATATATACTACCTTCGATGTTCCCAAGATGATGCTGGTTAACCATATAGACTGATTTTCAGACTGACCTACAGCCAGTCTGTTATATGCTTAGATCCCTCAATATTTTAGGGGATAAGTGCAGCTAGGGGTGATGCGAACAGTGATATCATATGTCACTAAAAATATTCATATTTTATCAGATAATATATCATTAAATATGCCAAGCAAGCATCATTGGTCTAGTGGTAGAATTCATCGTTGCCATCGATGAGGCCCGTGTTCGATTCACGGATGATGCATTCTTTTTTTTTCCACAAATTCACCTGATGATTCAGGCTGCAGCCTGAAAAATACTGTGACTATACTTTACAGTACCGCCATCAACCAATGGTTGCTGTCGAGTATGAAGCAGCTAGCCAGTTCATTAATATCAAGACAGTCAACATGATATTCCCCAACTAGACTCAGCACTGAGGCAAGCACTGAGCACTATGAATTGGGATACTCTTTGCTATAGTATTGCAACATTTATTGCAGGCATTTTTGTCCTGGACTATGGAGCCGACAAATTCATCGACCATACAGTCATCCTGGGCCGGCGATTCGGCATTTCGCCCACTCTTATTGCTCTATTGACCGCTGGCGCTGAATATGAAGAGGTATACTGCAAATTCTTACTGATAATATGCATGCTTATGGTGTTTGATGTTAGCTCGCCGTTATTATTGCATCTATCCTGCAGGACCGCACCCCTCTCGCCCTGGGAAACGTAATGGGATCGACGATTTCCAACATCCTCGGGGCCTTTTCCTTGGGTCTGGTCTGCCATCCGGAGAAGATCCATATCGACAGCAGTGCGAAGATATATTCAAGTATTTTGTCTGCCGTCGCGACTTTGTTTGTCGTCTTGGCGTATTTCCAACAGCTGAATCGAGTCACTGGCGGGCTACTTATTGCCGGGTTCATTCTTTATCTCGTCTCCATCGGGGTTGCCATTTATTTGGGTGTTCAAGAGCCTCTTGAGGGTGATATCGACGGCAACAGCGATAGCGATAGCGACAGTGAAAATGAAGAATCAGAGAATTCCCCCCTGTTAAACCGACGCCCTCCCAAGCGAGCCATCCGACATATCTTCCAGCTGGTACTTGGTCTCCTAGCACTCTCTCTATCAGGATATATCCTTGCCCACAGCGCAGGCAGTATAGCCGATTGTCTGCATCTCTCCGGGACCGTCTTTGGACTGACTGTGATCGCGTTTGCGACGACGTTGCCCGAGAAGCTGGTGGCGGTGGTGAGCAGTTCCCGAGGAGAGGGCGGGATCATCGTCGCCGCTACGGCGGGGAGTAATATCTTTTTATTAACATTGTGCATGGGGATTATAGCTGTGGTTGGCATCCCTGACAACCGGACTGATACTTTTATCTGGGTTGATCTGCTTGTTGTTTGGCTTTCTTCGCTGTCTTTTACCGCTGTTGTCTTTCTTGGGCCCAGTCGTCTGGTCGGGCTTGTCTTTCTGGCTGCATATATAGTGTATATAGTCATGCGGTTGGTATAGAATGATATAACTATAAGACTTTCTAATCTATGCATATTATATAAACACATCTTTACAAACTCAATACACCATCGACAATCTTTGCAGCCTGCAAACACCGCTCGTCCTGGAATCTGGGCGCAATGACCTGTACGGCACACGGAGCGCCATCGACCAGCTCGGGGTTATCTAAAGCTTCATCAGCAAGTGTATGATTATAGATTATTGGATGACTTACAGCTCGGCTGGACACCGTCTGTCAGTGTGAATGGCTCTGGATCGAGTTCCTTTGACGATTTGCCGAAGGGAATAAGACATGCGGGGTACTATATAAAATTAGCATATACTTGAAATATAGTATACCATGCTATACGTACGTCAAGCAAGTTCCACACAAGAGTATAAGGCGGCCATCCATAAGTGTCATGTTCAACAGCCGTTGACTGCGCTCCCGGAGCGAGAACAATATCAAGGGAATATTCCACCCAAATCTTGCGCCAGAATTCCGCATAGGCCTGTCGGAGAGCATACAGCTTGGTGATAGTCTCGGACAGATCTGGTTCTCCCTCCAGCGGGACCGGCAGCGGGCCGGTGAACATGGGCGAGGATTTCGCTGCAACGGAGGGGACAGGAGGCTCGCCGCTGGGAGTGATGTGGTCTGGCGCGGGGGCGTAGATGAAGTATTCAAAGGCCAGACGGTTGGCGTGGGCGATGGACGATTCCGGAGGAGGAGAGGGCAAATGAACGATTTTGTGGCCTGCTGCTTCCAGTTTGGCGATGGCTTCATCTAGACTCCTTCGGACGGGGGGGTGAAGAGGGAAATCTTCATCAGGAGCAGGGATGCCAATAGTGAGCGTAGTAGTAGAAGTAGATGGCGCCTCTGACCAACTCCCCCCCATAGCAGAAACATCAAACCGCCATGGCTCAGCGTTGATCACGGAAGACATGAACACCTCCAGATCCTCAAATGAGGAAGCCAAAGGCCCCGCGGCAGGCTTCAGCCCGGGCATCCCCTCGGGCCCCTCGGAGACCTGCCCGCCGTACGGCACCCGGTCCACGGTGGGCTTGAAGCCGTACACGCCGCAGCACAGGGCCGGGATGCGGATCGAGCCCGCCACGTCGGTGCCCACGCCCAGGGGGGAGCCCCGGAAGGCGACCAGGCTGCCCTCGCCGCCGCTGGAGCCGCCGGCCGTCAGGGAGGTGTTATGGGGGTTCAGCGTGCGGCCGAAGATGTTATTATGCGAGTCGCCTGTCTGAGTACATCAATGTAGCATCAGTATAAATGTTTCCATCTTTTTAATATTAATATGAATGCAGGTGTTATAGTTCATATTAATTTTATTAAATTAGAAATAATCATACCATCATCGTTTGGGGAATGTTGGTCTTGACATAAATCACCGCCCCCAGCGAGAGCAAAAGCTCGATCAGCGGCGAGTTGGTCGTCTCAGGCGGGCGCTTCAGGAACTCGACATACCCGACCGTCGCCTGCACGCCGGCGACCAGGAAACTGTCCTTGACGCTCACGGGCAGTCCGTGCAGGGGGCCAACTGGTTTCCCTGTGCGGGCGAGATGGTCGTCCAGTTCCTGGGCGCGTTGTTGGGCCGCTTCAAACATTGTTTCTGTCAAACAGGAGGTCTGAAATATCAACAATTAATATAATTATTTCTTTAATAATGAATACCAATCTTACTAATTGTTGGGCAATGGCTGCCCGCTTGCAGTAGGCCAGGGTGACATCTTTAGAGGTAAAAACCCCCCCAGCCAATTTCTGCAGCAGTTCCTGCGCGCTGTACTGCTCAGTGATCTCCAATTCCAAGGAGGACAGCAGCCCGCTCGTTCGCGGCACGTCGGCGGCCAGCAGGTTCACCCCGGGGGCAGTCAACGCCGCGATCAGGGCGGGATCAAGGCGCCAGGCGGGGGGGATTTTGGCGGCGCATTCCTGCTGTTTCGCAGCGACCAGAGCTGTCCAATCCATTTATATAAAATTGTGAATCTTTACTACTAGATGAAGAATAAGGTATTATCTGAATTCCCAATCTCTAGAATCAGCAGCTTGAATGTCTTTTTGTACTGGAATTTAGCGCGGGGTCGACCTGCCGGATTTGGTTAGTTGATACTCCCCACCATGAGATCATGAGATTCTATCATCCTATCTATTATCCATCTCTAGATTATTTCTCTATTTATCTTCTTCCTTATTATGCTAACCCTAAGTGTCTTAACTGCTAATAGAGTATCTTAGATTATCCCTACCCCCTATAAAGATAGAGATGAATAGATAGATACGCTAAATCAAGGCAGATAAGACACATGCTTAGTTATCTTAAGATAATACAGTACAGTTCAAAATTTCTGATAAGATCTCAATCTTCAAATGAATCAGAATCGACATCGCTCCCACACAGGCTGCTGGACCTGCAAATCCGCCCGGCGCAGATGCGACCGCGCCCGTCCCGCCTGCGAGGCCTGCCACCGCCGCGGCCTCGTGTGCGAGGGGTACGCCGTGCGCCTGCGCTGGGGGTCCGGCATCGCCTCGCGGGGCCGCTTCAGGGGCGCCCTGCTGCCGCTGGAGGACGCCGTGCCCGCCAGACTTCCGGGCCGACAGCGCGATCTCCTGCGCAATGCCCAGCAATTGTTTACTGATTGTACTTGTCTTCATCTCACTTAATATATTCTTATGCCTTATCTAACTGATTGACAGTCTCCACAACTGGAATCCAGCTGCTGCATGCCACTCCAACTGCCAGTCCCCTGCTCCCCCTCCTCCCGCAGTTATGCCGCCACAGTGAAGCCCTGTATAATGTCTGTGTCGCGCTGCAGGCCTTACTCTCTGCTCCGGATGATACCACGCGCTTTCTACACTGCTTCGACGCTGCTCTCACCCGCTTCCGAGCGGAATTGGCGTCTACCAGCAACAGCAGGAATGCAGACGGACTGCCCGATGCAACCTTCACGGCAGGGTTGTTGCTATGTACCATCGGATCCATGCACGGTCTCCCCTGGACAATGCATCTACAGGGCATGTACAGTCTGTTACGCATCCCACCCACTCCTTCTAGCCCGGATATGCCCTTCTCCTCCCATCTCGTCGAGGTGATGGGCGTCATGGATCTGCCGGGCCTGGTTCTTGCCCGCCAGACTTCCTGTCTGCACGTTTGGAGGAGGCATTGTTTTGGGCGTACCGGCGTGGAACCTGTCAGCGGCTTACCGCGCTCCTTGCTCGATTTATACTCTTCTACCTTCCACTATGCAGATCGAGATAGTCGATCCGCTGAGACTGCCGAGGCTGCGCTCTGGGCTTGGACAGGCGAAGGGGGGAATCCCCTCCAGTACCGGCTATGGGAGGTGCATCGTCTTGCTGCTATTCTCAATATACGCCAACACAGCGTTTCCGTTCCATCAGTGCCGTCAGTGTCGTCAGATACACTCGCGATGAGAGCACTGGATAATCTAGATGCCCTTCGGCAGTCCTGTGCAGATAGCCAGGCAGGCAGCTCCGTGATGAACGCAACGAGCTTCCCCTTGTTCGTCGTCGGGATGGAGATTGCTCGTCTCTCCTCGCCACCTGAACTACGAGATATCATCCGCCAGTGCTTCCATGCCCAGCCTCAGCAGGTCGACGCTGGTCTGCATGTTTTGCTGGCTCTACTGGAGCGTGTCTGGGCTGGTGATCCTGTTGATATCGAACAGTTTCTGCGCCAGAAGAATATGGAAATCAGACTTATATGATTCATTGACAGTGAAACAGTATATAATCAACTACTTTATATTATCTTGGCGGGGAAGCATATTGCGGCAGGGAATCATCTTTCGGCTTCTGGAAGAAACGGTTTGCATATCCCACGCTGTTTTTCCAAATGTCTTTGATCGTGTTGGCTTTGAAGGCGATCGCCATGAAGAATATAGAAATGCCTATAGACCCCCCGACTGGAAACGACCACGATGGTTAGATTGTTCTGAGTTGAGTCCGGGTGAGACTTACAGATGATCGGGAAGATCCAGTTTCCGTGATAGGCGACACTGTCGTTTTCATGGGGAAAGTCGATAACATTCAATGCGAACAGACTCGTCAAGAAGGAGGCGGGAAGCTGATTATCAGAAAAAGCCTTTCCTGAACTTCACAACTGAAAACTTACAAATAGAATCGTCACTACCGTGAAGACCATGATGGTGTCTGCCTGTTTGGCTGTCGCATTGGTCTGCTCGCGTGCCGCTGTGGCCTCATTGATATTTGCCTGTTTTTGCTTCAAATCGAGCAGGGCTTCCAGTGCCTTCTGGACTGTTTCGGCCTCTTTGATCATCTCCTCAATCTCTTCTTTCATCTCTGTGGGTGTATTATTACTGGAGGCCGCATGGAGGCCGTTGCTCAACGCCCGTTTCCACACCTGCTCTTGGTCTTCGGCCAGAATCTTGAAGATGTTGAGCTCATCGCAGATGTCTTTGACCTCTCGCAACCTCTCAGTCTCTCGTCTGATATCGTTATAGTGGTGCTCCATGTTCGAGTTCCCCTTATTCCTCTGCCTGTGAAATATGGAACTGAGCAACTCGCAAAACCCACGGGGGTCGACGGGTTTGCTACTCGAAACTGTGGATGTTGAGTCCTTCTGGTCAGGCTTTACCTTTTTTTCGCTGCCATTGAGCGAATCTAGGAACTCCCTAAATAGGCTCGCCTCTTCATCCCGCTGCATTATTCTGTTAGTCTCTCCCAGGGCATATGTGCTGCTGCGGAAACTCACCACTTCTCGAATGGTGTCTAGGAAGACATCCAAGGGCGATGTCTTCTCCATCCCCGGAACCTCGATCTCTCTCTTGTTGAAAAGGTCCGTCGCCGTGCTGAGGATGAGTTCAGTCATGTATTCAGCACTGATCGATTGGGTGTTTTTCTCTTGGTCCTTGAGGGCGTTAAGAACATGTTGCAGGAAGGTGTTCTCAACTCCATCTGGCTCTTTTGTAGTACTCGTGATGATTGTTTCTAATCACACATCAGATTGAAAATGAACCAGAAAGATAAGATTGAAGAAAGGAAAGAAGAAAAGAATGAATACTTTCGTCGAGAACCCAAAGCCACAACTGGCTGACAGTAAGGATCTTTTTAGACCCTTTGGCCTCTGGATTGTTCCCTTGCTTCTTGTCTATATACCGTCCCAGTACCTGGTCGTTGTCTCTATCATTAGTGTTTGTTAGAGAAACATAGTAGAATTGATCAAGTGTCATGGGCTCGTGGATGATCTTCTTCTCCTTTGATTTGGTCAATGTATTCCCTTGCGGCGAGTCTTGACTTTTCTCTGTTTTTCCCTCATTTGACTCTGAGTCCTTTCCAATCATCTTAGGGGTTCTCTCAGCTTGCTTTGTGGGTTTTTCCTCTGTCTCTCCGCTGTCTTTCAAGTACATCCAAGAGATATATGGCATCTATAAGCACGATCAGCAATAGAAGGAAACAAACCCATAGTATGACAGACATAGAGAGCCATTCTTTCATCAACCCCTATTTCTTTACTCTCTTGGTAGTCCCCTTTCTCTGGCTCCTGCTCCACCTTTTCCTTTTTTCCCTTTGATGCTGTTGTACCATCAGGTTTTCCACTGAGAATCTCCTTCTTCTCTCTCTGTAGGGTTCACTAAGTCAGAGTTGAGACTGTAATCTTCAAGTTTAAATCATACCAAGACCCGCGCCTTCATATAGGATTTCCCTCCACCAGCTGGCAGCTCGGCCCATCCTCTTCGTATAAACTGAGCCAGGGCCCGGTGGTGTTTATTCTTGACGTTCCGGTCTCTTGATATCCTTACCATCAGTTCCTGATTGGGTGAGCATTTCTTCATATCAAAATGGCGATTCAATGATATACACACCTCAATATAGCGTATCTGAAGGGAATATGTTTAGTAACAAGGATCTAGAGAGGGACGAATGTCTACCAACATTGTTTATAGGAATATGGATCCATCTCAACACCTTTCTCCTCTCCTTGTCCTCCGGTTCCTTCTCCTCTGCGGAATTTTCGGCCTTTTTCGCCTGTTTGCTCTGGGCTTTGGGATCGCGAGCTCCTTTAGTGAGACGGGATGCATCTTTAGACTCTCCCTTATCCAGCGTTGATGGCGGATCATTTGGTTGTTCGGAGAGACTGGAGAGTTCGCTCTCAAGAGCTGCCAGGTCTCGGTACTTGTTCACTCGCATTATATCTCGAGGTCCGATGTCATATATGATCTTGACGACCCCCCGTCGCTTCAGCTGGAAGCTGACCCGGTCCTCGTCCAGATAAAAGTCAAGAATAGTCCCATAGGGCTCCTTATTTTCCTTCATTGTCCCGCCGGGCTCCTCATTTGCTGGGAGTATCCCATCGGGCAATTTCTTTGGCTGGAGAATCTTATTGGGGCCCTTCTTTGTCTGCACTGTCCCATCAGGCAATTTATTTGGCTGGATAATCTCATCAGGGTCTTTCTTTGTCTGCACTCTCCCATCAGGCTCCTCATTTTTCTGGGGTTTAAACTGGAAGTCTGGGAGATGGTGGTCATCCATGCGAGCTCTGCGTTTCAGGATTGGAGGCGGATCATATAACAGCTCCTTAATCACCTCATCTAATTTATTAGTGCTTCCTCGCCCGTCAATGATATTGATTCCTTTTGTTATTTCATTCTCATTCAGGTACCCGCCATTTGAAAGAAGCCACCATACCACAACTGCACGTTGGTGGTAAACAGCCAGTTGTAAGTTATCCCACTCATCCTTTGGTTGTAACCATTCAGGTGTATCAGGCAATACCATGTTGTTCTTGTGTAGTAGGACTTGACGTAGACAGCGCTCCTCTCCAGGCGGTTCGAATCGAGCCGCCAGTTCCAGGATGCGGTTGACTTGAGTATTGTTGATCGCAGAGAAAAGGCCTGACTGAATGCTGCTTTGTAACGCCTCCCACAGTGAAGCTTCGGTATCCCGATGCCTCTCGCCGCTGCCCGTTGCTGCCAGCGAGATGGGGGTTTCCCCTTTATCAGTTAACCTAAGGATCTCATCGAAACAGTAGATTGCAGCGTCGCCTCCCTGACGTCCTTCTGTCGACTTTTTTTGAAGCCACTTGATAAGATACTTGGTCAAATCCAAGTAACCGTGCTTGGCTGCGAGATGCAGCGGCGTGATTGCTCCAGGGGCAGGGTCGAGTGTCTCCTTCTTCTCCTCGAGCAGGTACCTCATTATGTTAGTATGACCACCCAGCGCAGCCACATGTGTCCAGGAGGCACCTCCTCGATCCAATGGAGCCCAGCCCCTTTGATTCTTTACGCACATCTTCAGCAGATCGTCTCTGCCATTCAGAATGGCCCAGTATATAACAACCTTTATCTGGGGAACGATGTCGTCTTTGGCGTTGTCGTCGTCGCTCAACGTTTCCGAAAGGAACTGGGCGGTTTCCTCCGCATTTTCGGGGATTGAGAAATACTCTTCTTTCAAGGGGGAATCCGGAAAATAAACCGGTGTTTTGAGCAGTTGAATGACGATCTGGATATGTCCCTTAGATACAGCATCGCTAAGAGGTGTATCGCCCCAGGCGTCCTTCTTGTGTATCAAATTCTTCATGACACGGCTGCTCTCGTCTGGCGGGAGCTTGCCTAGGCTCACTAGAAGAATCTTGCAAACCTCTGTGTATCCGCCGTAACAGGCGGAATGCAATACGTTTCTTCCCTTGTTGTTGACTGCCTCGATGGTCTGGATAGACGCGCCGTTATCAAGAAAGTGTTTCACAATCCCTTCATTGCAAATTGAGCACGCAATGTACAGGGCAGTACGACCAAGAGTATCCTGGACATCCAGGAGACTCACCCACCGGGGAAAGAGCTTTTGGACAATGTCCAGACGCTCTGTCTGGGTCGCAATATGCAATGCCGTTTCTCCCTCATCATTTTTTAGATTGACATTCACCTCTTTATCGAGCAGATATTCCACAATATCAAGATGTCCCTGTGTGGAGGCATAATGTAATGCTGTGTCTCCATCATTGTCTTGTAGATTGACATCCACCTCTTTATTGAGCAGATATTCCACAACATTAAGCCGGTCATACTCGGCCGCACCCATCAACGCTGTTTCGCCGTATTGGTTTCGCTCGTTGAGAATCTGGGACCCTGCTTTCGCCACGAGCAGTTCAATAACTCCATGGTGCCCTCCTTTAGCAGCCAGCAGCAGCGCATTGTCGTCGCGTCCGTAATCGGTAGTCCTGGCAGACAGGTTGGTATTTTGTTTGATGAGCTCTCGGACGATGTCTTCCTGGCCGAGCGCCGCCGCAAGTAACAGGGGGGTCATGTCGGAGGAGATTCTCTCGAAATAGGGAAGTCGATAGTCGAGCAAGACCTCCCGTGCTCCTTCATTTTTGAGGAGCTCTGTGGTTTTGCTAGTATCGCCTTTTTTGATGGCTTCGATGAGTTCTTTGAGCCATCGAGGCTGGCCTTCGGTTGCTGGGGGGTCGTTTTCGTCGAGGTTGCGATCGCCGGCATCAGATAGAGGCTGTTCAATTAGTGAAGCTCAGAAGGAGGCATCTTCCACTCACGACAGTAGGTGGTGTAGCTTCTGTATCTTGTGTATCTTGTATATCTTGTATATCTTGTGTAGCTTCAGTAGGTTGTGTATCTTGTGTAGCTTCTGTAGTGCCCTCCATGATGAATGATCTGATGGCTGTTGATCTCACTTTCACATTGCAGCAGAGCTGGAATAAAAGCCATAAGATAACCAGGCTGTTAACCCCTCATTTCCATCGCAGCTGATCAGGTTCATGCGGCTGTAGAATGAAAGCGCCATCTCCAATCACAGATGTCCACGATGATGGGTAGGTGTTGATGCAGCTGAACAGTATTTGTCATTGCTGCAAGGCTTGCGTCTCCAGTCACATCATTACGAGTCATGCCGGGATTTTGTAGAGGAAGAGGAAGAGGAAGAGATAAGGCTAAAGTTGACGCCTTGTATTCATCACTTGTCTAGCCGATTATATAGCAAGACTTGATAGAGGGATAAGTAGGAATATAACTAGTGGGTTATAAGAGTTGCATTCAACTATTTGCTATTCACTAGACAAGTCATCAGCAATACTTGCCTCTTAAGGTGGCTGGCATGGCCATATGATGTATTACAGCCTGATTACTTATTGCTTCTAAGTATTATAGAATAGTGGTTATATTGAAATATTCAAGTAATAATTTAATAAATATACACTGGTATCAGATTATGATATATATTAGTATCTTATCAACTAAATATATTTAATAGTCTAGTAAAGGAACATTGATGGTTTACTCTAGACAGTATAGATACTATAGTCTACTATAAAGTGGTCATCTACTCATTAGACTAGATATATACTATTACTATCATCCTACAATACAAACCCCATCCAGAATGCCCATCCTACTCCATGCTCGCACCGTATTCACCGGTACATTCGGTCTCCTTGAACTTGCGCGCCGGGATGCGACGCTCAAACAGCTCGTCGAGCTGGGCGTAGGTGCGGCCCGTGACATCGGGGATCCAGAGGTAGATGAGCACCATGCAGATGACACCCAGACCGAAGAACATGTAGCCCGTCTTGGAGCCGATGGCGTCCAGCTCGAAGGGGATGACGATGTTGGTGACGGTGCCGATGATGGCGTTGGCGCCCGTTCCCAGCGTGGCGGTCTTTGCGCGCAGTCGGGCAGAGGCACTTTCGGCGGCATACGACCATCTGTTCATTAGCATTTTGAATCACTTGGTATAGGAATGAGGAGCATACCCTGCCACACCCGGTCCAACAGCCACAGCAGCGTTGAAGAAGGCGATGAAGAAGACGAGACCGATACCTGCGCCGGTGGTGGTATTGCCATGATCCGCGGAATCAATCACACCAATGCCGACTACCAATTAGTATATATAGATATCTATATAGTATATAGTATAAGGGAACTCACGCATAGAAAGAGTGATGCCAGTGACACCCCAGAAGACCAGGTTGTAACGACCGACTTTCTTGTTCTCGACGAAGAAGAAGGCGATGATGGCGGCGCCCAGACCGGCACAGGAGACAATGACGCTGGAGAAGAGGGAGTTGCTGACGCCGGCCTCCTCGAAGAAGTAGGTCGAGTAGGACTGGACAAGCTGGTTGCCCACCAGCTGCTGGGCGAGCGAGGGGAACATGGCGCAGAAGGTGCGCTGCAGGTTGGTGCCCTGGAAGCACTCGAGATAGGAGGCGTCGGCGGTGGACTCGCGGTGCTCGCGCTCCTTGAGCACGGTATACTGCAGCAGATGGCTCAGACGCTCGACCTCGGCGTCGGACTTGTTCGGGTGCAGGCTCTTCAGGCTGCGCTGGGCGTCTTGCGGGCGGTTCTTCAGCACCAGCCAGTAGGGCGATTCGGGCAGCAGGATGGTCATCAGCACGAGGGTCAGCACGGGGATGGCCAGACCGACGTAGAGAGGAACATGCCAGGAGCGGTTGTCGGTGATGTCGGCGCCCCAGGTCTCATTGCAGCCCCAGATGACCAGCGTGCCGACGAGGGAGCCAAGGGTGACTGTACATCATGAACTTAGCAAAGAAAGATTGAGTTATAACGGCAAGATGACTTACGCATGAAAGCAAAGAGACCGATGGTGATACCACGGATTTCTCTCGGCGTCACCTCGGCCACATAGGTCGGGATGACGACCTGCATCAGGCCCGTGGCGGTGCCCATCAGGATCTTGGCGCCCGTGTAGTCCTGGTAGTTCTTGGAGAGGATCTCGGTCATGACGCCGATGAGGATGTTGAAGCTCATCAGGTAGATGGTCTTTTTACGTCCGAACCGATCGGCCACCACACCGGCAATCAACTGTCCAACGAATTGCCTGAAGAGTTAGTTAACCCTAACCCTAACCATAACCATAACCCTAGGGTTTCATTTAGAAAAAGAAGAAGAAAACATACATCAATCCGAATAATCCAGCCCATAAAGACAAGGTCCAGGCGCGAACGGCATAGGCATCGGTGCTCTCGTCGTAGTGGCCCATGGTCTTGCAGAAGGCCTGGACGCCGACCAGGGCACCCAGCAGGGAATATTCCAGTCCAAGAACCATACCGTTCATCTGGAAAGTTAGACTTGCTGAGTGGTGTGAATTGTGGGTTAGGGTTATGTTAGGGTTAGGTACCTGAACAATGAAGATCACTGTGCACAGCTTGACGTTCTCCCGGAGCACTCTCCACGGCGACTTGGCTTCGGCCAGCGAGTCGAGCTGGGCCTCGAAGAAGTCATTGCGCGTCAGCTCGATCCCCTCCGGGGCCGGCTTCAGCACTTCGACATGTGTTTCGTCGTGCTTGTTCATGGTGGCTGTCTGTTTGCGAGGCCTGACTCTCTGCGTGACGGTGACACAAAACTGGAGAGAGACAAGAGGGTGTGGAGGCGGGGTTGCGGAGGTGGAGCGGGCATTATTATAATTTAATCTGGGCTGCTCCGGACTCCTGAGTTTCGTGCATTCTGTTCGGGCTTCCACGGAGGTACCGAGTGCATGCGGTCTGGACCCTCCGTCAGCCTCCGCCTGGCCCTCCACTGGCCCGCCGGGCCTGCACGCCCTGGTCAGGACACGCCAGCTCGTATTCTGATCCATGCAATTTGACTGAGAGCTAACTGAAGCAAAGAAATTCGTAGTATAGGTAATATGTATATTTCTTACTCTATATTATTCTATATGCAGTATACTATTGATCAGTCTATTGTACTATATAGTAATGTACTACATGGTGGATGGAAACTATGCCAATTCAATGCCAGCAATGTAGCCTAAGCTCATCCTACCAGATCGGCGGGGCCTTCTTTCCTTCCGATTCCGACGTGACTCACGCCTAGCCAATTATGGCATGGTGCTCTCTTAGCAGGATTCTCTAACCAGTCTGTAACGAGTCATCTATGTCTTACATCTACTGTCGCGTGCTTGGTAGGACCAATTACAGAGTACCCAGCATATGTAGTATGCAGTGTACAGTATGTGGAAATCATGTAGTATGGTTAATTGATCTACTCCTAGTAGTAGTATGTAGTACTTAGTACTGTGCTACATAGTTACTAGTAATAGTAGAGTATTTAGTTAGGAGTAGTGTTGCTAGTGGGGTCCCCACACCCCACCCCCTCATTCCCACATGAACCACGCCCAACCAAACGCTCGGGCTCAAGTCACCTGTTCTGCTCAGCTGCTGCCGGAAAACCCTCGGGCATCGACGCTTCAAGCCATTTCCCAACTTTCTTGATCCTAAATTCACCGTCTGGCGTGCGCTTTTCGCCTTGGCTTGCGTGGTGGCACGTGGGCAACTCGCGCCACGGCGCAGCTCGCACGGTCTGGCCGCGGGCCATGGAGAAGTCAAGTCGCTAGCTGCATATGTAGTATGCGCTTCTTTCTTGTTTGCCGGAAAAATTTTCATTCCCTATTCAACATTAATAATGATCCTAGGAAATAGTGCCTGCTAGGTGCACTGACTAACAGTTCACCTGACATGCCGATGGTAAAATTATAATTATGACTATGGTCTGATGTAGACTCCGTATAGAATCTATCTCTAATTCTTGTCCCACATGGAGGCAAAAACCCCCCCCGCGGCTATCAACTCGTCCGGCCGGCCAAACTCCGCCGCAACCCCGTCCTGGAGCACCAGGATGCGGTCAAAGTCCGCCACCGTGCTCAGCCGGTGCGCGACCACCAACAGCGTTGTCTCCGTGAAGCTCTCGCGGATGGACTGCTGGATGAGCCTGTCAGTGGCGCTGTCCACGGCAGATGTTGCCTCGTCCAGCACCAGGATCTTCGGCCGGGTGAGGATCGCTCGGGCAAGACAGAGCAGCTGTTTCTGTCCTTGCGAGAGGTTGTTGCCCCCCGAGGCGATGGGCGAGGTGAGGGACAGCGAGGCGCCTGCTGCCGTGGAAGACGCAGGCAGGTGTACCCGTTCCAAGGCATCGCGCACCTCCTCGTCGCTGAACCGCTCCAACGGGTCTAGATTCGACCGGATCGTGCCTGAGAAGAGCACGGGGTCCTGCGGGATGATCGCCAGGCGAGTGCGCAGATCGTCGAGCCGCAGCCGTGAGATGTCCATCCCGTCGATCGTGATGCGGCCTTGGCGGGCTTCCAGGAAGCGAAACAGCGCGAGAGAAAGAGTCGATTTGCCTGGAAGAGTTAACAAACACTTTTACTAGAGCACACGCTGACACGAATGTTAAAGACTTACCTGCCCCTGTCCTCCCTACAACGCCGATCCGTTGGTTCGGTTCAACGGTAAAGCTCAATCCCTTCAGGATAGACGGCAGCCCGTCTGCATATCCAACCTCTAGGTCTGAGACCTCGACGCGTCCGTGTTCCGGCCAACTGGCACGCACGACATCGCCGCCCGCCGGTTCGGTTACGAGATCGCGATACTCGATGATCCGCTCGGCGGCGTTCATATCCAATTCCACCTCTGTGGCTGTGCGGATCATCCACGCAACCGAGAAGCTAAAGTTCAAGGCGAACGAGAGCGCAAACCCGGCCAGGCTGGCGTCCACCCCGGGCATGCTCACTACGCAGATCGCGACGGCGACAGACAGAAACATGGCGGTGATTCCCACCCGGAGCAGCAGCCAGCCGCGGAGCAGCCCGTCATACCAGGTACAAGCGGCGTAGGTATCGATCAGGGCGTCCATGCGGGAGATGAACAAGGCGCCCATGTCGAATGCACGGATCGTGGCCAGTCCACGCAGGGAGGTTGAGAAATGGGATATCACAGGTGATTTACTCGTCGCTTCTAGTCTCTTGATGGACCGCGCGGCTGTCAGATACTGTCGGGCGATTAGGGCAGAGATGAGCAATAACACGGCGGCGACGACGGCCATGATCCACGACACAAACACGGCGGAGATCATGATCCCGGCGAGCGACCATCCAATCCCGGCCAACTGGTAAAAGTCCTCGGCAAGGGAGGAGTCCAGCAGGCGGAAGTCGGCCGTGAACCGGTTCAAGATGCGACCGGGGGGGATCGTATCCAGCCATCGTAGCGGGGTGTGTAAGACCGTGTGCAGCATGGAAGTGAACAGATTGCGCGATGCTTTGATCGACGCCGTGTAGACTAGGAGTAGTCGGCCGAGCGTGATTATCACAGACACACTCGAGATCAAGCAGTAGATGCCGAGATAGTACCATAGCGAGTGATTCGGTGAGGCCGATTGGATCGACTGAGCCGATTGTATAATGAAATCGGGAAGATGAGGTCCAGACGAGATGGTCATCTCCTTCTGTCCAGACCAGATCTTCACCCAGTACGTTCTCCCGACGATAAACGCCTCCGACAGGGCAAAGCAAAGGACAAGCATCGTCCAGAGGGACCATCCCCCCGAAGCAGAGAGATATCCCTTGTACACCTCTGTCGAGACACGGCCCGTCTCGCGCCCTTCAACGTCGCCTTCGGCCTTTTCATTTTCTTGGAATGTTTCCATCTCGCCCGGGTTCTGCTCCCCATCGCTGTCTACAGTAGCCACCTCGTCGCCAGCGTATTCCACCACCCCGCCAGCCAGACGGACCGAATACGCCGCCTGAACCATGGCAGCATGGTGCGTGGCGAGGATCCGCGTCCGCCCCTGAGCGAGATCCCCGTGGATGGCCTGTTCCAACACATGTCTGCCGACGTGTGCGTCGAGGGCGGAAAACACATCATCCAGGACGAGGATCCCCGCACGCGAATACAACGCCCTGGCAAGGGTGACGCGCCACTTCTGCCCTCCGCTCAATGCAACCCCCTGCGGGCCCACCAGCGTCTCGTCGCGGTCCGGCAAGTTGGACAGATCTGCTGTCAACGCACACGCGGCGATGGCTTTGCTGTAGCGGAGGGCGTCAAAGGGCAGACCGAACAGGATGTTGTCGCGCACACTGGCGTTCTCCAGCCAGGGACTCTGGGAGACAAATGCCAGACCGGTGGCGCTGGACGGGACATGGATTGCCCCCTGTAACACTTTAGCTTCGCCCAGGATGGCGGCTAAGAGCAGGGATTTGCCGCTTCCCGTCGGCCCGGAAATCACGCTCAAGGCTCCAGCGGGAAAGGTCAGATTGAGACCGGCCAGGGTGAACTGCCGGTCCTTGTTCGAGCTGGGAAAGGCAATGGTGGCGTCGTGGAAGGCAACCGACGGCCCTGGATGGGTTGAGACGGGCTTCTCCTCGGCACGCAGGAAACGGTCGATTCGCTCACAGCTGACTTTGGCGTCCATGAGCATCACAAGCAGGTATGGGACATGCGAGACGACTCCCTCGAGCTGCAGGACGAGACTGATAGCTGTGAAGGCGACTGCAGGCCCGAGTTCACCGTGAATGTACGCATACGTGGAGAGACTCAACGCCGTCAAGGCGATGGGCGTGAACTCGGACGCGATGGTCATGTACAGACTATCTAGCCGGGTTTTCCAAAGAACGTGCAGTTCGCGATCGCGAATCTCACCCAGACGACGCGCCCACTGATCCTCGCTGGCGGAGAATTTGATCTGGCGGATCCCATGGAGGGCCTCGGTGGTCACGGCGGTGCGGTGGTCGCGGATCTTCATGAGTTCGGTCTGCTTCTTGCCGTATCGCGACGAGAGGGCCCGGTTGATGGGGAACAGGAGGACGATGCCCAAGAGACCGGCGCAGAGACTCTCCCAGCCCATCAGGAAGAAGAGGAAGACGGACGTGACGGCGAATTTGCCTGCGGTGTTCACATACTGCGCAGTCATGGCCGCGAACTCTGCAATCTGCTCGCAGTCCACCGCAAACATGTTCACCACATCTTCGGCGTTTTTCTCTTCCTTTTCCTCCGACTCATCAGTATCCTGGTGGTTGTCATCGTGATGATGACTATCGTCCGTGTGCAGACTCCTCCGGAGCAACTTCCTGTACATCACCCCGGCCAGGGTGGAGCGCAAAGGAACAACAATGGTACCAATCTCCCACCAGTTGACTCGCGAGTCGCCCAGCTGCGAACTTAACTCCGCCGCAAGGATGGCAAGCACGTATTTCCACGCATCGGGGTCCGGCGCATCCAGATTGTCGCCCCGGGCCTCTAGATGGCGCAGAAGCTGCAGTGCTGCAAACGACGGCGCCACGTCGAAGAAGTTGGTGATCAGGATCGACCCCCACTGGACCAGGAGCGGTTTACGGAACTGCCACGTCAGTCGCATCCAGAGCGGCAGGCTGTCGTTGAGGATGATGTCGTCGAATGCCTCCGTGCCATGCTGTGTACAGACCTCCGTCGGCAGAGCTGGAAAATCGGTCGTCTCGAGAGTCTCCTTGTCTCCCGCCTGTCGCACTGCCTCGACCCAGTTAAGAGACCAGCGCGAGAACAGAGACCCGGTCATCTCCTGGTCGACGACTTTCCCATCGCGATAGACGTCTGGTCGACGAGAGACGGTCAACACACTCACCGCAACGCACACAACAGCGACTAGTTGCGCAAGATCGAGAACCCGTATCCTCTCGCTTCTCCAAACGGAAGTCCCCAGTATCAACGCAATCACGGCTGCCGTGGCCAGCTTCGCAACTGCTCGACGGAACCGCAGCACCGGGTCTGTTTCGCGAACGGTATCGACCAGTTGGACGAGAAGAAGGATCTGCAGATCTGCCTTTAGCAAGTATCCCCTAGAATCAGACGAATGGCTCCTACCCATGACAGACAAGCAGCAATGCTGATCTCTCCGTGGATTATCGAAAGCACAGTACTCGCTACTGACAGTCCTAGTCCAAGTGAGGCAAACAGGAAGAGAGCCGTAAAGGAGCGACGGTTGGAAAAAGCCTCCAAGGAAGCATCGCTGGCCACGCCGTCAGCATCGTCGTAAAGGCTCTGTTTGCGCCTGCGTTTCGAGGCGATCAGTCGACGCAGGGAAGGGATACTCCCCAGCACGACGACAACGGCGATAGCCTCCATCTGGTGAGGCTGTAGAGAGAAGAGATTGACCAGGAAGACAGGAGAGAGAGAAGAAGAAGGTGGAATAGGTAAGAGGGAGGACGCCTAAGCTCACGACAGGAAGACTAATCCTAAAACGGATATCGGGCGGTAATGATATGACAGTGTATTATGTGTATTTATCTGTCTATGCAGGGTAATTTATTCTGTATTATACTGGATGGTAACAGTCAACTCACCCAATCACATCACGCCGATATCAAAGTCCCTTTTGGGACCCCGCCTGTAGCACTAACCCCTTAGGGATAGTCTGTCGGAAGAGGCATACTCCGAGTCTATATAAAAAGACTACATTGGTAACTAGTATATAGTGTCCTCTAGCGATGAGACAGGAAGGATGAGTCAGATGTAACCTTGGGGAAATCTCTGCTATGACTCAGACCTCAGGAGAGTCACCATTTCTGATTAACTCTACATCGCCTATTCGTCAATTCTTGAGCAGTCTCGGAGTAGCCCTAAGTGAGATGAGTTGCTTGAATAGGTATAAGCTGTCTAAAAGTGCCTAATAGTAATAATTGAAGGTAGTATAATGTATAACCTCGGGCAGTTACTTCCGATATCCAATTCTATTCCATTCTAGTCTCTTCCCATAATCTCCCTCATATACCTGTCCCAATAGTATTTTTTTAAAAGTACCATATAAAGATCTTGCCCCCCATTTCTTGCACTCTTCGCAGATATGAAATTTACCCTCATGACATATTAAACAATGGTAGGCATCATATAATGACGTGTCTATTCGACATACATCACAAGATATGTGATCATATTCGGGGGGAACGTCATAGTCAGATAGATCCTTATATTCAGATAAAACACCATTCGTTAGTTCATTCGACACGGTTGAAGGATGCATCATTCGACCTTCTCCCGGCCAGGACAGAAGCTCTAGAATCCGCGGCCTGTTCCTCGCCACAGCTTCCATCAGCGCTGTACGGCCGAAATTATCAGTGGCTTCTCGATCAAGAGTTGGTGCCTCAAGCAAGACTTTCACGATTCGGATCGATCCTCCAACAGTCGCTCCCATCAGCGGTGTTCGTCCATATTTGGCTTTTATGTTTGGGTCAGCGCCTGCCTCAAGCAGTATCTGGACCATGTCTGTTTCAGGCCGCTGTGCAGCATAGAGCAAGGCAGTTCGGCCGTGGCTGTCTCGGGCGTTGACCTTTATCTCTTATTGTAGTAAAAGTTTCACTAATTCAGTATCCCCTTGCAAGACAGCCCCATGCAGCGATTATTGAGACTCCTTATTTAATGAATTGGTTTAGCTTCATGTTTTGAGTGAAACATAAAAAGCCTCACTAATTAAATGTGTCCCTTTTCTACTGCACGCAATACCAGTGAAGCAATACTGACATATTCAATTATTGCATCTGGCCACTCCTCCAGCACGAGCTCCACAATACTGCAATAGCCAAGATCTACTGCTCGCTTGAAAATCTGCTGCACAAGTTCGGTCGAAATGACAGGGCGAAGCTCAGATTCAAGGAACTTCTTGGCCAGCACAGCGTTGTCGATGCTCACGGCGAAAGATCGTTCCAAATGCCTTCGAAGTCCATAGGTGTGAGCCATTCAAGGATCTGCCGCGTCTGCTCCGTTGTTGAAAATTTGCCGACTTTCACGACGTCCTCGTGAACTAGAACTCAACTCATACTCGCGTCCTGTCCTATACTATTGATGAGAGACTTTGGGAGGCTATAATCTAACCTGTGTTCAAAAAGTCCTTCGCTGCAGGTTTCCTGTCGATACTCTTCAGCTGGACACAACCCAGAAACTCCTTAGCACACGCTGCCGCGGCAGCGGCAGCATAACGCTGCCAGGAATCATTCTTGTGGGAATCGGCATAGTTCGAGATGCCACGGATTACCACACAGGGAAAGATGTTCATCAAGCCTGCTGCTTCCATCTCGAGGCAGATTGCTCCGTGTTTGTCCCGGATCTGGTCGCGCATGACCGGGTCCTTGACTACCACCCTTCCGGAGGCAACTGTGCCGTAATGGATTCTCGGGGCATCATCCAAGCGTGGCTTCCGAACCACCAGCCTCGTCTTGTCACAGTTCCGGCAGGTCTTTTCACCCGCAATGTGTGGGGAGTCCGGTCGAAAGAGTCGGTCAAGCGACCGGCCAGGAAACGCGAATCCCTTCCTCATGAAGGGGTTTTTATTCAGCATCTCTTCAATATACTCCACCACTTTGCTCCCGTTCATCTCATGCTCTGCTTGTAGTTTTGTAAGCCCGGCGGTCAGCGATCTCGGCGGGCGGTTCAGGACGGAAAGACTCTCATAGGACCCGTCAGCCAGTTGTTTTCCAAAGTCATAGACGACCACGCCGCCAGTCTTTGGGCTGCTGCTGATCACGACGTCGCCAAGGCAGATCATCTCTTCTGGATCCTCCTCTTCCTCCTCTTCTCCCTCATCGTCGTCGTCGTAGCAGTTGTCTGGAATGCCACCGCCGACACCAACAAGCAGCCCGACTCGGATATTTGGGAAGGTGAAGAGCATCGCTTTGGCGACAGAGGCTGCAGAGGAAGCCCCGAGTTCGTGTAGCGGTAGGGAAGCGATCACCACCTTGAACTGGCGGATACAGCCCAACAGGTACGGGTTGTCATCGGCATTGGCTTGTAGAGTCTGTGGCTCTCCGTGGATCTCGTCCAGCATGCCCTTGGCAGCTGCAAACTCAACTGGTAGAACACAGATCCATCCCACTGTGTATTCGTCGTTGGCGTGGCGAGACTGAAGGCGTTGCTGGATAGCACCTGCCGTATTCGTCATGGCTGTGTTTGACGCGTTTGTCATGTTTGCCATGTTTGCCGTGTTTGCCATGTTTGCCATGTTTGCCATATCGGTCACGTTGGCGAGGGAAATGGCAAGGCAAGACTGAGAGCCTGAAATCACTTGAAACCGGCTGTCCTCGTCCATTGTCTTGTATGAGAGAGATAGTGCGCAGTTGAGTCAGAAACCCAGGGCGCCTATCCTCCGAATCGCATATATATAGTCCGTGAATAATACAAATAGCAGGGGCCACGGGCTGGTGGGGATTGCCAACGCATATCGTCTCATATTAATCATTACCCTATCAGATTCGTCTGACCGGGCCTCTTTCTCTATGTCAGCAGCAATTCTCAGCCTATAATTTCCATGATATTCTATTCTAGGATTCATTGAGATACTCCGTACTCCGTGTAGATCAAGTTCCCTGCTTCTATAGCTTACACTCTTGTAGAGCATTAATTGATATCATTATTATCTAGTATAGAGATGTATTCTCTAAATATATAATTATGATAAAAACCAACTTTTAGCTAGAATAGTATATTCACTTATTTGAACAAGACTGAAATCCACCTCTCACTAGAAAATATAGCAGACATCACTATAATCCTCCTGCAATAGCTTCTATATAGGTTTAGTATCCCCCAGAGAGCCATAATGCCTATCAGACACAGGTAAGCAAGTAGAAACGCAAGAAAGCCTTTACTTGGAAAGCGAAGAGTACGCCTGCCATATTTGGAAGATTAATATTCTGCCTCTGCCACCGCCTACCCCGCGTCTATTCCGTCATCTCATTTCACGTCTTATCTCAACTTCCCTTCCGTTTCTCCCAGACTCTTTCAAAGCCTCTCGTCCCTCACCTCCATAATGTGGGTTCGTCCAGGCAGTCCTATCACCCTCCCCAACGGCCGCCTGGTCTGCGGCTCGCACAGACTCGTGGTCTGCCCTATCTGTACGGTGGATTACAGCTTCATGGAGGAGGTTCTTGAAGACGACGACGACGACGACAACGACGACGACAACGACGACGACGACAATGCCTTTGATGACGATGAAGATACCTACGTTAAGAACAATGACGACGAAGAATATGCCTCCGACTCCGGCTCCTCAATTATAATCCCCTAAACTAAACCGAACAACCAACGCAGAGTCGGCACCGGTCGCGTCATTCCCACGAAATTCAAGCCCCCCCATCCAGAAGATACACCCAAGCAACTGTTCCCCGTCTCGACAAACATGGCAGCCACTCCGCCCGTCACTCGTTTCATCCGTCGAACAGATAAAACACAACTCCTCATCTACACGGACGGAGCGTGTCTGGACAACGGCGGAACGAACCCACGAGCCGGATGTGCCTTTGTCTTCAAGCCGTCCACCACGAACCCGCGATCAGATGGGTATACACATTTCGCGCTGGAAAGTAAGGGACCAACAGGCGACCCGTCCCCGCAGACGAGCAATCGCGCCGAACTGCGCGCGGTGATAGGCGCTCTACGCTTCCGTGCCTGGGAGGGAGAAGGATTCAAGAGTCTCGTCATCGCCACGGACTCCGGATACGTTGTCGATGGGATCACAGAGTGGGTGCGCGGGTGGATTCGCAGGAGGTGGACGACTAGCATGGGGAAACCGGTGAAGAACCAGGATCTGTGGCAGTGTCTCTTGGGGGAGATGGAGCGTTGGGATGAAAGGGGACTGCAAGTGCTCTTCTGGCAGATTCCACGCGACCTCAACGGCGAGGCGGATCGGTATGCGAAAGAGGGGGCACAGGAGGAACAACCGGAGGAGTTTATGGATATCAGTGGTGTCCTTGTTTGATTCCTTGCTTGTATACCCAGCTAGTTACCGATGTTGTACTGGCATTTAGCACTAGCTTGTACAGAGGCATCTATTGAGGATCATATTCTATCATGGTTTCGGTTTTTCTTCTATATATGATTTATTTGAAACAACTCTCGAGCAAACTCTCGATCTGGCGAATCTCGTCTTTCTTCGCAGTCAGACTGGCCATGAGGTAGAGTACATTGCCCAAGACGCGCGAGTGGACGTTGGACTCTGTTCCTTTCAGAAGAGCTTGTTGGATGGTTTGAGCAGCATTGGAATTGTAGCCTAGAGATAGAAAGATCAGAGACAATCAAACGAGGAGAGAAGGGAGGGAAGAAACCTACCGCTAGTAGTATCCTTGAGTTCGATGCTCAAGACACCCCCTAGAGCAAAACACCCGTCAACACTTGGATGGTGAGACATCCTCTCGACCAGACTCTTCGACCAGAGACTCCAGATCCCATCCTTCCAGTCCTGCTGGTACTCCTTCCAATGGCCCGAACTGTCCATTTCCGCCATCTGCCGTAACGAGTCCACCGCGACCTGGCATCCAACAGGGTGTGCAGTGTAACTGTGGCCGTGGAGGAGGGCGTCGGCCTTTTCATGCGAGGCAAACGCCTCGAAGATCTCCTCGCTGGCTAGAGTGACGGACAACGGCACAAGTCCGCCCGTGAGAAGCTTTGCATGGACGGAGATGTCGGGGTGGACGTTCAGGAAGGACGCAGAGGTCCCTCGACCGAGACGGTAGAGGCCTGTGAAGACTTCGTCGAAGATGACTGGTAGTCCTTTCGTTTTCGATTCAGCGGGAACAGTGCTGAGGGTATCAAAGTCGAATGATCTCACGACGTCTACCAATGTTCGTTGGAAGAGGGGGTCCCTAAATCAACAATCAGCAAGTGTGAACATAACAAGAAAGAAATACTCACGCAAAAAGCATCCCGCCCGCGCCGAGAATGACAGGCTCGACGATCAACGCCCCGAATCGTCGTCCCTGAGCAAGTAAAGAGTTGAGAGTGGAGGTGATGGACTCGCGATACCGGTCCGCCGTTTCACTCTTCAACCGTGTGTCCAGATCAAAGACTTTGTCAAGGGATGAGAACTTCTCGTCTTCTACCTGCCACGTCCCCTTGGTCATCTTCACGACAGGGAAATCAAACCAGTACCCGCGGCCACGATACCATTCCACGCGTTCGTTGAAGGTCGACGGCTCTGAGCAATCCATCACGCCCATCGTATCCCCGTGATAACTACCCTTGAGACCAAGGATACCGATATCTTTATCTTCCGGTTTGGAGAGTTTCCATTGGTATTGCTGACAAGACGCTCGCAAGGCCATCTTCACCGCTGCCTCCATGCCCGTGCTCCCGTTATCGGTGAAGAAGGCGCGCTTCAGTCGCGGGTTGTCGACGTGCCGCAGTAGCTTCTCTGCGAGTTCGAGTGCAGGCTGATGCACCGTTCCTGCGAGAATGACGTGTCCGTACCGACCTGCGGCGTATGCAGCCGAGAGTGCCAGTTCGGGGTTTCCATGGCCGAGCCCCTGCGTCCACCACGAGGCAGAGCCGTCGAAACTGCTGGAGAGCATGTTTTCGTCCTCTGCTTTAGGGTCGAAGGTCTGGAAGTAATCCGAATACGCAGAATCGATCACGGTGATGTCCTTGGAGTCTAGGTTTTGATGCTGGGTAAAGGGATACCAGATGGTGCTGTGCGCCCTCTCTGCCATGGATTGCAGCTGGTCGATACGTTCGGCGTTCTTTGTTTTCAACTCCTCAACCAGTGAGGTCAGACTGCCGCTCTCTCGCTGATAATAGTCTGTCATGGCATCGACATCTCCCGTCTCCTTTTTCGGCGGAGGCAATGGCAGCGAGCAGAACTGGATGCCTCTCTTGGTGAAATAATCCCCCAGATACTCGTGGTTACGATAGTATCCGTCCTGGAACACCAGCACGGCATGTACGTCGTACCCGCGCATCTTCAGCGATTCATACGCCGACACTGAAGAGGAAATCCCTCCCAGTCGGTAGTCCGCGATGAGAATCACAGGAAGACGTAGCGGGCGATACAGATCCGCCTGTGATGTTCCGTCTGGACCGGGGGAATGCACGCCCCCGGCCGTTTCGACGAGACAGAAATCCACCTTTTTCGACCATGAGGTGAGAGTTGATCGGATGGAAGAGAGGAGCTCCTTATTACTAGGCTTTACACATTAGCTATATGAATTAAATCCAATGACGAAGACATACCGGCGAAACGGCTGCCAGGTGTGGACTGATCGGCTCGTCGAATTCGTACAGACACTTGGTGATACCCTTTGAAAATCGCTGGACGTGTCTATTCCAATTAGCACTGATCTCAATGATTCTTTAGTACAAACAGCTTACGTGTGATCGGCGTCGTCGCCAGTCGATACCGGCTTCAAGAACCCGGCGTTGGGGACGGCGTTGCAGAGGAGCGTCGAGACGACCGTCTTGCCCACGTTGGTGTTGGCGCCATAGACTTGATGAGCGTGAAGCCCTCGCCGGAGGATGGCCTGCATGAGAGAACGAGAGTGACTGACTATATACAATAATAGAAATGATACAGAGATCAAAAAGAGAGAGAGACGGATTAATGGAGGTTTAGAGTCACTCGGTTATTTGGCGGGAATAACAATTGCACGTGATGAGATTACAGAAATACGGTAAACTATACCAGTGGCAGACTCAGATCAATACCTAGTACCTACGGAGCAATCATATAAGTTACTTAACCACTTGCTTCTATAGACTATTTGAACGGTATAGTCATCTCTATAGTACTAAATATAGACCCGTCAACCAATATATCTGCATCTAATTATAATACGATCTTGCAATTTTACGATTTTACGAGGTTTAAGGTTATTTTTTGTTACTAGTCAGGAGTATCTGCCGAGGTAGACTAGCCCCTTTGGGAAGTCCCAACACTTTGCCGATTACCCCTCAATGACTCAGCGATTGTCAACACCAGCATCTTCTCAACGTTGTCAATTGGATTGCGATCATGTCGCTGGTTCAGTCGCTGAAAGATACCCTGGTTGAGAGGAAGAAGAAAGGCAGACTCCGCCAGCTGACTCTGCCAGAGTACTCCGTCGACTTCTGCTCCAACGACTATCTGTCGCTGTCGACATCACCGCTCTTTCGAGACAGCTTTCTGGAGAGAATCAATGCCATTCCGCCTGATCTGCCTATTGCCAGTGGCGGGTCTCGTCTCCTGAGCGGCAACTCCGAAGCCGCAGAGAGTGTGGAGCGGTTCCTGGCCGGGTTTCACGACGCGCAGGCGGCTCTGCTGTTCAACTCGGGGTACGATGCCAACGTGGGCGTGCTGTCTTGTATCCCCCAGCCGGGGGATATCATCCTCTACGACGAGTTGATCCACGCGAGTCTGCACGAGGGGATGAGACTGTCTCGAGCAGAGATCAAGATCGCCCTCGACCATAGCTGTCCAGAGAGCCTGAAACAAAGATTGATCGAGCACAAGGAGACCAGTCGGAATATCTTTGTCGTTGTCGAATCCGTGTACAGCATGGACGGGGACATTGCACCTCTCGACCAGCTGGTGAAGACTGTCGAGGAATCGGGTCTGCAGAACGTCTACTTCATCGTCGACGAAGCCCACGCCACGGGTGTCTTGGGACCCAAAGGCGCAGGACTCGTGCAGATGATGGACCTGCAATCTCGCATGTTCATTCGAGTCCATACGTTTGGCAAGGCATTAGCCAGTCACGGCGGTAATTCTTCCTTGTCTCTGTTTCAAAGTCTATGCTGATGATTTAGCTGTCGTTCTGTGCTGTAATACTACGCGACACTATCTCATCAACTACGCCAAAACGCTCATTTACACGACTGCCATTGGGATCCCATTCCTGTGCTCTATAGGCACTGCCTACAGACTCCTTGAAACCGGGCAGACAGACAAGGTATGTCTTGCGTTGTCAGTGTTGCAGATGTATCCTATACTTATTTATCCAGATGCAATCACATCTTCAAAGTCTGATTCAACACATGCACGCGAAGCTTCTCCCCCTCTCAAACACAAAATTGCAAGTAGACCACCATCCGACCTCTCCCATCTTCTCCCTCCGCACTCCAATGCCCAAACACCTCGCTGAGACGTGTCTGTGGCACGGCTACGGCGTCAGGGCAATCATGTCGCCTACCGTGCCGGTGGGCAAGGAACGCGTCCGAGTCTGTCTGCACGCGGGGAATACCTTTGAAGAGGTCGATGGCTTGGTCGGGATCATTGAAAAGTGGCTTCTTAATTCGAAGTTATAGCGATAGTCTGTATATTATCTTCTATCACTATGTATTCATAGACGCAAGCCTACAAGATACGAATCAATCATTTACGCCTAGAGATATGATCATACAATACCAACGGGAGACTCTTCTACCAAATATTTCTACTCAATCGAATACTGTCAAGAAAATAATGAAGACTGGAAAAGCACTGCGTCACGTGGGGACAGGTGACCATCATGCGACACCATCACAGCAATTTCCTCCTTCCCACAATCTTCATCTTCCCTCCAGTCGCACATTGAGTGTGGCCATCACAGCTTTCTAGCGCCACATTCAGCAGAAAGAGTGATCTCGGCATCAATGGCTCGTATCTGTCTCGCTGGCTGCACTGCCGGTTATTTCAGCTCCGTTGCGTTTCTAGCTGCTCCATGGGATTTCTCTACGAAGACAGTGTGATATAAGGCCTCCCTATTTGATACATGCTACTTCTCCTCGGCGCTGACTACTCTTGACAGAGCATAGGCACCACTATCAATCATCAAAGATACTCTTCCCCGCATAGTTGTTCCCGTTCATCATCCTCGCTCTTCCGTGAGCTCGCATTTCCCCATAACTATGGCTTCTCCCTTCACAGACGCTCCCAGATGCCACATAATCGCCATTCAACATCCATGCCTCGTCCTCCACCTCGGTGAAGTGGTACTCGTGCCCCCTAGGCATCTCGATTTCCGTCACAAGCGGCTTCTCTGGTCCGTTGTCCACGTCTGCCATCACCGCCGCCGTCTGGAGAGACTCATGCTCGCCCGTTTGGCTCGACTCGTCGGATTCCATCGCAGCGAGCGGCGCGGCGGGAAAGAGCTCGACGAGCTGGTCAGTGTATTTGGTCACTTTCTCAATCAGATCATCCAGGGTCTTCTTGTCGTGGAGCGCCCATTTCACCCTGCGCAGAAAACCGGTGCCCTTCTGTCGGCGATGTGCCATCTTGCGCAGCTTTCCGTGCACCGGCGACGTCTGGAAACTCGGTTGTCTTTGAAAGGAGGGCGTTTCGCATGGTTCTACCATCTTGGCGGCGTTGTTGTATCGGCTGGAAACCCTCCTGGCGTCATCAAAGGTGTTGATGATGGCTTGCAGCAGGTTTTTGGCGTGGTCGCGCTCCGCCTCAGACTCGATCAGAGGTTGATCGGTCTCGATGCGAATACTCTCGCCCCATCGTGACAACCGCAGGTGGGCAACGTCCAGCTGGATCAAGCTATTCTCATAGTCGATCCCAAACGTGTGCTCCAGGTGGAAGTACTGGAAACAGTCCACGCAGGATGTGAATACGCTTGGTAAGCTAAACACAAAAGAAACAACACTCGCCATGGCCAGGTAAATTAATGTGAGTATGGACCCTGTCTTCTATTCTGGCTGCGGTAGAGAAATCATTCTTGAGAGCTGTGTATTTATAAATATAGTGTACGTTGTCAGTGCTTATAATTGGGTATCTGGTAAGCGCCGAACATGTCGCAGCATTGTTGTTCTGTGCCATTCTATCCAATCATTTCAATTATGAAACACTAACTATTAACCGGGAGTCGAGACTGGGATACCAGGATTTCCGTCTGGGAGAGAGAGGTAAAGAAGTTTTTCCATATTTATCTGTTCATTCAACTGTTCATCTTTCAGGATATCTTTGACAAGGTAGAGAAAATGGAGGAGACTGACATTCACCCCCAGCACTATGAACAGACATTTTCCCACCTACGAATGAGCGGTAACTGTCGGGTGGTTAACGGAAACATTCACAACTGTCAGTATTGACTCGATATATTGGATGATCATCTGTTTGCAAGACCTGACTCGACCAGACGAAGCGCCGTATGATCGCACGCCAGACAAGAAGAACGAGTTGATGCGGCAACTAGACAAGGTGCCATATCAAGACCAGAAGAACAGGATCCCCGATCGCACTTTGGGGACATGTTCATGGTTCCTAGACCATCCCATCTTCCAAGAGTGGCAGTGGGATCCTCTATCGCCGTTGCTCTGGGTCACTGCCGACCCGGGCTGTGGAAAGTCGGTTCTGGCCAAGTTTCTCATCGATGACACATTGAAGAGCTTCCAATCGAGGATCGTCTGTTATTTTTTCTTCGATGGCAAATCTAGCGAGCAACAGAGTATCACGAATGCCTTATGCAGTGTGCTGCACCAGCTGTTCCAACAGGAGGAGGACCTTCTTTCCGATGCGATCTTGCAAGACTACTTGAGGCACGCCAATTTCACCAGCTCTGTCACTCAGCTATGGAATACACTTATCACTGCAGCCGAAAGTTTAATCAACAAGGAGGTCGTGTGTGTGTTTGATGCCATCGATGAATGTGAACAGCACGGTCGAAAGAGGCTGATCGAGGAGGTATGTCGGTTCTTTAACCGCAACGAACGAGGGCCGTTGAAGTTCCTCCTGACCAGTCGTCCATGGGGCGAGATTCGACACGAGATTGAGTCTCAAATTGGCGATCATCTGCCCTCGATCCATCTGCAAGGCGATGCCGACACGGTCGTCCAGAGTATCTCCGTCGACATTGCCCAGGTCATCGGAAAAAGAGTCCGCGGCATCTCCAAACGACTCCGGTTCAACGAGGAGGAGGAAGAAGCTTTATTACATGGGTTTACTAAAGGCAAGCCGCACCGAACGTACCTCTGGACTAAGTTGATTCTGGACATGGTGGAAAGAAATCCCGACATCACCAAGAGCCAAATCGAACAAATGACCTCGGAGCTGCCACAACCTGTGCAAAAGGCATACGAGAGGATGTTATATGAAATTCCAGACCCTGACAGGGCTAATGGCATCCTCCATATCATCCTCGCAGCTACAAGACCGCTGTCGGTGGACGAAATGAGGCATGCGTTGAATGTTATCGACGGGCATCACCATTCCTCCCACAACTTGGAGCTTAAAACCAAAGCCTGGTTCTGCGAGAGAGTGCGTGAGCTCTGCGGGCTTTTCCTGACAATCGTCGACGATCACATTGATATCCTTCATGAAAGTGGAAGAATGTTTTTGGAGCAGAGGTTTTCGGTCCAAGACGCCCATCGTACACTCGCCGAGGCCTGCATCCGCCATCTTCTGTTCTTTGAGGATTCAGATATAGAAGCTCCGTTTGTTGAATATTCCGTCAGGAACTGGACAATGCATGCTCAAAAAGCGGATTTCGAGGCGGGCCATGAGATTATTCCATCCATGTTAAGATTATGTGATCCCAGAGCCAAATGGCTGTGTTTGCTTCGCTTCCACTCCCACACCAACATCGCTATACCTGAGGACGGGAACAGTCTCATGGTCGCATCCTGCTTTGGCCTCACTATGGTTGTTAATCTTCTGCTCAACCAAAAACCTCCACCCAGTGCTCGAGACAAAACATACGGCCGTACAGCCCTCTCCTGGGCCGCTGGCAACGGCTTCGACGAGACCATCCAACTCTTCCTACCGTCCATGGTTTGTCATCTGTGGCGACCATTTTCTACATTTCCCTCCATTGAGCTATCAGATCACGAAAACCGCACACCATTGATGCACGCCGTCTTGAACGACCATGTGTTGGTTGCGAAGCGACTCCTCGACGCCGGAGCATCAACAAATGCAACGGACAAGTATGGTATGAGCGCAGCGGAGTACATTACATATTCCACCAGTGATGAGATGAGGGGACTCCTCAGCATCCAGTCAAAGTCATTCGTCACAAGAAATACACCATGGAAGCTCTCAAACAGCGGCAGAATATGTCGCGCCTGGTATACATCTTTCTCTTCGGCATTAGTCCAGCATGTTGGAATGATGAAGCTAAGATCAAGTCCACATACTCAAGATCGTCTGCAAACAGCTGCTTGGGCTGTGAGGAATGGACATGATGATATTTTCAATCTCCTCTTGACAAGATGACATAAAGCCTATTGATCGAGATTAGCTGTCTGGCGTATTTCTTGTTTAGATAGAGTCTGAAAGATACTCTAGCTATTTCCATAGTTTGATATTGAAATTATGATCAAAATGAGTCTATATGTTTGAAACAGTAAAACCAATTATACATAAATACTAGTTGACATCCAAATTATGAGAGCCTTTGTTATACAACGATTTGACCGCGACGTCGATCAACTCCATGAATCGGTCTTTCGACAGAATGACATCCTTCTGATGCCAGTCGTCACGAGAGACGACGTTGTCACCATCGGGTGCCTGCGACGAGGAGGCATGCACACTGTAGTACGCATGGCCGAGGAGGCCAGCGAAATTACGGAACCCCTTATGATTAAAGTCTGGGGGCAGGATCTCGACCATGACGGAACCGGCGTCCATGAACAGACCATGCGTGAGTCCTGCGCCGTGGACACCGAGCAGGATATCAGTGGTGGAAGCGATACGAACCTGTTCGCGAAAGGGGATCGCCGCGAAGTCGACGGCCTGCACCAGAACGTCCGGGAAGGCCTGGCGGATGTCCTGCAGATAGGCATCGGATCCGACCAGCCGACGGGACTCGTTGCGGTCGATATAGGTGACGGTGATTTGCTTGTTGGGATCGGCAGCGGCCGGCGCGTCGAGGCCGTAAAAAGCACGGATCCGTCCGGCAAACACACGCAGCAGCGGAGAGTCTCGACAGGGATGGATCTCCCAGTCTCCCTGCCAGATCGGGTTGCTGGCACCCGGCAGAGGGACGATCAGATTCTCACTGTCCGTGTCACCGATTGCGACGATGTCCTCCAGCCGCCGGATGGGCCGTCGGGCCATCAGCGACCACAGCTCGTAGTATGGACCGTCCTGCTTGTTGTCGAGGATGACCACCTGGGTGCGGTTGAGGTCCTCGAGGGTGTACAGAGAGGATAACCGCAGAACGTCGAGACTCAACGTCATGGAGAGCATCTCCATCAGACAGTGCCACGGGTTCAATGCGCCCTCTCGTTTGATCAGGATGGTGAAGCGAGGATCGCGGTCATCACTATCAGTGGTATCTCCGTCGCCATCACCCACCAGCTCGACATACTTGCGCAGAATCACCCCCGGCCCCGTGTCGTACCAGTACGAGCGCAGACTGCCGTACGCCGGGATGCTCAACCCCGTCGTCGTCGTCTTGGGAGTCTCCGCCAGCCGGCAGCCAACACGGAACCGACGCCGCGAGGGATCCAACCGCGCAGCCCGGGCAAGACAGAACGAGTCCACATGGTTGTCGGAGGCCGTCCGGCTGTGGAAGCAGGTCACCGTCGCCGGCGACTCGGCCGTGCAGTACTCGGTGGCCTGATCCCTCAGGCCGTCCAGGTACGGCAGGCCATAGCGCGGCGGGCAGAACGTCGACGCCTCAGGCACCAAGGCATACTCCGCCAGGCCGGCCGGATCAACTCGGCCCGACGCCAGGTCCGGGCCGAGTTGATCCGGCCGCTCGTTCTGGTTCTGGCTCTGGCCCAGGCGGGGCAAGTAACTGCTAATAATAGACGAGGTTGTCTGGGAGTCCAGGCTGACCAGCAGCCAGACCAGCAGCAGGACCAGCGACGCCGCAGTGATCAAGACGAGCCGTCGATGCAGAGGGTGAAGCATACTGGGGGAGGAACAGACACACGAGAGAGAGAGAGAGAGAGAGCGAGAGCGAGAGAAGAGGCAGGGGGCGAGAAAAAAGGCGGGATTTTTAGTCTTGCCTGCCCTGCCGGTCGCGCGGCTCAGGGACTGGTTGGGAGCGTGCACTAAGCGCCTGGTTTCACGACGAGAGCCACTCATCGACTGGCAGCGACGTGATGAGCTTCCCAATCCACGCTATACGAGTCAGACGCCAGCGAGGAGGAGGGAGTACTTATGGCTGCCGGGCGCTGCGACGGGCGTGGCCCTGGCAGTGAGTCGCCGACCGCTTCTTTCCCTGTGTTTTGCTCTCTTTTTGCCTCGCCCAGTCTGCTACGAAGATGAGGCTCGCTCGCCGACCGACGACGGCATGGCTGTGTCTGGGCAGTTGGGCCTCGATGGCGGGCGCGACGTGTGCGCCGTATCCGATCAGTATTCCGATTGAGAATGTGACGCTGGCGAACACGACCGCCCGGGGGTTGTCGATGACGCTGGGCACGCCGCCGCAGCCGTTGGCGTTTTTGCCGCAATGGTATGGAATTAGAGCGCGAACTTGGATGGATAGACGACCGACTGATCTGTCCTTAGGCCGCTGAACGATACCTTTGTCTTCAACGATGGGTTCTGCTCCGCCTCGTGGATCGAAGCCGCCTGTGAGACCTTCCGAGGCGGTCGCTATGATCCCTCCAACTCGTCGTCGATGGCGACGGCGGCAGCCGACTCGTATCCGATGAACTCATCGCCCTATCCCAACTGCACCTGGTTGACGGACACGTTCGTGCTCAACGAGAACATCAGCCTGGCGGAGTTCCCCTTTGGCGTCGCCCAGGAGAACTGGGGCGAGCAGGGCTACCACCCGCAGGTCGCCCTCGGCCTGGGCAAGAACTCGAGCGTGCTCAATGCGCTGTCGAATGCCGGCAAGCTGGCCTCGCGCTCCTGGGGCATGTTCTTTGGCCGTGTCGGCGCCGACGCCGATTCCCAGATGGACGGCAGTCTTGTTCTGGGCGGCTACGACCGGGCCAAGGTGACGGGCGATAACTACACCGAGACCCTGTCGGCCGCCAATCCCTCCTGCTCCACAGAGATCCTCGTCACCATCACCAACCTGGAGGTGAATTTCCCCAACGGCACGGCGGTCAGTCTGTTTGACGGCGCCGAGTCGGAATCGATCTCGGCCTGCATCGTACCAGACTATCCCGTTCTCATGACCATCCCTCTCGATCCGTATTTCAGTGTCTTCGAGACAGTCACTGGCGACCCGGATCTCGGCCGCACCTTGGGCATCTACTACTACGGCATGATCTACGAGAATGCGTCGCAGGCGTAAGTTGTTCCAGAAGAGAGGACATGCTACTAGAAAAGCCACTTCCCTTGCTGACAAATGAACAGCTTCACCGGCAATATCACCTTCACCTTCAGCTCCGGTCTCTCCATCACGGTGCCGAACGACCAGCTGGTGGTTCCCAACCTCACCATCGACCAAGAGACAGGCCTCCTGAAGGCCAACGGCAGCGTGCCGGAGCTGGTGCTCAACTCGATCCAGGACACCAACGAGGACGACCTGCCGCAGATAGGCCGTCAGTTTCTGACCAGCGCCTACCTCCTCGTCAACCAGGACACCAACACCTTCACCATGTGGTCCGCCAATCCCACCACCGAGGAAGACCTAGTCGCCGTCGACACAGAGAACCTCCCCGTCGCCGACTTTTGCTCATCCGACTCCCGAACCGTCACGGCCAACGCGACCGCCGCTGCCGATCGATCCTCCTCCTCCTCTTCCTCCTCTTCCTCTTCCTCCTCCTCCTCACAAAAGAGTGGCGGCTCTTCCGCCCTTCCCCCAGGCGAGATTGCCGGAATCGCCGTCGGTATCGCGGCGGGGGTTGCCTTCATCCTCGGCATGCTATGGATGTGGTGGAGGACGAAGAAGAGAAGACAGCAGGGAGAAACGGATGCAGCTGCCCTAGCTGCCGAAGCCCAGCATCCCCCGCCGAACAGGCCGTTACCTCCCTATGAACTCGCCCACAAGGACTACGACCAGACCACCTTCTACACCCAGAACTTGACGGCGCCCAGGGAACTGCCGGCAGGGTATCCGCTGACCTCGCCGAGGGAGCTGGCGGCAGGGTATCAGTATCCTCCTCCAAGTTCACCGAAGGAGTTGCCGGCGAAACACCACCACTCTCACCTTCCAGAACTGGAGTAGTTTTTTTCTGGTATATATTTCTCTTTTCTTTTTACGTGTATATAGGACTTTTGAACATCAAGATAGACTTGAGCATGAACATTATGATACTGATTAGTATAATAAGCATACTTGGGGATATGTAGAGAGAAGTAATTCGGCACCCTAAAGTATCAAGTAGCATATTTATGATTATAGCAATGCTTCCCATGTCTGACGAGTATCATCGCTATATAATCTAGGTGGAGGTTGTCGGTATGTTCTTAGAGGCGCCAAAGCACTTGTACTAACCACAGTTCTCTTCCATATATAGCTATTGTAGCCTTTATTTCAATAAATAAAGCTATGAATATAACTGAAATTCCTAGTATCTTGATAATACCATATAATGTCTAAGCTCTAGTATGATATTCTCAAGATCGACATCGAGGGTCTATAGGAATATCAACTACGTCTCTCAATCACTGTACGGTAGAATGGGATGACTAAGGAATAAGGCTGCCTATAAATACCTTGAATGTGTCTAGAATAATTGGTTTAACTTAAGCAGTGACTACAAGCTACAAGTACTTCTTAAATAGAGTCTATCAAGATGATCTGCTAAAGGACCGCTGTGGATTCTTACCATCCAGGTAGATCTGGCCGCCCAGACTGCCTCTTCTGATCTCTTAATGGATTCATTCTTGGTGCTTATAGAAGCTAAAAATACTGTCTCTTCATAAGCATTAATATTATTTGGTTGGCAATTATAAGTTATGAAAAGTAACTCCAAGTCTGGCCATATATAAGAATTCATTTGAACTTAATACCCCATATAATTACTTTAAGGTATGTTCACTTCTTATAGGAATGTGGTGATCCCCAAAGGTTCCTCTATAGTTATAGATAATGTTGGCGAGATGATGTAAACAGGCCTAGACCCAGCCACATTTGAGGAGGCTGGAAATAGAATGTCTTCGCAGACACTAAGAGACATTGATTTTAAAGATCTAGAATAGGCCACTACATTTACTATGAATATATTTACTATGAAGATTACTACATTATAATACTTAACTTTAATTAAATGGCTGAAGAGAAGCATTTCGGATACGTTTACGAGTACGAAGCGATGAAATTTAGAGTTGATCCAATAAAAAGAAACTCCAGATCTAGATTTTATGCCCAAATTAGAAGCCACGCTCGGGTTCGTACTCGGATGCGTATCCATGTACGGATCTGGAATTCTATGAATCTTGATGCCTGGTGATGGGAGAATATAAGTATCATCTTACTCAATATCAGTCAATATCAGTCTCAATACTCTTTCTCATCTACCATCTACCATCATCATCATGACTGGCTACGTTCTCTATGAATACACTCCCAACCTGCCTTGTGCAGTGTTATTTGCCGCCCTGTTCGCCCTGTCGACCGCTCTTCATCTCTACCAACGCATCCGCCATCACTCCAAGTACTTCAACCCGTTCATCGTCGGCGGCATCTTCCAAGTGATCGGATACGGCGCCCGCTGCGTCTCGCACTTTTCGCCCACGGCCGTCATGCCGTACTCGCTGCAGTCGCTCTTCATCCTGCTCGCTCCCATCCTGTACGCCGCCTCGATCTACATGGTGCTGGGCCGGATCATCACCTTCGTCGACGCCCCCCATCTCAGCGTCGTCCCCGTGCATCGCATGACCAAGACCTTTGTCGGCGGCGATATCTTCTCCTTCATCCTGCAGGCCGCCGGCGGAGGCATCATGTCCAGCGGCAAGGAAAAGGCCCTCCAGATCGGCCAGTATGTCATCATCGCCGGCCTGGGCGTGCAGTTGCTCTTCTTCGGCTCCTTTCTCCTCGCCTCCTTCTACTTCCATTCACGCATCGTCAAGACGCCCACGGAAAAGGCGGAGCGCACAAAGGATCTCCGCGCCTCCATCTGGCCGCGCGACTGGCGTGGCCTCCTCTTCGCCTGCTACGCTGTCAGTCTTCTCATCCTGGTGCGCTCCGTGTATCGTCTGGTCGAGTTCTCCCAGGGCTCCAGTGGATACGTCATCAGCCATGAAGTCTTCCTCTATGTCTTTGACGCCGCCATGATGTTCTGTGTCATGCTCATCATGAACTTGTTCCATCCTTCTGTCGTCCTCAGTCAGGTCGAAGACGCGGAGAAGAACTAGTCTATGCTGTTTTATGCCGTTATCATGACCTTAATGATTAGCAATAGATATCCAGACTTGATTCGTTTCAATTCATTCTCTTCCTACAGTATCAGGCACAGGCAGCATAGCCTAACTAAGTATAATCATCTTACATAACAGTTACACAGAATAATATTCTAAGAATGAATCATGTACATGGTCTATTAGTCTACAACCACCCCTTGGGCCCTCCCCAGGTCCCCTTGACCATGGACTCGTAGTAGACCCACGGGAAGAAGTCCTTCTTGAGATGGTAGAACGCGCGGCGCGGGATCGCCTGGTCGATGCCGAACCACTTGTTGAACGTCTCCTTGGGCACGCCCGCGTACTTGAACTCGGCGAGCAGGACCTTGCCGTACTCCGTCAGCAGCGGGCAGGACGTGTATCCGTCGTACACGGCCTCGGGGGCCTTGCCCTGCATGGCGAGCAGCAGGTTGTGCACCAGCACGGGCGACTCGGCCGTCACAGCCGCGGCAGTCTTGGAGGTCGGCAGGCTGGACGCGTCGCCCGCAGACCACACGTTGGCGTATTTGACGTGCTGGGTCGTCGCGTTGTCGACGGCCACGTAGCCCGCTCCGTCGGCGAGCGGGCTGTTCTTGACGAAGGCGTGCGGGCCCATCTTGGGCACGACGTGCAGCAGATCGAACTCACGTCGCACCGGCTCGCTGCCGGGCTCGCTGCCCACCCGTGTAAACACCGCCGTGTTGCCCTCGACCGCCACCAGGTCGTGCTGGAACAGTCCCTCCACGCCGCGCTCCTGGCGCAGCTTCTCCAGCGTCGCGCTGTACTTGGGCACGCCGAACATGGTGGGCAGCCCCGTCGCGAAGCTGATCTGGATCGCCGACTGCGATGCCTCTCCCCCTGCTTTGTATAGCCCGGCTTCCTTCCAGTGGTCGAGTGCCAGCCACATGATCTTCTGCGGCGCACCGGCGCACTTGATCACGCCTGCCGGCTGCGTGAAGATGGCGCGACCCTTGGTCAGCTTCTTGATGCTCGGGTACACCTTGTCGACGCTGTCGTAGCTGTAGATCGACGAGACGGGCGCGTCCGGGTTCGCCAGCGCCTCAGGGAGACCCTTGATGCTGGTGTTGTCGACCTGGATGCCCGGAGCAACAACCAGCTGCTCGTAGCCCACACGGTCGCCGTTCGCCAGCGTGATGCTGTTCTCCTCGGGCGCAAACGTCGCCACCCCGGACGTGTACAGCTTCAGCTTCTTGTCCACCAGGCTGCTCAGTCGCCGCCGCCCTTCCTCCTTGGTCTTCAGACCACCGCCTACCAGCGTCCACCCAGGCTGGTAGTTATGCCACATCGCCGGGTCCACCACCGCGATCTCCTCCGGCTTGAACTTGCCCGTCCCCAGCAGCTGGTGGCTGATCGCCAGCCCGGCTGCTCCCCCGCCAACCACCACCACCTTGTGGCTCGCCGTCGCCGAGCTGACAGGCGCCGCTGCCGCCGTCGCGAACGAGCGCGCCGCCCCCGCTAACCGCAAGCTGCGCTGCATTTGTGAGGTGTGGTGCAAAGAGATTCTCGCGAGACTCGCTGCTGGATGCTGGATGCTACAGAGAAAGAAGCTGGACGCGGCAGGAGTTGTGGGCAGGTGGCAGATTCCGATTCCGCAGCCAATCACCGCGTGGCCACATGGCGTGATCTCCGGTCTTCGGCGTCGGCGTCGGCGTCGGCGTCGGCGTTTGATAGGGCTGGCACGTGATGCTTATGTGATACCGTCACGTGGGATTCCCGCGTTTCCATTTTGGGTTTATCACGTGGCTATCACGTGGAATATCCACGTGCTCTCATTCGGAATCGATTCTCTCTTCTACCAACGAGTATCTTCACTCTCTCTCTCTCTCTCTCTCTCCTATCCATCCCCCGTCAACAGCGTCCATCTATCATCAGATCCCGGAATCATCCTGAAGGAACTGCTTCCCGTCCTGCGAGGTATTCTTCCAGCTATCCCACTGGGCGCACGTCTCGTTGAGGCGTGCGTAGTCGTCGTCGTCCAGCTTGATCTCGTTGGTGTTCTCCAGGATCTGCAGTGCAAGGCCCCCGGAAGCGTGGAAGGCGATATGGCCTGGAGGTGAGTTAGCAAGAGCTTCTATCATTATCTACGTGTTTTTTGAAGGGTTAACTCACAGTGCATCAGCCACACACCCGGGTTGTCGGTCTTGAACGCGAGGACAAGGTACCCGCTCGCCGGGAGGAAGGCGACGTCGCGCCGTGGGGGGTTCTCCAGGTTCAACTTGAGCTGGCCGATCTGAAGGGGCTTGGTGGACTGTTCGAGGATGGCAAAGTCGTGGCCGTGCAGATGGATCGGGTGATGCGTCTTGGGATGCGCGCTCTTGGGCAGGTTTTTGGTCGTGCCCGAGATGAGCAGGTACACCCATTCGTTGTGCGGGTGCGTCTGGTTGACCACGACGGCGTACTGGCTAAAGTCCCCGGCCTTGGAGCCCTCCTCCACCATCCGGAGCGACGGGTTCGAGAAGTTGAGCCACATCGTGCTGGTGTACATGTTCCACCGCTGCAGCGCCCGGTCGGACGGGTATAACGGCAGGCCCTGGTAGAACTCCATGTCGAGCTCGAACTGGCCGTCGCTCGCAAAGTTGGACGGCGCGCCCACCAGCCAGGGTACCACCGGCACCAGCTTGTCGTACGGCTCGTCGTGGCAGTCGTCGTCGAACGTCCCTCGCCGCGACGTGGGCGACGCCACCGGTGGGCTGCAGTGCTCGTCGTAGCACACGATGCCCGTCGTGCTATGTTCCTTGTTCCATGTCTCAGGGTTCAACCCGTTCCCCGCGCAGCCCTTGGCCAGCTCGGTACGCATCCAGAAGGTGCCTGCATTGTCGTCGTTGAGCGGATTCGCTTCTACGATTACATGGTACCGTTGTCCTGGGGGTGAGTTAGCTCAACCTTCATTCTCTATAAATCACAATCACCACTGCTTACCAATCCCCACCACGATGTGGTCCGTGGTGTACGGCTGGATCGGCACGAGATCGGCAGAGATGACCTCGAGAATGTGGCTGTCGATGGAGAAGATAAAGGTGGAATCGACCGACGTGTTGATGATGCGCAGCAGGTACCGCTTCCCCTTCTTGAACTCGGTCGTGTACGGGTTGGTCGCCGGGGTGCCGCCCCAAGTGCCGATGCCGTTGATGAGCACATTGTCGACCTTGAGGCGCCCACTACCACCCGTTGTGATCGATTTTCTCCATTGTTCCTGGAACGGCACGTGAGACCAGTCGGTCATCAGCACCGGTTCTATCGCCTCTGTCCAGTTGCTCGACGAGGGCCCATGGATAACCAGCGGGCCCAGGGTGCCCTCGCCGTACTGCATGCTGTAGTGGCTGTGGTACCAGGTGGTTCCGTACTGCACCGTCTTGAACTTGTACGTGAACGACTGACCCGGCGCAATCGGGCACTGCGTCACCGCGTTCACGCCGTCCATCGCGTTCGTGTTCAGCTGCCGGATCCCATGCCAGTGGATCGTCGTTCCGTTGTACGTGAGGTTGTTGCGCACCGTCACCTCGATATCGTCGCCCCAGCAGCTGCAACACCATTCAGTCAAACGGCCCCCCCCCCATCTTTCAAGAGAATGCAGACTTACCCTTGAATTATGGGCCCGGGGTATTGGCCATTGACTACCTGAGAAGTACGAGGCACTCCGTCGGGGGTGATGCTCTGCTCGCTCACTTCAATCTCATACTGATCGACCTTTCAGCCAGACTTCCTTCATGTGTAGATAAGATAACATACCTTGCGGGTCACGCCAATCGGGGTATTATCCTCATACTCGGTATTGATATCGAACCTCTCACCAGTAGCTCGGTTGATGAGCCAGCAAGAGCGATCCGCTTCGCTCGAGCAGGGTTCCCAGCCCACCATCTGCGAATAGTCGCATTTGAAGTCCTCAAAGTCACCCTTGGGAACCTCGGGCGCTCTGAAGATCGGACCAGGCTTGGCAGCGTTGACGGAAGCAACCGGCACGCTGGCCTCGTTCCCCAGGGGATACTCGATGGAGGTCACATCACGACTGGTGGAGGAGAAGGTGAACAGGTTCAGCACCGACACAACATTGGTCCAGAAAGCGTACATGTTGGAGCAGCCTCTCTGCAGGAGACTAACCAGCACTTACTCTTTCAAACGTGCTTATACAGGAATATATAGGCGCCCTCGGAAGACACGGAAATGCTCAAGGCCTGTTGCGATTTTCCCCCTCTCCCCCTGAATAGACGCGCAGCACAATGCATACCCCGCAATCATCGCCACGGCGGCGTGGCTAGCTGTGATGCCGTGCAGCTAAACGAACAGGTGCAAGCAGGCGAGCAGCAGCGTGGCGAACTATACTCTGTCACTGGATTAAGGCTGGATTGCCAAGCAGATCGATGGAGCTGATGAACTCCCACTCTCGACGATGATTCGCTCGTCGCTTGTGCTTGCATGTTTGCTGCCAGCCCCTGCCGAGACATGACGTTTCCTCTTCTTGCAGATATCAATAGATCAGCCTTTATTCAAGTCTACTGCACCTCCATCACAGTGATGGATCCACTCTGCCTGTCTTGAATATCTCCTCGCCTAGCCAGTTTGTGCATTGAGATTGGATGTAGAGCACCAGGTCTGGAGATGAAAGATACCAAGGCTGAATATTGGTCCTTGCAGCTGACACATTCTGCAGACCCTTGACTCTAATCTACTCTAACCTGCTAAGCTGAGTGCTCAGCCAGCCATCACCTACAGGGGATAAAGCACCATGCATGAACTAGCTTCAGCAAATAGTCATTATCTTGAAGATCTGGATTAATTGAGCGATTGGCTGGGGTTCGCGCTGAGCTTAGTCAGCTGTTCTGGTAGTTCTTCTACAATATATTTCTTTTATAATAAACATGTCAATCTTTATATATGAAGAAATAAGTATTAAAAATGTTTTATTGAAAGCTTTATATATTCTTTATAATTTTATGATATGGCGGTTGAACTTGACTCCAGGACACTCACAACAGATGTACATGTCAGCTGGGAGTCCAGGCAGTGCTCTGGGCCATGCCCTAGGCTGCCTAATAAGGAAGCTCATCTAGACATTAAAGAAATATATATTAAGGATATATACTATAGTATAGTATTGATAAGAGATAGCCCCCCCTTAAGGGAGAGCTAGGTTATAGCATATGATCTAAAGAGCTGAAGTTCCTTTTATTATATCTATTTTCTTTATTCTTAGTCTCTTTCCCTAGAGAGCGCCGAGGCTGCCCGGCACGGCGTTTTAGTATATATATGTCTAGATAGAATGCTAGCTCTATGGTATGTGAATACCTCTACTAGCAATAAGTAGAAGAATTGACTATTCTTGATAAAGTTGAATATTCAATATTGTACAGATGAGTATAATAAATAGACAATCACTCTCCCCAGCCCAGCAAAAGCCGAGTCCCCTCTAGCCAAAGGGACGCCTCCGCCATTTCCCGCACTGTTCTGCCAGTTTCATCAGTCAGGATGAGTGATGCACTTCCACGCGGGGAGCTCCAAGGCCCGCAGGTTGGGGTCCGCGCCGTGCGCCAGCAGCATCGTGAACAGCTCCGGGCGGTTGTCGCGGATGGCCGAGCACAGCGGCGTGTAGGTGCCGTCCTTCTTGGAGTCCGGGTCGACGCCGGCCTGCAGCAGCAGCCGCACGGCGTCGCGGTTGTTGGTGCTGGTCGCCTGCTCCATGATCCCGGGGGCCTTGTGGGTGTCCGCCCCGCGCTCGAGGAGCAGCCGCAGGCACTCCGGGCGCCGCACCGCCGGCCACAGCGGGTGTTTGGGCCCTGGCTGGGCCAAAACATATCCACTCATCCCTATTGCATTACTCTTTATGCAGTCTAGACTAGGCATGAGTTTGACTATTCTGAGGATCCCATAAAGAGTAAGTACTGCCGGAGATGAGGTAACCATTATTCATAGACTTGGAGGCTGTAGCAGGGATCTAATGGGATGTCCACTTAACAGGAGTGGTCTTACAAGCTAGGCTGAGGTCTCCAATATGGTCAGGGCTGGACTGGGCTTGAGCCTTAACCTCACCCTAGCCCTGATCATAGGGTCGTTAGTGCTTGCCATTACTGCCCCTGAATATAAGTAGGCTCTAGAGGTGATTCCTATGGCACATGTTCAATCCCAGGGAACTAAATTTCTTGTACAGTAGCATAAACAGACATCACTTTAGCCCATGATCATCGCTTGAGGCATTACTCATAACCCTAGCTTCAGTCTGACCAACAATTGATGACAAGAAAAATATCAGTAGAATATAAATTTGTTTTATGAGTGTTTAGGGTTAGGGTTAAGTTAGGGTTAGGTTTAGATTTTCTGAAATCCCAATTTTGGTCAAACGCCATCAATGCGGGCTTGTGTGTGCAATGAGCATTTTATATTCCTACTAATCTTCTCTATATGCAGGAATATTCTAACTTATATCCCTAAACATCATCCCTAGAGTGGGCTGGACAAAAAAAATACTATCAGTCAGTTAGACCTCAAGCATAGATGTATTTCTCTCATCCAAGAATTTCACCACCACATCTGTCACCTCATCAATATCATCAACATGTGGATAATGCCCTGTTCCCTCAACAATATGCTCGGTGAGCTCGCTCAAATGCGCCCGCAAAAACGCCATGTAAGCTGTTACCTCGCCCTGTTTGACACTCCGGCGTACACCAGCCTCGTTCTCCTGACTGACAATGGCGAGCACCTTGACTTTGATGTTGTCGAGAAGAGCCGGAAGCAGTGTATCAAAGACGCCATAGTAATGGCCCATACGCAGGGCATAGACGTAGTCCAGCTCGTTGAATTCCGCTCGTACTTTGCTTTCAAATTCCTTCGACGTGCGCGGTCCAAAGTACATGCCAAGGCGATCCTGGATGGTGTCACGGTACGCCCTTGCGTGAGAGGCAAGAGAAGCCATGTCCAGCACGGGTGGTGTGGCACCCAGCCATGAACCATCAATCAGAATGATATGGGATGTATTCATTTTGCTCATCTGCAACTTCTCCGCGATCTCAAAGGCAAACCGCGTGCCCATGCTGTGGCCATAGACGACGGTGGAAAGCTCTCCCTGGTGTTCTATCTTCGAGATGATCTCTTGGTACAAGGCAACGACTAGTTCAGAGGTGCCGCCCTTCTCTGGCTCCGGGAGTATCGAAGACGGAGAGTCACCGTGTCCTGGGAGGTCGACGGCGATGTGCAGCCAGCCATGCTTTGAATCATATCCCCTTGAACAAAGAGCGTGCATTAGTGGAAGGAAGTGGGTGGCGCGACATCCCCAGCCATGTATCATCAGTGAGACATGTTGGATAGGGCTGTCTGTCTCTGTGGTGAGATAGGAGAGGGTAGACGTAGAATGGAATATCATGGTGGTATTTCAAGTAGATTCAATACTGATGAGTGGCAGAATGATATTTAAACTTGACTCACTTATCAAGTGTAATTATTGCTGGATAATATTGTAGCCTAGAGCCCTCCTCTCCAGGTCACTACTATACTCAAGACCTATTATTCCTGTGATTATGCATAATCTTATCAGTCCAATAGATTAGCCTTTAAAAACAACTGTGTATCCTCCAGGTTATTACCTCCATCAAATTTGCGAATACTACCAAGTTCCTTAGATCGCCTACCAGATACTTTATAAGCCCTGATAGGAAGATGAACAGATCCTTATCATTTTACTATCAGGCAATACCTCATCTATAGCCTCAATGGTGTCATCGGATTCACCCTCCCACTTACAAAATCGGCTATCGTCTGCCCATCTCTTTCTATTTCCCCCTTCTTTGCCTCCAGAGACTCCATCATGACCCCCCTTCAACCCTTTGCTGTCCCTGGTGCGCAAACAGTCCATAGCCATGCCTTCCCATATGGACTGCAATACACCGGGGCAGCCTCTGTAGAGGAGGCGGTGCAGGCCTTGACAGATTTCTCTGCTTCTGGTGAACTGTCCGCATTGCTGACCCGACACGGGGCGATCCTCATCCATGGAATTGGGCATGCCTCGGCCGACACCTTTGCACGTCTGATCAACGCGGCCGAAAAGACTCGCGGGTCACAGCCGTTTGTCCAGATCGGACTGGCCGGGAAGCGAAATGCTATTGCAGAGAATATCTGGACAGCCAACGAGGGACCGTCCGACCGTCGTTTCTACCAACACAATGAGGTTTCTTCCCCCCCGTGTCTTCTCAGAAAAGAAGAATGAATATAGCTAATAAATTAGTATGGTCGGTACACGCGATTCCCATCGAATATTCACTTTTACTGCGAAAAGAAAGCATTGACCGGTATGACCTCCTCTCTCCTCTCTCCTCTCTCCTCTTTTCAGCTTGGAGATAGGCACTGATGGCCAGGCGGCGAATCACCCATTGCACACAGCGCGCTGGTCTACGAGAGACTGCAAGAAACCGTTCCCGAACTGGTCGAGGCGGTCCGCTCCCACGGTCTGGCAATGAGACAGGTCTTCCGGGCGCCCGGCAACGAAGGCAAGGGCAACGAGTTCAACTGGGCAGGCGAGCACAGCTTCGGCCAGGATTTCCACCCGGGCGACGATCTTGAAACGCAGAAGAAGAAGGTTGAGGTGCAGGTGCGGAGATTGACCGACTCGTTCCGCTGGTTGGAGGATGATACACTTGAACTGACGCAGTTCGTGCCGGGTATAGCTTCTCTACTATATTAATCATAGGGCTATGATTATCCGGAATTAGCTGATACCGAGTGTTACAATACAGGCATCCGAACCTTTTATGACAAGCCTGTCTGGTTCAATGGTCTGGTGGGACGGTATGGGATGACCAGAGATCTGGGAGCCTTGGAGCCGCCTCATCTGGGTCACGATGGGATGACCTGTGAGTTCGCTGGGATCGGACTTGCCTGATGCCACAATGCTAATAGGGTAGATCTCCCATCAAGCTATAGTGATGGGACTCTCATCCCGCAGGAGTACCTGGCCCGCATGGAGGAGGTGGTTGATGGGTTGGAGATCAACGTCGCCCTGGACGAGGGCGACCTCTTGCTGGTTGACAACTATCAGGTGTCCCATGGCCGTAAGCCGTGGACAGGGGAGCGCCGCATTCTGGTCAGCATGTGGGATAGAGATGATCATGGCCATTAACTGGGCGCGATGAAGGATTTGACAACCGCCATGCGGGATTGCTATTCAGATGTGCCTTGATGAGATGGTTAGAAGAGACAGGATCAGATTATTATCAGTGAAGAAGACATGTAGTTAATCAAGGCCTATAGATAACTAGTGGGCCTAGGGTCCTCACCATACTATACTATAGTAGCTGTAACTAGATGATACTATACTATATTATCTTAAATAAACAATTAACCTAATATAACAAGGCACTATATATAGTATTAATATTATGGATTATATATATGATTATTAATATTATTATCTTATGTAAGAGGGTATTTGCAAGACGACGCCCAAGGTGCCCTCTTTACCTGGAAAGCTGCAGCGAAGAGCATGGGGCTTGGTAGATGAGGTATTATATCACATCTCTGAATGGTAAAGCTCACAACATCCTTGTTGGGGATGACGGGCATCTGTCTGGTTTTCTCGACTGGGAATCGGCCGGGTGGTATCCCGAGTACTGGGATTTTACCACCGCGATGAGATATGGAGCCAATAGTTGGTGGTTTCAAGTGGCCTCATGGATCGGAGGTGATCAGTACAGGCGGGAGTTGAAGTGTGATATTGCATTAAATTCCTTGACTGTTGATTCATACATAGCTTTCTGAATACTTTCTATGATAGGTCTAATCTGTGGGTTCAACTTTAAGCAGTATGAACCATTAGATTTGGTCATATAATAATGGATGATGATAGTCATTCTAGATAAGTTACAAGATAGGACACTGATGGACACTCAATCCATGGCCTCTCCCTATACCCTAACTGCCTTAAAGTGGTTATATCTGACAACTCATCAGGGATACTGCTATTGATACTGACTGTCAGCGCTGACCTAAATCTTCTTCACTGATTATGTGAGAAACAGCTGATAGCATATACTACTCTGGTATACTCTGTAAAGCAACGGCATACTAATAGTCACTGCGAATATTCCAGCTGACGGTGATGCCGAAGCACAAAGACCCTGTCAAGCCACAGACAGGAGACAGCAGCTGAACAGTCTGCTGTGATTTGCCCACATCAAGTTGTGTGGCGCAATAGTTCATCAGAATTGATCCTTTGAGATTTTACCTCATATATTGACTGTCTATAGTATAATCATGTATATACTAGGAATTATATAGAATTCCTTAGTATCATATACTTTACTAGATAATAGAGTTGAATATATTGAAATAGAAATAGGATACTATAAATCATGTTAATATTCTTAAATCATACATGAACAGGTGTTAGACCCACTTAAAACCCTACTTTAACTAGATTAGGCAGTAAAGTTTACTGGGCTGGGGCGCGGCTAGACAGACAGCCTCTGGTTTTGACAGACAGCCTTCATATATGGACAGATGATCTATTAATGATTTCTTAATTAATTCCTCAATGATTCCTTAATGATTCTATAGTTAATGCCTTAGGCCTACATTCCATTCCTTACCCCCTTACACCCCCGCTGAATCATAGATCCTAATATACTATTACCCCTACATTCTTATTGAATCAGTATTATATAGGCTGATATTTTTGTTGATCAGGACTAAATACAGCTATAAGCCAGAGGTTGTCTGTCTAGCCGCGCCTACTGGGCTGAGCAGAGGTCCATGTGAGGCGTTAAGAGGTCCATGAGTATAGAAATAGAAGTTTCTTCTATCTACTCTACTCATAGTCTACTCTATCCTACACTTCTCCATACTCATACTACATACTACATACTAGCTATACGACTATGGCTGAACGCAAGTTCCGCATTCTCATGCTCCATGGTACGACCTCAACCTGTAAAGCAAACCCATACTAATAATCTAGGCTACGCACAATCCGCCAGCCTCTTCCGCATCAAAACCCGTCTTCTCCGCGAACAGATCCTCGACTCGTTCCCCCCCGCCCTATACGACGAATACCCAGGGGGAATCGAATATCTCTTCCCCGACGGCGCCGTCAGCCTCTCCACCAACAGCAAAGACAGCGGAGACGATGACCACGAAGACGGGATGCGTGCCTGGTGGTTGAATCTCGACGATACAAGCCGGTACACGTTTCTCAACGAGACCATCGCCTCCCTCCCGACATATCTAAACCATACCCCCATCGACGCCCTCATCGGGTTTTCCCAGGGTGGTGCGCTGGCCGTGATGCTCGCGTCTCTATGCGAGGCGGCAGCATCTTCCCCCTCTCAAGCAAGACGTCAATCTCTCCGCGACCAAGGTATCCCCGTCGACGCCTTTCTCAACGGGTTGCCCGGTCAATCGCCGCTTCGCTTCGTGATCAGCCTGTGCGGCTTTCGCGGCACAATGGACTACTACGGGAGTCTCTATCCTGCCGTGGGACTGACCACCCCTTCACTGCACGCCATGGGAGTCTTCGACAGTATGATTGCTGGCCCCAAGAGCCAGGAGCTCGTCGCTTCCTTTCAATCGCCGCAGGTCGTGCATTACTATGGCGGACATTTCATTCCGAGAGATCGACAGACGATGCAGACCATCGTGGCCTTTATCAAAGCCCATTTTCTCGTCCAGAAGTACCAGGCAGAGAATAACCCTAACCCTAACCCTACGGCTTCGGTACGTGCGCGTCGGAAATTCGTGCCTTTCCGGGTGAGAGTGAGTCACAGAATTATCGTATAGCTTTGAATTAGGGTGGTTATGGTTATGTTTATCAGGGTTAGGGTTAGGGTTAGGGTTAGGGTTATGTTAGGGTTAGGGCTAGGCTAGGGTTAGGTTGTCAAGGTTGCTGCATTATATTCATCAATCATCATACTGCTACCATCCTGCTTCCTGCTACCATACTACTACCATACTGCTACTAATAAGTGTCGTTCGACTCATAGTCCACATGCGGCGCAAAGCGCATCTCGACGGCCCCCACGTCAAAGACAGTGACGACGTTCTTCTGAAAGGTATCGCCCAGGATGTACACATCCTCGTCGGCGTCGCTGCCGCCGTCGTCCACCCCGCTGATGCAGATCGAGTTGCCCTCGTCGTCCGTGCCCGCCCACAGGATCATGTCGAGCGGGTTGATGGTGAAGGTCTTGCCGTTGATGGTTACGCCGTGGGTGGGCGGCTTGGCGTCGCAGTCGACAATGTACACGCCGTCGTCCTCGCTGTACACGCCCGGCGGGTCGAACGCGGCGTTGACCTCGTTGGCGATCGAGGTCGGGTAGTAGTTGAGCGTCGTGCCGGAGTCGACAATGTACTTGGCCGACGCCCCGCTGGAAGACACCGACTTGCCGTTGATGGTCACCCCGTCGATCGAGATGGTGTAGAAGTCGTACGTGGTCGGGTAGCCCTCCACCGTCGTGATCTCGATCGGCGTCGTCGTGAAGTCCTCGGTGAACGACACGGGCGGCAACCCGCCCAGCGCCAGGTATCCCGACGGCCCGGACACATCCCGCAGGATGGCCAGACTGAACAGCGGCGAGATCAGGCCGTCGTCGATCATGCTCGTGATGATCGGGTTGTACTCGATCTGGTCGTCCGTCGTATCGGAATACGCACTCGTCCTGGATAATTCAAAATCAGCAACCCTTCCTCCCTTCATCTCTCTGGCTGAATATGGGTTCAATTGCTTACAAGCTAGGATAGGCAAGCCCGGTCAGACCCGACGTGGTGTTGTCTCCCTCCCACGCCGCCGAGGTGACGACGGCCATGGTCTGGTTGGTGACGGTGATGCCCGCCAGCGTGACGGACTCGTAGCCCATGACGCCGCTGAGATACTCGCCATCCCCGTACTCGATGTCGAAGAACTCGCCTTCGATCGTGGTGAAGGTGTCTTCCACCGTCCACGTGGAGCCAAAGGCACACTCGGCCTCGTCCGTGTCCGCTCCCGTGTCCAGATTCACGCACTGGAAGCCCGTCTCAACGACCCAGGTGTCGCTGGAGCCCGTGTCGACGATGACCTCGAAGGTGTCGGTGCCGATGGTGATGGAGGTGGCGAACTCCTCGCCCTCCTCGAGCGAGATCAGCTGCGAAGACCCCGACGAGGTGCTGGACTTCCCCGACTTGGTCAATCCCTTGAGGAAGGCAGCATTGCGGCTGTTCTTCGCTCCGCTGAGCCGAGTCAGCTCCAGCACGTTCGTGGTGACCTTGTTAGGGCTGGCGGCAGCAAACGCCGTCGGCTTCCACGTCTTGGTGGTCACTCCGCGGCTCTTGAGGATGGGGGACCCTGAGACCGAGCGGGCCAGCAGGGCCAGAGACAAGACCGAAGCAGAGGTAGAGAAGTACATTATGAGATTATTATAAAAAAAAAATTAAACGGTATGGAAGGGAGTGCTGGGAGAGAACAGAGGGACAATAGCCATGGCTTATATAGAAGGTCGAATGAGGTAAAAGATAAGGACTATCAGTCTGTCGATCTACCTGGTCACCCCATTCATATCCGAGGAAGTATTATTGTCTGCTAACTGTTAGCTTGTACTACATAATAGCTTGATCGCTCACTCGTATAGAAGATGCATTAGCTACCCGGACATGTGAAAGTCACTCCATACAACCACCACAGAATCATCCGCACTCCGTACTTACTCCGTCCATGTCCGTCACTAATGCAGGTGTGAAGAACCCCCGGGCACTCGTTGACAGGGACAGTCTCGGACGCCCGACGGAGGAGAAGAGGGGAAGCAGAAGCTTGTTTAACCGGCGGATTGGCTAAGATTGTGCAGGATGACGACGATCTTGATAAGAAAGATTAGTTACTGTTAGATTGCTGGCTCCCTCGAGTCTCTCTGTACTGTACTAGTTACCTAGCATTTAATTTATTAGTTCACCGTAGTTTCGTCAGTGATGGAGGGGAATAGGCAGACAGAATCATAACTATTAGGTAAAGAATAGACAATTGATTAATTGACAAAATATCCTAATCAACTCATTCTTAGTAACGTCACCATCAACTTACCCTATGAATAACTATCCAACCGCTCGTATTTCCTCTCTGCCCGCTTCGCCTCGTCGCCGTGATGGAGATCGTTGAGGTAGTCTTTAAAGTCCTTGGACAGTTCCACCACCGCGCGCAGATGGCTGTCCGTCACCATCACCCTGCCCTCTTCGTCCTTCTCCGCGTCGTATTCGGCTAGGGCCACGGCGGTTTGAAAGGCTCCTCGGTTAGCAAGGGATGATTGAGTGAGCCACAAGAGGAATAATCACCATTGCGAATCTCTCTCCCGTTCCATTTGACAGCCCGCATCCGTTCGCCCCGAATATACTCCTTGGCGTCGATGGTCAGACGCAGACAGTCCCCCCTCTCCCGCTGCAGCTTGTCCATGAACGTCTTCCACACCTGCTGTCGCTGGTCGTTCGTAAAGTCGGGGTAGTACAACTGGATATGGATCCGCGAGATGAAGGCGTCGTCGAACGAGCCCACCCGGTTTGTCGTCAGAAATAGGATCCCATCGTAGAACTCGAGTGCTCGCAGGAAGCCTGTTCGTCAGGAGACAGTAACATTAGAAGATAGATGAGAAAGAAAGTATCAGTTACCGGCAACTAGACTGTTCCGCGTCAGATCTGCGGTAGAGCGCCGTTCCATAAACACGTCCGCCTCGTCGATCAGAAGCACTGCTCCCCAGCTGCGAGCCATCTTGAAGTGCTTGGTCAGGTTCATCTCCACCTCCTCTGGCTTCGTGCCAATGTCACTGCACGTCAACACCATCAGAGGTCGCCGCGTGTATTCGGCAATGCATTCTATAATCGTTAGAGGAGAACCACAATACTAATACCAATTGAATGCGGACAACGAACCTGCCGTGCATGTCTTGCCTACGCCAGGTCGGCCATGGAGTAGAAAGATCAAACCATTGCCTTTTCCCTTGACAAAGTCGGCCGTCCATGACTCTCGAGCAATTAGACCCTCGTTCTTGTCGATCCGCGCAAAGCTCTTGGCCAGTGCTTTGAGATTGCGGACGCGCTGCTCATCCATCACCAGACTGTTGATCATCTCCCGGTCAAACATCGGTTCCGCGCAGTTTCTGACGTGAACAGTCTCTGGTTGTCTATATCAGTCCGTACTCTCTTTCTACTTCTCAACGTGAAACCTACCCCAGGTCCGAGTCCGAAACACAAAGACAGGCATCTCTTTCGGGCAAAGAAAGTATTGATGAGGCGTCAGCTCCTCCCAGCTTTCCAGAGTTATTTTGTTCTCAAACGGAGCCACATGTTCCCTGGTAACTGCAGTTTCCACTTTCCTGCAGACACTGCAGATGCAATCATTGATCCATTTCTGGCAGTCATTGTCGCCCATCAAGCACGGCCGCTTTCCCTCGAACTCGCTATAATAGGCTTCCGGATCGGTCATGACCAAGCCATCAATCTAATCTCGATATATAAGGATTAGGAATATGGCATAGGTCCGGGCAGGGCTGCTACTTACCGTGCTAAAGGGGAAATGGCATGCCTTGCCCTTGTAATACTGACACTGCTTTCTGAGAAACTTCCAGTATTGTTCCCCTTCCTTGACCATCTGGATGATCTGCGGGTCTTGGCTTTCTTCCATGGACTTTTCGAAGTTTTCCTCGGAGCAGAGAATTTCTGCTAGCTCCGTTTCACCGTTGAATTTTGCGTATCTCAGATCTTTCGTCACCCGCCCCAGGTACTTCCCGTCAAACACCATCGACCAAACCTCTATTTCCCAAGGGATTGGAGGGCTTGCGAAAATCCCACCCTGAACCGAGTGTATGACTGCTGGCACAGGGTGGTCATTTTCCATGAAGTGAATCAGAGCGGTAGCCCCCGGCTTGAGAGCCACCCAGATGCCCTCCCACGTCCTCAATCCCTTCTCGTTTCGCTCCCTCTCAGCTCTGACATCGTCCATTACATTCTCATCCAGGAAGCGCAGCAGGAGGCTCAGATGCTCGGCTGCGTCCCTGTTGCGCACACACAGTGTCGTCGGGTCCTGGGCAGCACATTGGTCACGGAAGGCCGTGAGCTCCTCATAATGATGGACCAGAACGGGATACGGCCAATTGATGATAAGCGTGTCTCCGGTGAGATCCTGGCTGGGGTAGTATTTCACGACACTGCGTAAAGAATTGACGATCGCCACCGAGGATATCCGGAGGTAGTATGACGGGCTCGACCATGTCTGAGGCAGAGCGGAATGATCCTCGTCACCATCGTTGGAGCCACCATCATTCGTCTTGGAAGAGTCTATTTGGTATTTAGCGACAAGCTCGAACGCCGGATCCCCGGTTCCGTGGCTTTCATCTTGGCCTTGGGTGTGGGCTTCAAAATCTTCCTGGGATATGGTCTTGCGGTAGGAGGCTCTACCCGTTCGTCGATCGCAATATTCGACGCCGTAACGGATCCAAGCCCCGCCCTCTTTCTTCTGCTTTCTGGACGCCTCATGGCTGTGATCAGCTTCCATGGTGTCGAGTTCCTGCACAGCGTCTATGAATTCTCCCATCTTCAGGTAAACTCCCCGATTCTCCTTTTTCACGACTATGGAAAAATCCAGAGTTATTAGAAGGGGTTGACCTGAAGAAGGCAGGCTGTGAGGGGTTCTTGCATGTCATTTCACAGCCTAATTGATGGGCAAGGCTGACAGCCAAAGATCAGAGTGTCTCCGCCAATGGTTTTGGGGGCCTTGCCGCCGCAATATTCCTTATCCATTCAGCCGCTGTATTGCTTACGGAAATCCCGTATTCCTTTGATTGGTTTGGAGACAGCCGACTAGATGCAGTAGTCTCAGCAGCGCCTAGTCGTCAACGGTGTGACTGGAAGCCTTAATATTAGACAGCTGGATGTTTATTCTAGAAGACAGGATTTGATATCACCTCTACCGTACAGAAGCAGAAATCATCTCTCCAGGATATAGTGATGTCGCCCATAGACCATGAGGTTAACCCAGAATCCACAAAGCTCATCCGCGCATACAGCTGGGAGGTGCAAAAAAGGCTGCCTCCAGGGAATGACGCCCACCTTCTGGGCCAGGCTCTGAGCGATGGGGTAGACGGGGACAATCTGGAGGATCTCAGAGCTCCATGGCGACGGTTCTTCGAGGGCGGGAAATCTGATCAAGAAGAGTGGGTGTTCTTAGAATTACCCTTACTAGTTATCAATAACAGAATGTGCTTACCCCACGTTGAACAGGAATCCAGCCACAAAGATCATCGCCATTGAGTCCGAGCAACTGCGGAAGAAATGGCTTGCGTTCTACCGCAACTGCCCTCCAGCCGAGCGACTGGACCTGGATATGACCGAACCGACGATGGAAAGCGTTGTCAAGGTGATGGCAGATATCACACACGCCTGGCGCGCCCGGCGAGAGAAGAGTTCATGGCGAAAGAGAGTCGAAGGGCGCTTCATCCAGTTCAGTCGGACGGTGAATGCACACCAGAACTTGCTGCAGATTCTACCACAGAGCAATCAGTACGTCTCCCTCTTCACCGGGGCCATCAACGCGATCATCAAGGCGAGCGTCAACCACGAGAAGATCATCGACGGACTCACCGAGTCGCTCTGCACCATTAACGAGGATATCGTCCGCTGCCAGCTCGACCAGTCCTTCATCCAGACGTCTGAGATGCGGCAGCTGGTCGCCGATCTGTACGCGCACATCTTCCTCTTCCTGTCGAGCGTGATGGACTGGTTGATGGAGAAACGCTACAAACGCATGCTCGACTCCTTCAACGAGAGCTTCAGCGCCCGCTTCGACAACGAAACCAGCGCCATCCACCACCGGGCAGGTCAGATCCGCGAGCTGGCCGAGCGAGGGGCCCGCGCAGAGGGACGCATCACCAGATTGACCGTTGAAGAGCTGCAGAGCGATATCCGACTCGGCCTGCAGAATAGAGCCAGAGAGCAGGCCGACCGAGTGTACTGGGAGCAGCGAATCGAACAGCAGATGGCACACCTCGTTGAGAGACAGGAGTTGATGAGTGATGCCTGGAAGCAACTGGCGAGCGCTGCGAAACAGTTTCTCCAGGAAGGAGCGACGGACTTTCTCTGGCTGAGCGGAACCGGCGTCCCCCAGCCTGAACCGGCCGTAATTTTCCCGGTACCGGATATATCAGGTGATTACTTTATTTCCCTTTCCCTTGAGCGCCTGTTAATTTGTTTCTGCAAGATGTTTTGGTCAACTCCCGCCATCTCGAAGACTTTTTCGCGAGGGACAGGGTCCGCCTGCCGTGGGATGTCTCTGGCCCCCTCATGCTGAGCAACGAGACAGTCGCTCGTCTCAGCAGCTGGAGCGATTCAAACAACCCCTCGACAGTGCTGTGGTTGCAAGGGGAGCCCGTTGAAGCGGACGACATGGACAACCCGGGCACCGTCACCGCGGCTCGGTTCGTCGATCTGGCAGACAGGGCGGGCGTGCCTGTGATTTCATACTTTTGCCAGCTGAATCGCCGTCGTCTGCGTAAGTCTGTACCAACGAGAGAGGCCGAGGGACTGATTGCACTGCTGTACAGCCTGGTACGCCAGACGGTGGAGCTCCTCCTGCCCCGGTTTGAGACGCACGTCGATCTCTCTGCGACTCGGTTCCAGCGACTCGATGGATCGTGGCAGTCTTGGAACGAAGCCACGTCGGTTCTCTGCGATGTTCTCCGGCTGATACCTCCGTCTGTGCTCTGCGTGGTGGATGGGCTGCACTGGCTTGACGATAAGAGTATCAGCGATCAGTTGGCAGGTCTGCTGGAGATCCTGATGGGAGGCAGGCTCAGGCTGTTGGTTACCACGACGGGGAGGTCGGCGTGTCTGGGCAAGATGATTCCTGCGTCAGAGGCCCTGTCTCTTGATACTTCTCGGCAGGAGACGCGTGCAATGGTTTTAGATATCTAGTCTATAATGAGGCTAGACATACTTCCAGCATTGCCACGTCTGTCGTGATAGTGACCTCATGCCGAGTATATATCTTCCACTATCCCTTCAACACACAATACAAGACATACAAAATGCACACTGGATCCTGTCTGTGTCAAGCAGTGCGATACGAATACCAAGGCGAGCCTGTGCAGAAGGTAGTGTACCCATTCCACCACTTTCTACAACACCACTTACTAATAACAGTCCATCTGCCACTGCCTAACCTGCCGCAAACTATGCAGCGGTGCCTCTACAAATATCCTCATCCCCAGCGCTCTATTCAACCTAACAAGCGGCAAAGTGAAGCACTACACCGTCACCCACGAGAGCGGCATGCACCTGACGGCCTCCTTCTGCGAGCATTGCGGCGTGCTCCTCTATAAGACAGCCGATGACCCGGCGTTCGAGTGCATGGTTGTCCTCCAGGTAGGCACGCTGGACGAGCCGGACACTTTCGACCGGGCGGCGCCGGATACAGAGCAGTATATCGGTTATCGGGCTAAATGGAGGCCTCCACTAGAGTATGCTGCGCAGAAGGAGGGGTTTAGTTGATTTAAAGCAGACTGTTTACAATAGCTGTTGAATGAAAAAACTACAGGTATTCTCATCTTAACTTTGAATGATATGCATATGCGTCTATTCATACAATACTATCATAAGTGGTATCTTGGTATCTTTTATCGTAAATCATCTATTCCACCTCTTTCGATGTCCGATTCCTCCGCATCCCGAACATCTGCAGGATCTCCGTCCAGAAGCCCGGTGCATCTTCGATGTAGGTAGCCTCGTAGGCGTCAATGACGGGGGCGTCCCAGACGAGATCCGCCTCGGAGGCTTTGACGAACTTGGTGCGCTTGACGAGCTTCCAGCCGCAGAAGAGGACGGGGGCGATGATGACCATGGTGTAGTAGGTGAAGAAGTCGGCGATGCTCCAGTGGCCGGGAAGGAAGGTGGTGTACCCGTACACGCAAACAACAGCAACCATCCAGACGAGGGCGATCCAGGCGCTGTAGGGCTGGAACCAGCCGCAGTAAGGGAGGGTTTTGCGGTCGATGCCCTGGGCGCGGCAGGCGCGGTAGAAGAAGAGGTAGGTGGTGCAGATGATGATGTAGTCGATGATCTGGGCGGCGGTGAGCAGATCGACCAGCCAGGTGAGCACCTTGTCGGCGCCGCTGGAGGCCTCGAGGAAGGCGAGGCAGGGGAACAACATGGTGATGCAGAGGCAGTAGATGGGCACGCCGTTCTTGGTGCACTTGCGCAGGAACTTGGGCGCGTGGCCGTCAAGCGCCAGGCCGTACAGACTACGCGAGCCGCAGTAAGTATACGCGTTGCCTGCGGAGAAGATGCTGGTCACCAGCAGGGCGTTGGTGATGTGAGGCAACACTGAGATGCCCAGGTTCTTCATCGCGATGACGTAAGGCGAGGCGGAGGCCGTTCCCGAGCCGCCCGACGAGCCGCTGGTGATCTCCAGCAGGGTCGGGTCGTTGTATGGAATGACGATGCCGACGCAGATCGCGCTGCCGATGAAGAAGAAGCCGAAGCGAAGATAGCTGGTCTTGAACGCCGTCTTCAGGTACCGCCGGGGCAGTTTTGTCTCGCCCGCAACCATGGACAGGTACTCCGGGCCGACGATGGTGAACGCCGCGCTCCACACCGCGCCCAGGAAGCCCTCAAACCGTCCCAGCGCGCCGGTGGTGATGTATTCCGCAAAGGCGCCCGGCTTGTTCCAGTAGCGGAACCCGTATGCGTCATGCTTGGGGTTGCCGCCGACCATGGTGATGAAGGTGAAGAGGAAGACGATCAGCAGCAGGAAGACCTTGCCGGTAGCCAACCAGAATTCGGCTTCACCGTACCACTTGACAGCGAAAGCATTGATCAGACTAATCATTAGCAAAAATAAATCAATAAAGAAACAACAAGGGAAAGAATGCTCACAAGTATAGCACAATACAGGCGACGATGATAGCCTCGACAGGGATATTATCGCTCCAATAGGTGAGCACGAGGTTCAGCGCAGATATCTCAAATGGAATGAGAATGGCCTCGAAGAGAAAGAAGTTCCAGCCAGCCATGAACCCAAACGACTCATCGACCCAGCGTCCAGCCATGCGGATAAAGGCGCCGCTGACAGGCATGAAGACAGCCATCTCAGCCATGCAGTTGTTGACCAGGCCCATCATGATGGTGTAGATGGTGTAGCCCAGGAACAGACCTGCCGGCCCGCCCTTGATCAACCCCGTCGAGATGGTAACAAACGTGGCAGTCCCGATCGAGCCTCCGATGGCGATGAGCTGGATCTGGCGGTTGCCCAGGTTTCGTTTCAGCTGGTCGCTGTTGTCCAGCACCGTCGCAACCTGCACGTTCGAGGAGGCGTCCTCGGACGTCTCCGAGTACGGCTTCTCCTCATCCTTCTTGCTTGAAAACATGATGAAACCAGTGATGATGAATGAATGATGAAAATGACAATATAAGGAAAGCTTCCTTCTCCAGTTTCTCCAGTTTTTTTTTCTCTTTCAATCTATCCCCAGCTTCGGGCGCCCCTCTTTTTATATGCCCGAGAATCCTACCACTGAGCGAGCACAGTGCCACCCAGCGAGTTTTTTCCCATCATCCAAACACCAGGACCCAACAAATTGAGTCGTAGGCCGCGCGACACCATCCCAGTTCCGTTCCTGTCGTATCCTGCTCATTCCGAGCCATTTGTGATGTCGTTGTGCCAATGAACGCCCTCCTCCCCGCAAAACTTGGCCGCAAGCGGATCCCAGCGTCTGTAGTACCACCGCCCGGTGACGATGGCGTCTGCCAGTCCCAGCCTACCGCACGCCACCAGATTGAGGCTCAGGGGGGTCCTGCTGTAGACCACAGGGCGCAGCGGGCGAGTCATATCGAGGCTGGGCACTGGAGGCGTCCTGTGTGGGTTGCTCGGTCGAGTGGAGGAGGCAGCGAAGCCAGTCAGACAAAGAGGCAAAGAGGAGGTTTTACTCTGTAACGGATTAATCTGCTGGGGCTAAACCAAATTGGTCGATTTGTGCGCTCCACTCGCTTGGCAGGGCGGATAATTACAATTCTCCGTTCCGCGCCTGAAACGGAACAGCGGCTTGGCGTTGGTGCCTGCAGGCTGCCACTTTCACTTTTCGACACTCCCCCTTTTCCCCCTCCTCCTATTTCTCCCCTCCTGTCTCATCCTCTCCATCTCGTCTGCATCGACTGCTGGGTTTTTCATCAATTCTAACTACTTCATGAGGCCAACTGCTCGTTTCTCTTTTGATTTCCTTTTTTGCTTTTTCCAGGGATGTCCGACAAGCGTGAGACGGGGCCAAGGTTACTCCGTACCTCGTCCAATCGTCTGGTAACTTAAATATGGGCGAGAGCCCCGCATCTGTCGCTATCCATGCTTTCAATGGTTGACCTCTTTCTGCGTGGGCCCCCCGGCAGGAGTCGGACGAGTGGTAACGTATCATCTATGATTCGGTTGTTCCGTGAGCTGGCGACTAGAGAAGGGGGGGAAAGAAAAAAAGAAAAAAAGAGGCTGACTGCCCAATGTCACAGTAGTTGCATGCCCTGCCGAATCATATCTGATGTATTCCATGCGAAGAGATCACGCGGTTTGGAAGGATATAACACTGCTGGGCTTTGTCTGGGAGCCGTCAGTTGTTGATAGCGTCATGATGCGGATCTTGTGGAGTCTGAGCAACGCCGCCGCTGTGTCCACCGTCGAGTGCCCCAGTGTCCACACTGTCTGTCCACTCTCCCCATTATTGCCTCCCTCAGACGGTGACGGAGTACGGAGTACTCCGGTAGTCCGTAAAGACTCCATGATAAGCCGTCAGTGGGTTCCACCGACGTAGGTGGCATGCTTGGAGATTTGCTGCAACTCCACCGCCAATCTCCGGGAAATGATCGACTAGAAAGACATGGTGATTTCCCGCTGTTGAACACCTCGTGGTTGCTAACAGCACATGGCCAGGGGCATTCCCGTCTGGAGTACGAAGGATGGATGGAGTACGGAGGATTTTGCCAACGGAAACATCATCCGATCCATAGAGTGGTTCAACAACCTCTTTTACCGCTCGCTCAAAGGTCATCTTGTCGCTCAGCTCGAGCAGATGGGGCCGCATTGCAAGACAACCCTTTGTGTTTTTCCCTGCACTACGACGTCATCGAAATGATGAATTCGGGGCATGACTGTCCAAAGTATTCGCGCATTAAGACCGGCTTCTTGGCGTCCCTACTCCGTATGGAGTACTCCATACGTTGTGTTGAAAATTGATGCCCCTGGATAAGCCATGGATGGATGGTGGAGCACCGCTCCAGGGACAGACATGAGCCAGTCAGGATCCAAGTCACTCATGCGTGGTACGCAGTAACTCTACTCCGGAGTCCGAATACGCCTACGGATGATGCCCTTGCCTTTGACGGGCATTCTCAGCATTGTTTCGGAGAGGCATTCACCGAGGGTCCTCGTCAAATGGTGATACTGTGTTGAGGCTCGACCGCATCCACTGATAGATTTCGGTGCCTCCATGTCCGCGGCAGTCCGCAGTAGACGTACTTGCATAATTAGGTTCGTATTCAACATCGACAATCTGAAAGCAGTATCAGTGACTAAACTGCGAAGTAGAACGAGGTGAATTCTCTAAGTAGTTGAGTTGGAGATTCCGTCCAACCGCTACGGTCTATAGCCCTGGTAGAATATCAATTGGAGCATCCTTATAAGAGCAAACGCGAAGAACTCTTACTTGGACTTGGACACTCTCGTCATTCTGCTTTTTTTGGTTTTCTGCCTCGTCTCTTACCATGATTGGATATTCTTTTGCGATCTGCAGGATATCTGCCAGATTTAAGGTACAACAGGAACAGTCCCCAATGGATGAAAATGATATACTGCATTCTACTATTGAAATATTGATCACTTCTCTCGACATGGAAACTCTCCTGCCGGCTCATCCAAAGGTGCGGCAGTCTGTACTTCTTTCAAACGAGCATTCCTGACTGCTCCAGATAATCATCTGCATACCGCCGCCAGTCAATATCAAGAAATAAGAGCCTGGGAGCGTCGATGGCACGATAAAAGGTACACGACGATACACGGCGGGATGTACACGACCAATGTCTCAAAGGAATAACTCTGTATGCCATCTGAAGCAGTTCCATCCAGTCCATTCCTTGATCACCTTGGTGCGATGCGACGGGCAGTCTCTCACAGAACGTGACAATATCCTCCATAACGTCGGCATGCATTGCCTCCACTCCATTCAAAGGCGCAGGATGAGACAATTCATCAGACGTCCGATCTTGTTTTCATAGGGCGTCGCTGTCCTCAGTCTAGCGATCAAGGTGGGCTCTGGCGGCATGTCGAGTTCAACATGATTGTGGATGCAATGACTGTCTTCGAAAATTCAGCTGCTTTTCATACTCTGGACAAAACTGCGCATTGAAAGTACAGGACGAAAGCACCGATCCAGACAGTACAGGCCGACAAAGAGCGACAAGGTCTTGACGCGAGAAAGGTGACATTCGATCTGATGGTATGAACCTGTTCGCTGTCAGACGCCTCAACTCATAGTCAGGCAGAATGGGAGAGCAAACAAACATCCTGAACTGCCGGCAGCCGGGAGGAAGACATCCAAGTTCAAAAGCCCGTCGGGTGAAACAAGCTGTTGCATTGACAGCACTCTATACAGCCTATCTCAAGTTACTTGTCAGTCCAGCCGGACTTACACTGACTACACCGCTAGATGCTATCTTGTTTATTATACCCTACTCCTTCTACCTTTTTTTCCTTCTCGGCAGTGTTACTCATGCCGACCATCACGATTAGGCGCGGGGATTTCTGAACTTGGCCAGCTTTTCGGCCTCTATCAAATTCGCCAATGAGCCGGGTCTTCACAACTTGCACCTTTTCAGCTGTTTTGATTTTCCGTTGGATTCTGCCTTTTTAGCCGCGATCCGGGGCCGTGGAGTTTAGCCACCAATCGCTCCCCGGATATCCAACTTTCCCCGGATCCCTCCCCAATGCAATGCGGGGAAGAAGGAAATGATGGACTGACCTTTCGAGCGACTCGAAGCAGGATATCCGGGCCGCATTCCGCTGTTGCGTGATGAAGGATGGAGGGGGTAGGTATATAAAGTTATAAAGGACCGGTGAGGACGAATTGGCAGGGATCAAAGACAGCGAACAGCGGCGCGATGAAGCAATCTCTCCGACAACTGGGCACTCTGCTGGTGTCTGGCACTGCGGCGGCCGCCGCCGCAGTGGCCTCAGCAAACACGGCCTCGCATGCGTACGAATTCAACTCGGTGGCCGTGACGGGCGGCGGCTACATCACGGGCATCCTGGGCCATCCGACGGAGAAGAACCTGCTGTACATGCGCAGCGACGTGGGCAGCTCGTACCGCTGGGAGGAGGCGCTGAACAAATGGATCCCGCTGACGGACTTCATCAGCGGCGAGGATGAGAACCTGTTTGGCACGGAGAGCCTGGCGATGGACCCGACCGACCCGGACCGGCTGTACCTGGCGCAGGGGCGGTACACGACGTCGAACAACTCTGCGTTTTACGTGTCGGACGACCGCGGCGCGACCTTCACCAAGTACACGGCCCCCTTCGTGATGGGGTCCAACGAGCTGGGACGCAACAATGGCGAGCGGCTGGCGGTGAACCCGTTCAAACCCAGCGAGCTGCTGATGGGCACGCGGATGGCGGGCCTGATGAAGAGCAGCAATCGCGCGCAGACCTGGACGAACGTGACGAGCTTCCCCGACGCGGCGGCGAACGGCATCGGGCTGGTGTTTGTCATCTACGACCCGGTCCACGAGGGCACCATCTACGTGGGCGCCAGCGTGCCCAACGGCCTATACTACACCACGGATGGAGGCAGCAGCTGGGCGACCATCCCGGACCAGCCTACGACGTGGGACAGCTCGATCCTGACATTTCCCAACGAGACGCAGCCGCAGAGCACCGGCCCGCAGCCGATGAAGGGCGTGCTGGCCTCCAACGGGCTGTTGTATGTGACCTTTAGCGATGCGCCGGGCCCGTACGGCGTCGACTACGGCGAGGCGTGGGTATACAACACCTCGTCGAGCACGTGGAGCAACATCACGCCGAGCACCAGCAACACCTCGCCGGCGCCGTACTCGAACCAGACGTTCCCGCGGGGGGGATACTGCGGGCTGAGCGTGGCGGCGACGGACCCGAACACGGTGGTGATCGCCTCGCTGGACCGCGACCCCGGCCCGGCGCTGGACAGCATCTACCTGTCGCGCGACGCGGGGGTGTCGTGGAAGGACATCTCGCAGCTGTCGACGCCCACGGGGAGCGGCGGGTACTGGGGCCACCCGATCGACGAGGCGGCGCTGGACAACGGCACGACGGTGCCCTGGCTGAGCTTCAACTGGGGGCCGCTGTGGTCCGGGTACGGAGCCCCCTCGCCCATCGTGGGACTGACCAAGTTCGGGTGGTGGATGACGGCGGTGCTGATCGACCCGACGGACGCGGACCACCTGCTGTACGGGACGGGAGCGACGATCTGGGCGACCGACAGCCTGTCGCGGGCGGATGCCGACTGGGCGCCGACATGGTACGTTCAGGCGCAGGGGATCGAGGAGACGGTGGCGCTGGCGATGATCAGCCCGAGCGAGGGCGCGCATCTGATCAGCGGCTTCGGCGACATCAACGGCATGCGCCACGACGACCTGGACCTTCCGCAGCCGATGCTGGGCTTGCCCGTCTTCTCGAACCTCGACACGCTCGACTGGGCCGGCCAGGCGCCCAACGTGGTCGTGCGCGCGGGTGCCTGCGGCCACGACTACGGCGCCGAGGGCTGCGGACAGGCAGCGTATTCGACCGACGGCGCGCACGGCTGGCGCATGTTCCCCTCGTGCATCCCGGGGGTCAACACCAGCACGGACAACGCGGGCGTGCTCACCGTCGACGCCTCGGGGGCGTACTTTGTCTGGTCGGCGGCCGCGACCGACGTCGACGTCACGCTGGAGAGCGAGTACAGCGTGGTGAACGGGTCGGGCCCTTACGCGAGCAGCGACGGGGGTCAGACCTGGACGTCTCCCTCGGGCTTGACGTTCCAGACGGCCAATCTGGCCTCCGACAAGGTCCAGGACAAGACCTTCTACGCCTACGACGAGAACACCTGGTACGTGAGCACCGACGGCGGAGTCACGTACACGGCGTCGCAGGCCAGCAGCGTCGGGCTGCCAGACAACGCGACGGGCTCGCTGCCCGTCGTCAGCGTCAAGACCGCCGGCGAGGTCTGGCTGGCGCTCGGCGACGAGGGAGTATACCACACCACGGACTTTGGTGCCTCCTGGAAAGCCGTGTCTGCTGCCGCTTCTGTCACTGCCAAACTCATCACCGTCGGGGCTCCCAAGTCCGCGTCGGCGCCCGAGTCCCTCTTCATCCTCGGCCAGACCTCCGACGCCGTCACGCAGGGGGTGTACCGATCAGACGACGGGGGTTCGTCGTGGGTGCGCGTCAATGACGATGCTCACCAATACGGCGGCATCGAGCTTATCCAGGGCGATCCACGGGTGTACGGACGGGTTTACCTTGGGACGGGGGGACGTGGCATTCTATATGCCGATATTACGGGGGGGACTAAGAACGTGGCAGGGACGGGGGGGATATAATTGATTTACTGTATAGGATGTTAGTTACCCAGGTAGTTATATATATGTCGATGGTACAGAATAGTTAACTACCTCTACTACACTTGTTACAGATACTGTAAGCAGAAAAGGAAGAGTAGAGAGAAATAGAGTAAGAAGAAATAATAATAATAATAATAATAATAATAGATGAATAAAAAAGAGAAGACAAACCCAGGAACAAAAAGATAAAAAGAAAAGAACGACACCAGTAGGACTCGAACCTACGCCTCCGAAGAGAACAGATTTCTAATCTGCCGCCTTAGACCACTCGGCCATAGTGTCTTGATGGAGGAAGTGACAAAATAGTGCAGTATCAGTGAAATCTGTCTCTCTCTCACTTCCCCTCTTCTCTCCTTTTCCTCTTCTTCCCTCTTCCTCTTCCTTCCTCTTCCTCTTCATTCTTCTCCTGTCTACCCCCCCTGATCGCACCAGAGACTCTGTAATGAGGTCGTCTCCTGATACACACTACCTTATCTCTCATCTCGCTATCATGACTACTTGGACTCATTACAGCCCTCGATTATTCCACCAGTCCAGGAACCTCGGAACCTGTTGCCTGGCTGATGATCCCTGCAGGCCTCCCTGTCGAGACGGGAAAAGGAGGTAGTACTACAGAACCCCCGCTCGAGAACGGTGGACTGATGCGAGATAACTAACCGTCTGCTGCAGAAACCCCATATCCATTCGCGATAACGCCCCTGTCGATTAACAGTCGTCTGTATACGCTCGTAAACTTCGTATAGACAAGGTGCTACGAGTGGACATATTCTTCAGTCTTTTGGTCTTACTACAGTCTCGCTATGGTTTTTACACCATTACCTATTGCCTATTGCTATTGCCAAGTATAGGATCATGAAGATGCCAATCTTATCTCGAGCTGAATAAACGCCGATGGCGTGTCAGTGTCCATTGTCTAGTGTCCAGCAATACCCACTGAGTCCACTCAGAGTCCAGTCCACTCGATCTCCCCCCTGCCAATCAATCCACGATCCATTAATCGCCATCGCTCAACCGAGGCTTGTCATTTCTTATTATCATCCCGCATCGCCAATCAAAGCTTGTGGTGTCTCCTCGGCGGAGTACCCGATCAAGGCTCGGAGAACGGACCACGGCCGGCTCCTTTCTTCAAATGTCGACATGGATGTCGTGCTAGCAGGCCCTTGCTGGCTACGTGCAGATGCAACGCCAGACTGATCCTTTCCTTGTTTGTCCTTGTTTTCCGCAACTGCAGACCAGGTCGACTCGCTCGACCCCTCTCTTCTGCCAGCTTATCACTCTCCTCCATGATTACCGTCGGAGGCCCGTCAACGACAGCTCTGCAGAGTATCGCAACGCGCAGGATAGACAGACCGACAGGGATGGCGTCAGGGAGCATTGCAGGGAGCATTGCAGGGAGCAGTGCAGGGAGCAGTGCAGGAGCAGTGCAGGAGAAGTGCAGGGAGCAGTGCAGACAGGAAGTTAGAGCAGATGCATCAAGGCTCACCGACGTTGTCCGACGGATGACACAATGCTCTGCCAGGAACAGCTGCAGGAATGAGCCTGGCAGTCGAGGGCCTGTCTATCACCAGGCACATGTGTTCTCGCTAGCTGGACCTGCAGATCGACAACGCTAATCGAGGATAGAGACGGAGATGGAGCCGATACTACATACTTTCATGGCCTGTTGAACGGCCTCGCGACGGACTTGCGGATAGTGTTTTTGCGTGATATGCCATCAGAAGATATAAATACCTCGTTCGCCATCAAGAAAGAATCATCAGCAGCAGCAGCAGCAGCAGAACCAGAAGCAGCAGCATCAGCAGAAGCATCAGCATCAGCAGAAGCATCAACATCAGCATCATCAACATGAAGTTCAACACCGTCCTGACCACCGCCCTCCTGGCTGGCGCCGCCGTGGCCGCCCCCCTGACCGAGAAGCGCGCCGCTCGCCAGCGCGCCCGTATGAACCGGCGTTCGTCGAACCGGTCCAGCAACCCGCCGTTCAAGCCCGGCACCAGCGAGGTGCTCAAGCTGACCAAGGATACCTCGGTCGAGTATAGTGAGAACTGGGCTGGCGCGGTGCTGATCGGCACGGGCTACAACAGCGTGACTGCCGAGTTCACGGTGCCGACCCCGTCTGCGCCCAGCAGCAGCAGCTCCGGCAGCAGCGGCGGCCGCGGCGGCGGCGGCTCCTCTTCCTCCAGCGACGAGGAGTACTGCGCATCCGCGTGGGTGGGCATCGACGGCGACACCTGCGACACGGCCATCCTGCAGACGGGCGTGGACTTTTGCGTGCAGGGCAGCTCTGTGTCCTTTGACGCCTGGTACGAGTGGTACCCGGACTACGCGTACGACTTTGACCTGACCATCTCGGCGGGCGATGTCGTCAAGGTGACCGTGGACGCAACCTCGGACACGGCGGGCACCGCGACGGTCGAGAACGTGTCGACCGGCGAGTCCGTCACCCACACCTTTTCGGGCGAGACCGACGGCTCCCTGTGCGAGTACAACGCCGAGTGGATTGTCGAGGACTTTGAGGAGGGCGACTCCCTCGTTGCCTTTGCCGACTTTGGCACCGTCACCTTCTCCTCTGCCTCCGCCGGCACCACCTCTGGCGACACTGTTGGCCCGGCCGACGCCACCCTGATCGATATCGAGCAGGACTCTGTCCTCACCTCCGTTTCCGTCACCGACGACTCCGTCACCGTCACCTACGTCTAGATGTGGTAGTACAGCAGACAGCGGACAGCGACAGCAGACAGCAGACAGTCAGTTAGTCAGTTAGTCAGAGAGTCAGAGAGTCAGTATATAGGAATATACATATTTCTTTATAATACCAGCAGAGAGTAAATCTACATAAATCTAAAGGTAAAGCATCTATCTATAGATACATAGAGAGTAAAGCAATCTCAACTGCGATCCCTCCCCCCATGCAGAAGCAAGGCGACCATCTCAGCAGTGAATGGACTCTGCGACAGACCCGCCGTCGTCAAGGCCGTCCTCCCATTCTCCCCCCTGGCATCGACCTTGGCCCCCAGATCAAGCAGGAGCGTCAGCATTTCCAATCCCTCGACGGGATTCAACACCGCCAGCTCGAGCGGGACATGTCTCTCTCCGCGCCCGTTGATCTCCGCCCCGTACTCGACCAAGACACGCACAATGCCGAGATGGCCTCTGCTCACGGCCAGCATGAGGGGCGTGTAATCCCTGTAGCGGGGGTTGGGGATGTCGACCTGTGCGCCGCGGACGAGCATCGCGCGCACGTGGGATTCGTAGCCGTAGAAGGCGTAGAAGGAGAGCGCGTGTCCGCCCGTGCTGGAGATGTTGCATCTGTATAGTTCTGGGAGGAGGAGGGCGTAGATGGTGCTGTTTGTTCGGAGGAGGGAGAGCAGCGAGGGGGGGGGGAGATGGTGGCTTATTTGGATGAGGAGTTCGGGGGGGAAGTCACCGAGCATAGCAATATATAAAGAATATATATATATATAATATATATATAAAGAATATATATATATATAATATATATATAAAGAATATATATATATATAATATATATATAAAGAATATATATATAGTAAAATATATATATATATAATATAGTAGAGAGAGAGAGAGAGAGAGAGAGAATACTGTCAGTGTAACAGAAATACAGCAGCATATTTCTATTAATAGTTCTTACTCATTAAAGAACAAAGCCACTCTTACTCATTATAAAATATAAACTACAAAACCAACAGCCACTCCTCTCCAACCACCCTCCGCCCAACCTTCTCATGCTCCTCCTCCTGGACCATCTCGTATCCCTCCCGGCCATACAACCGCCGCGCCGCCTGCAGGTCGCGCTGCGTCCACAGAGTGATCCGTGTATACCCCGCCGCCCGTGCAAACCGCGAACACTCGCCGATCAAGCGGCCGCCGAGGCCCATGCCTCTCGCCTCCGGTTCGACGAGGAGCAGCCGCAGTCTCGCGGTCGTGAGGTCGCCGGCGTCTTGCGAACGCACCAGCATCACGCAGCCCAGGAAGCGGCCGTCGGCCGCCTCGGCGATCCAGCATTTCTCGCGTGCGGCGTCGAACTTGTCGAGGAAGTCGGCGGCGATGCGCGCGACGAGCGCTTCAAACGCGGCCGTGAAGGCGTGTTCGGCGGCGTAGAGGACGGCGTGGCGCTGGATGATGAGGCCCATGTCGCCTGCTTGGTGGGAGCGGAGGGAGTACATTGAGTGAAATTCGAGCGAAGCGAGAATTTATAGAATAATATATGATTGATATTGTGAATCTAGAATTATAAGAAAAGAATGAATGATGAATGATAATAAAAGATAAGATGTCAGGGCGTTTGGTTAATTACTAATACTAGCAGACAGTAGTTCTATATATATAGGCGAGTCGCGCAGGCGTATACCACATAAAATAATATTATAACCCTTTATCATCCTATATATTATAGTCCTTTCATTATAGTAATAATACACTGTAATTTTTAGTATAATAGGGCTATAGAGGGTTATATCAAAATATTATTCAAAATTTCTCTATGAAAGTTGCTGGATATTGGAGGTGGTTAGGTGTAGCCTGGCTCACCTGTGTGCATGGTTCATATATAGTTTATATTAATACTCTTACTCTTACTCTCTCTATATTCTGGATATGCTGTACTTTAGACTGATTATACTATTTATGTTTATTACTATAACAGACCACTAAAATTACTTTAATATAATAATTTATGGTAATAAATACCTGTTGAGACCATCGGCTAAACTAACCTTCTGTCACAGAATATATACATTTTTAGTCGCTCAGCGGTCTAGTGCCCCCCTAGATTTTGTCAAACCTTCAAAATGCCATAAAACTATTAAATAGCAAGACCCCTTTCTCCTCTCTGTAGATGACTCTCTATCCTTTCCTCTTCCAACTCCGTCCAGACTCCAGACTTCCACTATCACCATGAAAATCACCCTTGCTCTGCTCTTCGCCCTGGCAGAGGCCATCGAGGTCATCCCTCCAGCCCGAGTCGCTCTCACCACCATCACCGCCACCTCCGTCGACATCGTCACCTCCACCGCAACCACCGCCGTCGCCGTCACCTCCTCCCTGCCCTCCTGCACCGTCGGGTCCGCCGAGCCCACCGCCGCCTCGTGTGTCCCCTCGCTCTGGTCGTCGGGCAGCCTCTTCTACTCGCAGCGGTGCTCCTCGAACTATGTGGGCGACGGCAGTCTGCTGAGCGTCCTCCCAGAGGTCCCCTTCACCTCCTGCCGCGACCTCTGCATCGCCTCGACCTCCTGTGCCGGCTTCAACTATCTCGGCATCATCACCTACTGCGAGCTGACCTGGGGCACCGCCCTCACCTGGAACACGGCCGGTGCCTCGTACGACCAGGCCATGTTGAAATACACCACCAATCCCTGCGAAATCATCACCTCGTCCACCGAGACTGTCGTTGATACCTTTACCACTACTTATACCACCGTCTATGTCGAGACTATCTCTACCTCAGCCATCTCTAGCTCAGCTATCTCTAGCTCAGCCATCTCTAGCTCAGCCATCTCTAGCTCAACCATCTCTAGCTCTTCAGCTATCTCTACCTCTGCAGCCATCTCTTCTAGTTCAGCTACTGCCAGTTCAGCAGTATCCTCAGCCAATCATACCATGACAGACACCGTGGTTGTCTACAGCCTGACCTCAACGATTTACACCACAGATATATCCACAGTCTATGACTGCGAGTAATTATATAGACTTTCAATTATGTCAAACTAGAAGCTGCTTGGAATACTTTTCGTATAGATCGGGATACCATCTCTTGCCTACATCCGGATGACTCAAGATGCGATTGCGAAGATGCGCCTCGCCAAACTGACCCATTAGTAGAAGAACAGATATAAGAGAGAATACTTACACATTGGTATAACGGCGAGAGAAACTCGCTCGGCACATCCACCGCATTCTTCTTCTCATTGTCGGCCGCCGGGATGCGCTCGACGATATGGCTCGCCGACGCCTTCAATTCATCCAGCGTGAGATCCAACCGCACCCCAAGGAAGAAGGGAATCGAATAGCGGATCCGGTCGCTGCAGGGCGCCACCACTCGATGCGTCGTGGCCGAACAGATCCCCCCCGTGATGGCTTCAAACCCTTGCTGGATGTTGACCACCAGACTGTTCGGGACGGGGGGCGCATCGATCCAGACCCCGTCCTTATTGAGCACCTGCAGTCCCCCAACATCATCCTGCGACAGGAACGTGAACAGCCCGGCCGAGTCCTTGTGCGGACCAACCCCTTGTCTGGTCTCTTCGCTCTGGCTGACCGGGTACTTGATGAACTTCAACCGGCTCATCCGCCCAGCAAACGCATCAAACGTCTCCCTCGGCAGCGACAGACACTCGGCCACGGCGTGCATGAATTGGCTCGATACCACCTGGATCCCGGCCAGATACTCTTCCACCAGCCGTTGGGTCTTGTCGTCGGGGTACTGGTTATACCCTTCCAGTCGGTCCCAGGCATGGTCTATCTTTCTTTCTCCTCCGGTTCCGAAATCAAATTGCTACAATCATCAATCAATCAACATACCCCGAACCAATATAAAAGTATAATATAAGTATAAAAGTATGTACCTCCCGCCAGTCGGTTCTCTTGGCCGTCGTCTCCGCCCCCAGACGCGTATAGCCGAGAAAAGCAGGCGAGTGCAGCATATTGCATTCTTCCTTGACGGCTTCCGGTAGTGAGAAGAGCGAGGGTAACGCCGCGTGTGTTTTGGCAATCGTTTCCTATATTCGTTTAGAATAGATGGAACATACAATCGTGTCCTATATTCGTTTGGAATAGATGGAACATAAGAATGCGGTACTACCTCCAATCCTGTGTTGGTCAGATATAAGAACCCAACAAGGAAAATGGCCTCGCGCAGCTGGGCGAGAGCCGAGGCTTTGGTCTGCTCTTCTGCATCCTGCAGCTGGCGAAAGTCGATCAGGGGGATTGATGAGAAGGACATGATTAGAGAGAGAGAATAAATAGAGAACAGAAGAGAAGAGAGAGAGTAGATAGATAGAGAGAAGAGAATAGAGAGAAGAGAGAGAAGAGAGAGAAGAGAGAGAGCGGGGATCACGCCATTGGGGTAAGAGGTTAGTAATAACCCTAGGGTTATGTTATGGTCAAGCGGGGTAAGATGCGTAAACCCTAGGGTTAGGGTTAGGAGAAAAGAGGGTAGTAGATTAGCCAACCTAACCCTAACCTAACCCTAACCCTAACCCTAGGGTTAGGGTTATGATGTGATCGGAGAAAGAGCGGGTATCCATGGTAGTAGATTAGTAACCCTAACCTAACCCTAGGGTTAGGTTACCAGGGTTCCCCACAAGATGACGACTCCAGACCAGGATTCTGACCTTGCAGGTCATAAGAGCCAATAGACGGCTGGGAGCCTGACTGATCTGCTCTCACATGATCAATTGCCTAATGCGCTTGCAGAAGTGGTGCCACACGGAGGCATCCGGAGTACTCATATTCATGGAAATAATGAAATAGATAGAGAAAAGAATAGAATAGTAGAATACTCCATTTACTAGTAATACTAGTTACTAGTAGTACTAGATACTAGTAGTACTAGATACTAGATACTAGAGATACTAGATTAAATGATAACTATTTGTATAATAATAAATCTAAAGAATAGAATAAATGCATCCCTGCTAGTCGACCCACTGAAAATTCTGCTACTCCATACTTACAAGCGGCACTATTCCATCCAACAATAATAATATCCTTTGATTGATTACCCTGTCTACTTTTCTTCCTGTTTGTTGTTTATTGTTTCTTGAAGCATGAAGATCTTTATCATCGGAGCCGGCATCTCCGGCCTGGCAAGCGCTCTAGCGCTGGCGCACGAGCTGCCCGACGCGGAGATCACCGTCTTCGAGCGGCACGAGATCCTGTCGACGTCCGGCGGGGCGATCAACCTGACGCCCGTGGCGCAGCGGCATCTGGCACGGCTGGGGGTGCTGGAGGAGCTGGGCAAGATGGGCGGCGCGGGCGGGATCGAGGTCTCGGCGATCGAGCTGTTCAGCCTGCACAGCGGACGCGGGCTGGGCAAGATCTCCTTCACGGACGCGCAGGGCGAGGCGATCGGCGGCTTCAAGGGCCGCCGCGTGATGCGGATTGTGCTTTCGGTGGCGATGCTGGCCGTCGCGGAACGCCACGCGCAGATCTCGGTCGTGTTCGGCAAGAAGCTGGTCGACGTCGAGCACGACGACGAGAAGGACGAGAAGAAGGCCGGCGGCGTGACGGCGCGGTTCGACGACGGCACCGCCGCCACGGCCGACCTCCTGTTGGGCTGCGACGGGGTGCATTCGAGCGTGCGGCGGTTCGTCGATCCCGCCTGCGTGTCCGAGTATACGGGCATCTCCTTCATCCAGACCACCATCGCGGCCGAGACGATGACCCGCGCCCGCAAACACTTCCACACCAGCGCCATGCACGTCTCCCGCCACGGCTCGCTGCTGACCTCCTTCTGCGACGCCGAGCGCGAGACGCTCTTCGTCGCCGCCATCGTGCAGATGGATGAGCACAGCATCGCCTCCCTCCGCCTCGAGCCCCTGCAGGACGGGCGCACGCAGCAGGCCATCAAGTCCGCCATCCGCCAGGGGGTCGTCGACCGCTTTGGCCGTTCCGCCATCCCGTGGGTGCGTGAACTGGTCGCCCAGGATGCCGACTGGATGGTCTATCCTGTCTACCAGGTTGAGCCTGGCAGTCGGTGGTGTTCCAACCGCATCGTCCTTCTCGGCGATGCCGCGCATGCCGTAAGTCGAATATAAAGTCTCAAGTACTATGAATCTTGATGATAGTACTGATGCCAGTAGATGCCCCCCCGCGATGAATCGGCGGCGTTTGCCCTCGACGACGCCATCCTGTTCGCGCGCATCCTGGGCCAGACGGTCGAGCAGGGCGGGTGTCTGGAGCAGGTCTTCACCACCTACGAAACACTGCGGCGACAGATCATCGAGACGGCGTTCAAGGCCTCGCGGCGCCTCTGGGGGCGCCATCGGGACATGTCGCTGCTCGAAGGCTGTCTGCGCGAGTGGCTGCTGCCTTATGCCGTGCGCACAGAGCGCAAGGAGCGCGAGGCCGCCTGGCGATACGATCCCACAGAGCTGTTTTTGAACAACATGACTGTTGATGACTGATGCATGGTGTACTGAGTAGTGAGTACTCCTGAGTCCTCATGTGACATGACATGTGACATGACATCATAACATGTGACATGGCATGTGACACTGGTCATGTGATCACTGATATCTGTGATGTCACATGATCTCTCTACTCCTTAGTCCTTACTCCTTACTCCTTACTATTACTCTCTCACTTACTCTCATACCTCTTTCTTATATACTCTCACTCTCACTCTCACTCTCTTACTCTTTAATACTCACCCTCTCACTCTCTTACTCTTACACACTCTCTTACTCTCTTATCCTGTTACACACTCCCTCACTCCCTCACTCACCTACTCTTACAACACTCACTCTCTCTCGGTTTAACTGTTAGCGCAAGCGGGTAAATAAAAATAGATAGACAATAGAATGCATAGTACTATGACAATTATAAGTACCAATACCTATCAGAATATCATATTAGCTAATACTAGTAGTTTAGCATTGGACCATTACTACACCACTACTACTCATTCCGCCACCAAAAAGCGTCATTCTCCTCCAGTTAGAATGGAGTACATGAACTATTTAAGACCACCATTTTCTTCTTCTCAACCTACTACATACTTAGCAATGGACCCAGACATCACGCTGTATACCGCCCCGACAGCCAACGGCATTAAAATCTCCATCGCCCTCGAGGAGCTAGGGTGAGCACCTGGTTTTAGGGCTAGGGTTTAGGGTTTAGGGTTATGCTGATACAAATAGAATCCCATACAAAGCAAAACATCTCACCCTCCCCCAACGCAGCGAAGAATGGTACCTCCAGATCCATCCCAACGCCCAGATTCCCGCCCTGGTCGATAATTCCGGCGACGGCGAGTCCAGCGTGCGCGTCTTCGAGTCCGGGAGTATCCTGCTGTACCTTGCCGACAAGTACGATCCAGAATACAAGATCAGTTATCCGCGCGGGACTGCCGAATGGACCGAAACGATCAACTGGCTGTTCTTCCAGAATGCCTCGCTTGGCCCGATGCAGTCGCAGGCGGTTTATTTCCTGCGCAAGGCCGCGGATCGTATCGAACCCGCCATCCAGCGGTACGAAAGGGAGTTGCGCAGAGTATACACCGTCGTCGAACGGCGTCTTGCCTCTTCCGCCTCGGGGTTCCTGGTCGGCGATCACATTTCTATCGCGGATATCTCGCTCTGGGGACCTGTCAGGGGGTTGGAGAGGGCGGGAATCGATCTTGCTGAATTTCCTCATGTCGCGGCTTGGAAGGAGAAATTGGCGATGCGGGAGGGAGTTCAGAGGGGCATCAGTGATAGATAGTACTAAGTACTATATTACTAGTAATACTATAAGTATACCATTACTTGGTAATTACTATCCAACTCTCTCTCTCCTTCAATCTCCCCCACCACGCTTTAACAGCAGGATACTTGTCCAGTAGTGCCGTATAGCCCAACGGCTCTATCGCCACCCCGTACGGAAGATGGTACAGGTCCGCGAGCGTCACCTCCCCGCCAGCCAGGTACGTCTGTCGACTCAGGAGACGCTCGTATCCCTGCAGCGCCAAGTCTAGCTGGGAGAGACTGCGCTGCACGAGCGCCATGTCGGGCTCGCCTAGCTTCTTGCGAGGCTTGATTACCATCTCGAACGCGATGGTGTGGGCGGGGGGGTCGAAATAGGATTGTTCGATGGAGAGTGCCTGGACAGTGCGAGAATTAATTATCACTTATAAATTAAATATATAGGGCAACGATAAAGAGTGAAATACCTGCTGGTATGCCGCGTAACGCTTCATCTCAGAAGGAGATAGGCTGCTCCCGTGCTTCGTCGCGAGATACTGGCATATCGCCCGGCTCTCGAATATCTGGATCTCCCCGTCGACGAGGACAGGAACTTTGCCGAACGGATGGAAATTCGCGAGATATTCTTCCTCCTTGTGGGCCCCTTTGATCAGGTCGACTGTTATCAGCTCCGCGTTGAGACCCAGCTCGGTCAGGATGGTCCGGACACGCTGGGTGCAGGTGGAGAAGGGGAAGCAGTATAGCTTCATAGTAGAACAGAGTAGATAGAATAGAATTGAAAAAGTAATAGAAAAAGTAATAGAAAAAGTAATAGAAAAAGTAATAGAAAAAGTAATAGAAAAAGTGATAGAAAAGTAGAATAGAGAAGAGAAGATAGAAGAAGAGAGAGAAATAGAGGATAGTGACTCATTAGGCACTGCTGCATGCATCTGCAAGGATAGCTGTACATCCTGTATTAGCCTAGAGTATACTCACACTGATACTCATACTGATACTCAGATTGAATTGATTATCATGCAGTGACTAGATCTATGGGTATAAGAGGTATAATAGAGTCAGGTACTACTATGCAATCGGCTGACGTCAACAGCCATCTGGGTGGTAAAGAAACACGGGCGATCAAAGCAGTCATCCCAGGCATCCCCCCCCGACGCCCAGAAGCGCTGGAGGATATTTCTAGCCTCGAGCGGGTTCGAGGTGCCTACGAACCGGCTGAGATCGGCCAGTCGATCGCTCACAAAACGGCGCATGGGCGCCCCGCCGTGGACGGCCTCCACGCCGAGGGTGACGAGCGGCCAGATGATGAACAGCTCGGTCTTGGGCGAGGTGAAGACCTTGGTAAGCAGCACCTGCAGCAGCTGGCTGTGCGTGCTGCAGCAGTCTCGCAGGAAGGCGTTGATGGGCAACACGCCCTGGCTCTGCAGCGAGCGGATGCAGAACAGTGCCGCCGCCGCCTGGTACGCAGCCCCGACCAGCGCCCAGTCCTCCTTGGACGAGGGCTTGGACTCGGCCCATCTGTCGGCGGAAAAGGCGTAGATCGAGCTGAGCACGCCGTATGCTGCTTCGGCGAGGGGGTTTGCTCCTTCTTCTTCTTGTTCTAGCTGTGTACTTGCCGCTCGGATGCGCAGGTGATTTGTCTTGACGATCTGGGTGAAGATCGGAACGGGACACGCGTGGAAGTCAAACTGGCCGCGGGCGTACTGCTCGATGATGAACTCAAAGTCCTCCAGCTGCCACGTTGCCATGGCCATGTTGGAGGCCGGCGACGTCGTATCGCTGACAACAACAATCCTTAAAAACGGTCAGCTTCTTCATTCCCCGTTGGGTTCTTATTCTTTTTACGTCTACATACGATACAAAAGAAACCATCAGCGGATGCAGACGCGGCACATCAGCCAAAGCACGCATGCCGCCGCGCATCTTGATGAGTTTCTGCGCCCCGTCGAGATGAAGTCGCCAGGATGGCGTTACGTCTTGTTGAGCCTGCCAGTAAGAAGAGAGTCGAGTCGAGTCAGTGTTTTTTTGCTACTCACATCCGTCAGAAGAAGATTGAGAATGCCGGCAATGGTGAGGTCGGCCTTGCGCTTGTGTTCGAAATTCAGATCGTCGTGGAGCGAGCGGATGATATAGCCGCGATAGCGGAGGAAGCGTTTGGCCAGCACAGCAGAATACGGGTCGTCTGCCCGCGTGCGGTTCATCTGGTGGGTGAGCGTCATGCAGACCATATTCATCCGGACGTGGTCGGGAAAGTTCATGCCCATCTGGAACAAGGAGGGCGAGATGGTGTAGATGAAGGGCGTGGGACCCATGTCTTGAGTCGGGAACCGACGGGGGATAATGCACGCATTATCTATGGGGATAGTCAGCATAATACTTATTTTCATCCAATATACCAATTTCCTCCGATTGATAGCACATTCACTTACAATATTGAACCGCCTGGATCATCGCGTGGACGTCCGTGTGCAGCTCGACAGGAGGGGGTAGAGAGACCGAAGAGTCGGAACTGTTACCAGACAGACGCACACTCCTCTTCTTCTCTTCTTCCTTCCTCCTCTCCTCCTCCTCCTTCTCCTTCTTCGACCTGCGATTATGCGCCTTGACCTTCCCTGGAGCCAGCCACTGCAGCCTCGTCGGTCGCGTCTCGCTGTACCCAGGACAGTCGACGCCAGACGCCGCGCAGCGGGCACAGCCGGGCTGTGTGAAGTCGCAGACCAGCCGCCGACGCCGACATTCCCAGCAGTGCTTCTTCCGCTCTTCAACCATACCGGTCGCTTCTCATCTGGCTCGAGGATGGACGCTGTTGCCCGTGAAGGAGGGGCTGAAGTCGAAGCAATTCTTCTGAGGAAAGTACACCGTCACCGCCCTGGCACGTGATATCAGGTGTCGTCATCGTCCAATATTCTGCCCTCTGCTGGGGCCGAAACGAGGGCACCAATGATGGCCAGCTGCGTCTCATCATCATAAGTGCTGACAGATTAACTATTTATGTAGTTCTCCCAAAGGAGAAGAGATCTACTCCGATGAGCCGTGACTCTTGAGACGCGTGTTTGCGTAGGATGTATCATGCTGAATATAGCGGCGAAGGACTATGGAGTAGTAAGCGATTAGTCATAAGGATAATAGTAAACCTTGGTAAACAGCACTGGATAGTTATTAATAGATATCTATGCAAAATAATAAGGAGCATCTACTGACTATTTGTTGCAGCTGCAACAGCCTGCTTCTTATAAGCAGAAGTATTAGCCCGTGCGCAGTGCCTGCCTATTCAAGTATCAAGAACTGCCAAGCCGCTTATGTAGCAATTCTGCTCTCCACGTGTTGATTGTGCCCCGCTGCTTGGCATTGAGATCATAGTAGTATACCTAGGTAGAGTAGTAGAATAGTATAGAATAGTCTATTGAGATGAGGCTGTCAAATTGACGGATTCTAGATAACAGCACGATGGATCAATATCCTGAGACTGGTCTACCTTTCTCTCTTCAGAACTAGTCAGTACTCAATTGAGATGGCCCTTACTAACTATATTATATACTATATACTCCTATATACTAACTATATACTCCTATATAATAACTAAATACTCCTGTATACTAACTATATACTATACTATACTAACTTAGTATGCTATATACTCAGCATATGACGTGTGGGCGTTGATCGACCAATCAAGCAGGACTGGCCGACGACGTCATCCACGTGGTTGGCGTGACGTCAGTTATTCTTATTTATTTACTATACTTGATTCTATCTGTTTGATTTTCACTGCTCTATTCCATCCCTCTCTGTGTCTATCTTCTATCTCTCTATCTGTACTCTACCTCCTCAATCTACAAGTAAGCTCAAGCTCAGCTCAAGAAGCAAAGTAGTCTTTCCAACTAACAGTCTAGAATGCCTTCCATGCACGATCGCATCCGCGAGGACCTCCTCCTGCACGAACGCTCGCTCTGGACGGCCCTCACCTCTGCCGACCCGGGCCCGGCCGTCGAGAAGCTGTGCAACGAAGACGCCAACCTGCTGTTCCCCTCGCTGCCGATTCTGCATCTCGAAAGCGAACCGTCCATCAAGGAGGCCATGGCGCCCCCTTTTCATCGGTTCGACAGCTTCTCGCTCGGTGAAGTGCGCACAATCGTCATCGATCTCATGGCGGGGGTGGTCACGTACACGATCCATGCCACGAGGGGGAGGAAGGAGTATAATGCGCTGGGATCGACGACTTGGTCGCAGGGTTCTGATGGGGAATGGCGCATTTGTGTCCACCAGGAGACGATGATGTGATATGTCTGTATTTATTCTTTTTTTTATACTACTATTATATTCCTGATATATGAATGATGAATGAGTAATCAATCAATAATTAAAACTCAATCTGTAGAGCCGAACACTACTATTACAGTGGCATTCAATAGTACATAGTATAGTTCTATGGTACCATTGCTATGGTGCTAGTACCGAGTAACTGCGGTAACTCCTGCCGAGGAGTAGATTAAGGTAAAATAACCCAGATAGCAGTATTAGTAACCAATAACTCGGATTGATTACACCTCCCTACTCGGTACTAGTAACTGTTCAACGTCAGCCAGTAACCATTGCTAATGGAATAAAAGAGATAGTCTTATCACCCGCCGGTCTCCGCTCATAGATAAGGTCGCGTGCTATACTACTCGAGATAGCAAAAGACACTGATTGAGAAGAATGGAATGAATAGATTCCGAGTCTTCAATAGAGTAGCTAGGTAGTTTATCCTATTACTTGTACAATAGTAGCAACTAGTTACTACATATACTCTTTATACCCCCTACTCGAAGAATTCTTCCCGATCCCCACAGACAGATCCACTTCTATTCAAAGATAAGAACTATGGAGACAAGAGAAAAAAAAAGAAAAAAAAAAGTGAAAAAGAAAAAAATGGAGCAGGAAGAATGGAGAATGAAAGCCCCCCCTTGCGTCGATAGGCGAGCCAAAGGTATTTAAGGTACCCTGTTCCCATAAACACTCGAGTCAGGGAGCTCACATTCGCATTCTTAGTGGCCATTCCAGGTCGTTACATACCACCTATACTGCATCATCTATATACTTGTTAATAGTAATGGTTAATATGCTCTTCTCTCTCCTCTCTACAGCCGCCCTGCTGTGGCCGGCTGTGGCCTCACCCGTGCAGGGCAAGATCACGCCGCGAGTCTTCATCTTCTCCATGGTACTTCCTCACCATCTTATAATACTCGTATCATGCTAGATAGCAGTAACTAACAAACATAGTTCGAACCTGAAACTACCATCTGGTGGGATCGCCCCGAGTTCGACCTGAAGGCTCGCAACATCAGCCTGCCCGGTCTGTCGCCCATCTACCCCGACGTCCACTGCACCCCCGACGGCGACATCTGCCAGTTGACCACGGGCGAGTCCGAGATCAACGCCGCCAGCAGCGTGACGGCTCTGGCGCTGTCGCCGCTGTTCGACCTGCGCGAGACGTATTTCCTCGTTGCCGGTATCGCCGGTATCAGTCCCGAGCAGGGCACGACGGGCGCCGTCACCTTTGCCCGTTTCGCCATCCAGGTCGCCCTGCAGTACGAGATCGACATTCGCGAGCTGCCGGACTCGTATACCACGGGCTACATCCCCCAAGGCGCCTACTACCCGGGCGAGTACCCGACCAGCATCTACGGCACGGAGGTGTTTGAGGTCAACGCCAACCTGCGCAGTCTGGCTGCCTCGTTTGCCCGCACGGCGAACCTCTCCGACTCGGCGACTGCCATCTCCTACCGCGCCAACTATAACACCAGCGCCATCTACCAGGCCGCCATCAACGCTCCCTCCGTCCTGGAGTGTGACGTCGCCACCTCCGACGTCTACTACAGCGGTCTGTTCCTCGGCGAGGCCTTTGACAACACCACCACCCTGCTCACGAACGGAACGGGCGTCTACTGCTCCACCGCCCAGGAAGACAACGCCAGTCTTGAAGCTCTCCTCCGCGCCGCCGTCTATGGTCTGGTGGATTTCGCTCGTATCATCGTCATGCGCACCGCTTCCGACTTTGACAGACCCTACCCGGGTGAAGGCGCTGCCGAGCACCTCTTGTACTCTTCTCAGGGCGGGTATGAGCCTGCTGTCGAGAACATCTATCTCGCCGGTATCAAGGTCGTCGAGGGTATTCTTGACGGATGGGATCATACCTTCAAGAAGGGTGTCGCTCCTGACAACTACATCGGTGATATCTTTGGCACCCTGGGCGGCACTCCTGATTTTGGTCCGGGGAGAGTCGAGTCTTTGATTGATGCGGGTGTCCTGAGGAGGCGCTAGGCTTCTTGTCTGTACTAATGTTGTATAATGTGTATATGTAGTGTTAGTGAATGATGAATCGATTCTGGTCTGTATGACTTGTCTGGAATATCCTCAAATCTTACCTTGTATCACGCTAAAAACGAGAAAGAATGACAAGATGAGAAGACGAGAAGACGAAATGATGAGAAGACGAAATGATAAGACGAAATGATAAGACGAAATGATAAGACGAAGAGGGAGGGAAGAGAGAAGAGAGGAAGAGAAGAGAGAAGAGAGAAGAGGTCACTGGTTATGGTTGCTGCCTTGCTGCCTTACTGACTGATGCCTTATTGCCTGATGTCCATCCTCCTTCCTCTCTCAGAAATCCATCTTCTACTGACACCTCCATCTTCCACGCGTCTTCTCACGCCAAACACAGCCTCGTCGAAGATTCAATCATACGATTGAAAATATCTGCCTATCATGCATACAGCTGCCAATGACAGCTCGCCAACTCAGCCGACGCAGCTCTCAGCCTTGTCTGCCTCGACCCCGCCTCGTCGAGACAACAGATCAAACAGACTCTGCCCCCTTGGTAGTTTCCATCTCCTATACAGAGAAAACTTGCTAATATTCTGCTGTCCCTTCAGAAAAGAAAAGCCCTGCTCGATACTCTGCACGTACGATAGCTCTTGTTAGCCACCATGGCTGGCCTCTCGGAGGCTTCTGCCGTCTTTGCAACTATCCAAATGGCCCAGGTGGTGATCGAATATTCTGCAAAGTACATATCCAACGTTAAGGATGCAAAAAAGAGCATGGAGAAGCTGCAGACTGAGGTGAAGAGTTTAACAACAGTGTTGGAAGGCCTTGAAAAACAGCTCAAATCGGCGGAAGATGACCGATCACTTCGCGTCACTCGCGAACTGAAGGATGCGATCGATCGATGCTCCTCGCACATCTCTTCGTTACAGACAGACCTCCAGCATTGGCAAGGAGAGAAGTCCTGGACCCAAAGAATCAAGTGGCCGTTGAGGAGGTCTCGAGTCGAAGATGCTGTCGAGTATGTTGACCAATGCAAGAAGACAATCATTCTCGCCCTCCAGGTCGATCAAACGTGAGTTTTTCCTTTGTTTGTTGAAGATGAAGCAAACTGGACTGACGACTCTCCTGTTCAAGAGCTCTGATAGTCGAGACTAAGCGGGAAATCGAGTCTATCAAACTCCCCATTGAGGCCCGAGCCATTTTCGATTCGTTCTCAGATCGAGGGGACGAGTGCTTGCCGGACACCAGAACAGATCTGCGTCGCCAGGTGGTGCAATGGGCGGAAGACCCGAGCAGTAAATCGATCTTCTGGTTGAACGGCATGGCTGGGACAGGAAAGTCCACCATCGCCCGGACGCTGGCTAGACATTTTCAAGAAAAGGGCCAACTCGGCGCGAGTTTTTTCTTCAAGCGAGGAGAAGGTGCGCAGGGCGACGCGTCAAGATTCATTACCACTATTGCCCAGCAGCTATTATATCGAATTCCTAAGCTAGCGTCGGAAGTTCGACAGGCATTGCTGGCTGATACGCTCCTTCCGGAAAAGAACATCGCAGAACAGTTCCAGATGTTTATTTTAGGACCACTCAAGGCATTGAGCATGTCAACCCAACTTGTTGTCCTGGTCATCGATGCGCTTGACGAGTGCGAGCCACGGCGCGATGTCCAGCTCATCCTGAAACTCCTTTCTTCGACACCAGAGGTCACCACTGTCAGGCTTCGGATATTCATCACCAGCAGACCGGACATGCCTATCCCATCGGCGTTCAAACGCATGTCAGACTCCACCTACCAAAACCTCCTCCTCCATCAAATCTCGGAGGACATCATTCGACATGATATAGAGGTCTTCCTGACTCACAGGCTGGCTGAGATCCGACATGAACACTGTCTGCTCCCTGAATGGCCTGGTCCCGAGAAGAAACAAGCACTGCTGGATATGGTCTTGCCACTGTTTATCTGCGCTGCTACCGTTTGTCGATTCATTGCCGATCCTCGGTGGAATCCCGAGAGGCGCCTGCAAGAAATCCTACAGTACAAATTGATCGCACAAATCTCACAGCTGGACATCACCTATCGGCCAGTATTGGATCACCTGCTGGCTGATCTGAGTAAGAAAGAAAGAAGTCTGTTTCTCAACGAATTTCATCAAGTCGTGGGCTCGATCATTGTCTTTTATGAACCCCTTTCAGTGGCTTCCCTCTCTGCCTTACTTGATATCCCCGAACATGATATCAGCTGTAGGATCAACGACCTTCATTCAGTCTTGGAGATCCCCTCGGACAACACTCGGCCTATCAGGCCACTTCACCTCTCCTTCCATGATTTTCTCGTCGACCCGGATAAGCAAGACGATTATCCATTTTGGGTCAATGAAAGGGAACGACACGCCGATCTGACGCATGCCTGTTTGCGACTGCTTTCTAAAAAGGGAGTTTTACGAAAGAATATATGCAACCTCCCAAGCCCTGGGACAGAACGAACTGCAATCAGTCCGCAGACGATCCAAGAGTCCTTGTCGGTGGAGGTTCAATATGCCTGTCGATACTGGATTCGTCATTTAAAAGAAAGCGGTGCCCATATCTGTGATGGTGACCTCGTTCACAGCTTCCTTAGTACATCTTTTCTACACTGGCTGGAATGTTTGAACCTAATGGGAGGGATGTCAAGGAGTGTCAGTCTTATGGAGACACTGCAGCTGATGTGTTCTCCTGAAAAGGGCACTGAAGTCTCGCAACTTCTGTGTGATGCCCAGCGCTTCGTCATGAGGAACCGGGTCATAGTTGACGCCTACCCTCTCCAACTGTACTCGTCTGCACTCTCATTCGTGCCCCAGATGTCTTTGGTTAGACAACTGTTCGAGGGCCAAATGTTGAAACCATCTCCTCAGCTTTCCAACCCTATATCTTCGTGGGACGCAAAATTGGAGTCATTTGATATATCTCCCAATGGCCACACAGCCGTTTCCCCAAATAGACAACTGATAGCCATTTCGGGTCATGTGGGCCTCGAATTGATCAACTTAATAACAGGCACCCGGCTGTCTTTAAGTGTTTCTAGACCTAGTTTTATCAGGTTTTCCGATGACAGCCACTGGTTGTTGGCTGTCTTTCGCGATCAAGAATCTTCCAGAGTCGAAATATTTGATACCCAATCTGGTCTTCTGGAACAAATAATACAAAATCCCCACGCCGGGACGCAGCTTTGGTGGCAGGGCTTTCAGGCCAGCCTCTCCCCTGACAACAAACTAGTCACTATTACAGCTCCCGAAGACAGCGCCATCACAATCTTGGATCGTCAAAGCAGTGGGCTATTACAAACCCTTAAGGTAAACAGATCCCACTTTGCTTTTTCTCCAGACTCACGGGCACTGGTTTTTGTCTCGAGTGAGAATCAGGTCGTGATCCAAGATCTGGTACCGCCCTATTACGACAAGAAGACCATCATTAGCACATTGGATCGGGGTTTCACATCTAGGAACTTGGCCATTTTTCCAGATGGGAACCGAATCGCTCTATCTGTCCAAAACAGATTCGGATGTCTGATCCAAGTGTGGAATCGATGGACGGGGAGCCTAGAGCATACATTGGATGGTCATTGTATCATCAATCCATCCTTTTTTCCTGATGGAAGGCTGATTGTTCAAAAATCCGATGAGCTAAAAGTCAGCTTAGAAGACGAAGGACCTTTCCTATGGGAGCCCATTACTGGGACCCTCAAGCAGTTAATACCAGAGCAATGCAAACAAATCAGTTTTACAGCGGATGAGAGATATATTCTCACATTAAATCCTGTTGGTACAGCCAAACTGTGGGATTTTAAGACTCAAACTGTTTGTTGCTCATGGTATAGCCATGGTGATAAGATAGATAGAGCCTTTATCAGAGGAGATGAAAAGGCACTCATATTAATTTACAACTACAAGATTGAAATCTGGGATCTGTGGGCTGATGAGACTATTTTATCATTATCATCATCATCTCTAAGTGAACTTGGTTCAGTCTGCAGTGTGAATATATCGCCAACTAGCAATTTGATATGCGCAGTCCACATAGGCCAGCAAGTCAGCATTTGGAAAGCCGACGGCATACCGCAGAAAACATGGGATCTTCCTGGCAATGATTTTGACCGGTTTAAGGTTCTCTTCTCATTAGACGGGACATTATTGGCTTTGCAATTCACTGGTCACATTGAAATCAGGAATACAGCATCAGGAAACCTGGTTTGCAGAATTCAGATACCATTGGGCTCTTTAATGATGGCCTTCTCTCCCAAGAACACCGCCATATTGTCATGCAATAAAAGTGAAATGCTCAGTGCGTGGTCTCTCCCTACTGGAACCCTTGAGAAAACGTGGAAAGCGCCTCTAGCCATGTGCTCCTCTCTGTCCCCAGATGGAGGACTTTTGGCGGCAGGGTCACTGGACGGCAGCATCGTCATCAAGGACGGGCACACTGATCATACGCTACAAACAATCGAGGCGTCTGGGGTGCGTAAATTTCTCCTTTCCGAGGACGCTCGTCTGGTTGCATCAGTGGGTAGATTCAGGGTCAACATATGGAATATCCAGACCGGCGAACTCGTCCGGACTGCATACCTGCCTGGGCTTTCAGAGGAGGATAGGGTGTGCTCGTATGGGCAGTACCTGGCATCATTTGCAGAAGACGGAACCATCCGAGTGTGGAACTTGGAAACCAGAGCCATTCACTCGGCATGGAAGGCTTATCCTGCTTTTGTTTATCCATCGCAAACAATCGCCCTATGTCCAGATGGTCGCTGCTTGATCTCAAGCGGGCGTAACTACCAATCGGAAAACTATCGAGTGCACCTGCTTGATCCATCTAGTGGATCAATCCAGCCACTCGCCGAAGAGAGCTTGGCGAATTCGATCGAATTCTCGCAAAATGGCGAGATGATGGCATCTAGTCTGGGCTGTACGATTGAGCTTTGGAGCCTCCAAGATGCACGCTTGCTGAAAACGCTCAGTGGCCACGACGCTCTGGTGGATGACCTCGTGTTCTCTCCCGATGGTCGGAGATTGGTCTCCAAGTCCGTCAATGGGACAGTCAATCTATGGGATCTGGACGCGATGACAGCTTGGGAAGTACCCAATGATGTCTGGATCAAGGCTGTAGCTTTCTCCCATGACAGCCGGTTACTTTCACTTCACCTTCACCAGGATCAAGTGAAGATATGGGACATTGAAGCAAAGGCTTGCCTTGCGACAATCTATCAAGAGGATGTCACAGACATTTCCTTCTCTCCTGATGATCGATATCTTTTGATATTACAAATATTACGGGATGCCAATTCAACAACCGGAAGTTTGTGGGATCTGAAAGAGAGCCAGCTCTATTCTTGGTCTGAAAGTAGGAAAATCAGACGCTCGCTCTTTGCACCAGATGGAAGGTTATGCATGCTGTATATAAATGGTGGATTTTCCTTGCATCAAGCAATCAGCTGGCAAGTAGATATCCAGTGTGATTGTGATCCTGTTGCAATCGCTGCCTGGTCGCCCGATGGAAAGTGGCTCATCACAGAGACCACATACGAGGAAATCATTGTCTGGGAGACAGAAACTTATACGATTCGCTCCTCCCTCCCTGGCCATGTCTTGGCTGGAAGAAAATTCTGTTTTGAATCACCAGACAGACTGCTGGTATCCGAATATAGAAACAGTTCGATAAAACGGTGGTGTTTTCTCTCAGGAGACTTGGAGGGGTTCTCTCAGCAGGACACAAGCGACAAGGTCATGCCCTTACCGGACAGCAGGATAGCAATCGCCAGTCTGGAAAAATTTACGAGGAATGGCGATGAGTACGAGACTATTTTGTGGGACTTGGATACAGGAAAACGCATGGCGACCCTCAATGATCACCGACTGTTCAGTCTTGGCGAAAGATTCTCCGCCGATGGCCGAGTGATTGTCTCATCGAGGGATGACAAGACACTCCAGCTATGGAATCCGCACACCGGTGCGCTTCAACTCTTACTCCAGTCAGTAGAGGACATCTATCTTGTGGCAATCTCTGAGAACCGTCGACTAGTAGCAACAGGACACAAGTCTAACGTTAAACTCTGGGATTCGGAATCCAAATACACGCAGATCGGTCAATTCTCCATCTCTGGGGATCTGACAATGTCACTGACGTTCTCACCGGATAGCAAGTTTCTGGTAGCAGGTGACAAGAAGAAGGTTCAAATCTGGCGTCTCGACGTCCGGAAAAAACAACCGCTACAGATGTGGAGGACGATTGAGATCGAGAATTGCTACAATGCTACCTTTTCACCTGATGGGAAGCTGCTTATTTTCGGGAAGGTTACCCAGTCCTGGGATCCAGTCACGGACGAGAGACGAATTTTACTCTCTGGCCACACTCGAAAAGTCACCGCAATCACTTTCTCGCATGATGGGAGCCGTCTTGCCTCGGCTTCAAAGGATCACACCATCAATATCTGGGATGTCCCCACGGGCAGACATCAGATGACACTAGAAGTCCGGATGGATATCAGGCAGATGAGATTCTCCCAGGATGACTCCTATCTTATCACAGACGCGGGAACGTTTGCACTTCCAGCTACTGCCCCAGATGCCTTTAGCTTCTATCCTCACCCTGAACCTGGCCCTTGCTTGTGGATTGAAGATGAGTGGGTGGTCAGAGGGGCGGAGAAAATCCTTTACCTACCAACGGAATACCGGCCGACAGATCTTGATTACAACGATGGGCTCTTGGTCTGGGGTACCGAGAATCACGGGCTAGTCTTCATGAGGGACGATTTCCCTACTAACTGATGACTGGTGAACCCTATGAGCGAGTAAAAGTCAGTAGTCAACGGCCATAGGATCTTCAGTTGGCAGTATTATTGGGTACTTTGGAGCATTGAATGGCTATTGACAGCCGAAAGCGGATTCAATAACAGGGTTCAATAAATGATCGGCGGTACTGGGACAGAATGAAATATCAATAGGAAGATTAAATCAATAGCATCGAGTCATGCATTGATGTATAAATCATTGCATCCTGATTTATTCTCACCACAATACTTACTACTCTATTGCAAGTATCAATCAATCTTGAAATGCATCTCATCTCTCTGCTTTCCCTCTGCCTCGGGGCACTCCTCCTCGCACAGGCAGCTGCCCTCGAGAAACGCGACAAGTGTCAGACAGACTTTGCGGAGGAGGGAGGAGTTGATAGTACCATTGTGAGTTTATCTTCCTCTATAGTTACTATCTTGATGCTAATGGCAGTGTGAATGGTGATACCTGTTGAGGGGGGGAATATGAAGAATAATACTGGGATAGTTATCTAAGAATGTTATAATTATAATTATATATTTTAGTGTTCCATTTACATATAGAAGTATTATATTACCATGCTTTAACTATGGCTCTATAATAGTAATGTCATAGATGTACTCTGTAGTATATATACTCTTGTTCACTCCTTAGATCATAAAGACTTATTAACTAACCACCTAGACCAAATACAAAAAAAAAGACTGAATTTGAGACTTGTTGAGATTGGAAATGCAATTCAATTAATTGTAAGAAAGAGTCTCTAAAAGAAAGAAAAAAATGACAAGAGTGGGATTTGAACCCACGCCCCTTTCGAGACTGGAACCTTACTCCAGCGCCTTAGACCAACTCGGCCATCTTGCCTTGATGTAGGAAAGGTGAAAAGTTGACATAAAGAATCGGAAGAGCACAGACTAGTAATTTAGTTGATGAGTCTTTGTTCAGTTGCCGATCCTCGGGGAACTCCTTCGGAATCCCTCGGAGTCCTTCCACAAGCCGAACCATGGCAGACTCACAGGAAAACATCTCCGTTCTTGCGAGGTTCCCACCAACTGATTTCCCTGGAGATTAAGTCCTCCCAGCCCCCTCGCGAGCTCGGACTAGAGGAATGCAAGTGGTTGGTCCCTCCACACCTCGTTATTGGATGGAAGATTATCCCAACAATAAGCCTTGGCTGTTTGTCCTTTTGATATGCATGGAATACGGACGGAGCACGGACGGACATGCAGTACAGGTACAGCGTATAGAATATAGTTACTACATAGATCTCCAGAGAGGGAGAAGAATAATTTATTTAGAATAAGCACCAATATACAACCATGGAGTCACGAGCCATTGCTCCGCGCCCTCCAGGGGTCAGACGAGATGATGATTTCGAGCCTTCTCGACGAGAACACATTTCCACGGCCTGTACGGCGTGCAAATCTCGTAAATGCAGGGTAAGCCATGGCTTTGCTGCTGTCGTTGCTGCTATTGTTGGCACTGTCGGTAGTACTCTCGATGTTAATAACTTTAATCAGTGTTCTGGCGGCCAACCGTGCGACAGCTGTATCAAGAACAACACGCCGTGTGTCTACGACGCCAACAGCGACAACCGGCGCAAAGTCGTGCTCAAACGCAAGATCGAGAGTCTAGAAGACGACCGAGACCTACTCGTTCGGCTGCTTGGCACCCTGCGAGAAGACTCGAACCGACGCGTCGTGCCCCTGCTCAACCTGATTCGCAGCGATGCCTCGCTAGACGAGATCAAAGAGTACATTGACCACCACCACTCCCGCGGTGAGCTGGAAAGGACGCCAGAGCTGGTAGAAGTCGTCGACCAGCTGTTATCCCCCCGGGCGCAGACGCAGGAGTCGGAGGATCGCTCGCGCCGCCGTATCCTCGATGCAAAGAGACTGTCGGATGTCCCGCGCTGGAAGGTGCCTGCCAACCCGTGGACGAGCGTCATCGACGACGACGAGGTCGTCTCGCATCTCGTCTCGCTGTGGTTCACCTGGTGTCATCCGTACCATAACTGGATTGATCGGGAGCTCCTCCTTCGCGATATGCGGGCGGGAGATGTGCTCAATGCAGACTATTGCTCTCCTTTTTTGGTCAACATCATTCTAGCCAACGCATGTGTATGAATTTCTTTTCTTTTCCCGATCTTTCCTTATTTTTTTTTCTCTTTTGTTTACCGAGTAAAGGCTTATTCTGATTACCCCGAATCGTACGCCGATCCGGACGAAGCGTGCTCCAAAGGCCAGCACTTTTATGACGAGGCCAAACGCCTGTACGAGCAAGAAGAGGGAGTGATTGCCTTGACTACAGTGCAAGCACTCGCTGTCCTTTGGTTAAGGTGAGTATCATGACTTACTATTTTCTTCTCGTCGATGGTAACGTTCCAGTGCTGCGCTACTTGGCAAAGATCGTCGTGGCTGGGTGTATCAAGGACAGCTCGCGTATGCGATGGAAGAATTTCTGCGCATCGCCAACCGACAGCCTGATCGGTACGAGCCACAGGTGGTGAACGATATGGTCTGGGGGATCTGGAATATCGGCACGTAAGAGTTTCAGTTCATTAAACAAGAGAGAGAAAGAGAGAGAGAGAGAGAGAGAGAGATTCTTACCATACCCAGGGTGGGTGGACTGGTCTACCAAAGACTCCCCCTATTCAAAACACCACAAATAGCCTGCCTCAAACCACCGGCTGCAGAGGAGGATCAGGATGAATGGATTCCCTATCCGTCGCAGTCGGCCAGCGTGGCGGCATATCTCGCCCAAGTGAGAGGCGCCACCACCGAGATTAACAAGATCGTATATGACATCTGCCAGACCTTCTTCAACGAAACCAACGGGCTCGAGCACATATCCTTTGCCGAGACGCAACGTAATGCAGAAGACTTACGGGGGCGACTGCAACGCTGGACAGACGGTCTGGCCGACTGTCTGCAAGACACGGGCACTAGGAGTCCCCATCTTTTGAGTCTTCAGTACGTTGACTGCAGTGGAGAGAGGAAGAGAGGTCAGAGGAGAGGAAAGGAGGGTGGGAAAGAGTACTGACTAACCCAGTTGTTTGCCAGCATGTACCACCACACCATCATCATGACCATCTACGGCTTTGTAGTGAAAAAAGCAAAAGAAGAAGCCATACCGCCAGCCGAGTATCAACACATCCAAGCCCTCCGGTTCTCGTCTAGCCGCAGTGTCGCTCGCCTGATGAACCTCCATCGCCAGTCGTGGGGACTCGACCGTATGCCTTCGGGCAACATGCAGTGGATCACGGTGGCCCAGTCAACCCTGCTCGAGGATCTCGACTCCATCGACAACCGAGAAGCCTTCGTCAGCCTAAGCCTTGCCGCCAAAGCCGCCGCCCGACGCTGGCCGATGGGCAAGGGTCTGTTGCGTTCGATTGCCATGACCGCGCGGCAGCAAGGGGTCGTCCTCCCAGTCGAGACTGACACGCTCTTCGCCGAGCTCGAGAACAGCTGGACGGCTAGAGACACCCGCGAGTTTAGCAGTGTCTACCCTGTGTTCGCCATGACTCTCCAGGCCGATCGCACCACTCACCATCGCGAAGTCGCTCTTGATCGGTTTCTGGACAAGTGGGACGCCCTGCATCTCGACTAGCCCTTGCACCGAATGGTTTTCTTCATCTTGAGTAGTCTCTCCCCTGCATTATGAGCAGTTCTCCCCTTCTTCTGTTCTTCCTGTCTTCTGTAGGCTTCATCTCGGCAGGTTTTCTGCATGTGATCGTTTCAGGTAGATGGGCAGATCCCGAGGATCACATGACATTCCGGACCCTGGTAATGCACGTTGTATTCCTGCAGGCTGTGATTCGTCAGTCCCTGTCAGTGGGCTCCTTCCCAAAAGGGGCGCGTCGATCGTCGATCCGCAGCATAAAGTCGCGCCTTCCTGAAGAAGAAGAAGAAGAAGAAGAAGAAGAAGAAGAAGAAGAAGAAGGAAGAAAAAACAGTCTCTCCAGAGTCGGAAAGAGTCAAGAAGATGCACATTCACACTCTCGCTGCGCTGCTGCTTCCCCTCGGCTCTCAGGCCATTGATATCATCTCCTCCAATGACGATGGCTGGGCTGAAATCAACATCCGGGAGCTGTACAGTGCGCTGACTGATGCTGGGCACTCGGTGGTGATTTCGGCTCCAGCTGAGAATGAGAGCGGATCGGGTATGAGAATCGAGAAAGATAGTATTACTGTTATTGTATTTACTGTTGCTAACTGATATGATAGGCTCCGACACTGGTACTCCCACCGTCTTGACCGAAGAGTGCGAGTTCGACAGCTGCCCCGTCGGCAGCCCTGCGTACGGATACAACGCCTCTGAGCCTCGCTTCAACTACGTCAACTCGTACCCGGCGACGGCGATGCAGTACGGCATCGACACGTTGGGGCCCAAGTTCTTCGACGACAGCGCGCCTGCCCTCGCTGTGACGGGCCCTAACGTGGGGACCAACCTGGGGCTGGTCGTGCTCTTCTCCGGCACGGTGGGCGCCGCCGTCTCGGCCGCAGCAAGCGGTATCCCTGCGATCGCCTTCTCGGGCGACACAGGCTCGCAGACAGCCTGGGATGTGTCTCCCGTCCCGCTGTACAGCCAGGTGTACGCCGAGCTGGCCACCAACCTGACAGACCATCTGGTTGCCTCGGGGACGCCTTACCTGCCTGACGACATCTGGCTGAACGTCAACTTCCCGGCTGTCGACGACGACACCTGCAACAGCGCCGACCAGTTTAGTTTTGTTCTCTCCCGTATCTACACGGCTATTCCGCTCATCTCGGGCGATGACGTGGAGACGTGCGGCACTGACCGTCTGCCGACTGAGACTGAGGTCATCGACACTGCGGGCTGCTATGTGTCTGTCTCGGTGGGGAAGACTGACAAGCTGGATGCCGACGCCACCCTGCAGGCTGTTGTTTTGGATAAGCTGAGCGACCTGCTGGTGTGTTTGCCTTGAACATAGTCTGTATATACTATCACCATACATAATTCATATGCACATGATATTAGATGAGGTGGGAGATGGAAGATATGGTCATTAGTCATTTTAGTTAGGTGCATTCTACGAGAATATCTCTCTGTTAGGTATATAGAAGTCAATAGCTTCTTAGCAAGCTAGTTGTTAGATCCAATATGATTCTCTATCTATAGATTTTATAACCACATATGGAATTTGCTTTCACGAGAGTCAAAACTTCAATGCTGTATGACACCAATGAGCTGAATATCTCAAGCTAGGGGCAGTGATCATCTGTCGACTTGATACTGTCAGACAGGATATTCAGAGGGAGATGTGATCTGTCGATTGATAAGGGAATATAATAGGGTTGTTGTCATTTAGTGGGATTGTAGCACAGCGTGGCGTAGAGCAAGGGAGAGTCAGCAGAGAGATATGTTACACTGTTCTAAAGAATGGGATGCCTTGCTGATCCTTATCTTATTCACAGGTCAAGTACTATAAATCATCCAACTTGACTGTTGCTTCTTCTATTCAAAAGATAGTCAACCAGTTCTTAGAATCTCTAAATCATCAACCCTAACTTCCACTCAACATGGTTACCGTCGAGCAGATGCCCATCTATACCCAGAATGACCCCAAACCAAAAGGAAAGATACCCGCAGTCGAGAAAATCGAAGCAGACATGCGAGACAAGATCCGAAACATAGACGAACTCAACTCGGACTTTCTCTCCCCCCATGAGATGAACATCCCCTGGTTCAGCCATATCTCTGCCTCTCGCCAGTCCAAGTACTGGAAAAATGCACAGGAAACCACCGAGGCCTTTCTCCAAGCAATGTATACTCACAGCAAAGCAGAACTGCCCATAGAGCTGGACCGGGAGGACAAAGTCCCCTCGGAAATCCGGAAAGCGAAAGAGAAGGAGATTATCGAGACGGCAGTCAGATCTGCGGCGACGATGTTGCCGACTGCCAGTCCTGAGCGGGCTGTACTGCTTGCGCAGTCTATGCTGCTTGTCTTTTTGCATGATGGTATCCGCTGCATTCTTTCCTTTAAAAGTCCTTTTTGACCTTGATAGATGTTGTTGAGAATCTGGCACTCAGCGTAAGTATTTTCCTTGCACATACTATATCATTTATACTGTACTGTCAGTACTATATTAATGATGTAGAATTCCACTATCACGGACGAAATCATAAACACCTGGCACACACAGCAGATGGAGTCACCATCCCCCCTGGATTTATATGCCCGGAATGTCCTGCAGGAAGACAGCGTTATAGGAAAGGAACATTTGGAATCAACGCTTGCCTGGCTTCAACACACCCAGCGCCACCGCAAAAACCCCGTCACTTCGTTCGACTCGCTTAGGTCGTATCTCAATTTCCGTTCCGAGGATATAGGCATGGAGTGAGCATCCATTCCATTCCTTATACCAAGTCTAAGCACATGCTAATGCAACGCTATGCATAGATTCGTGCTCTCCATGATATCGTTCGCCTGCGGTGTTCATCTCAGCTTCATCGAGAGAGCGCAGCTCGGCAAGGTCATTGTCCTCTGCTCCGACCATCTGTCGCTAGTCAACGACGTCTACTCCTTTGACAAGGAGTACCGCGCCTTCCGGGAGGCAGGGTTCGATCTCATCAACGCCGTGCAGATCATTCGCTCCTTGTTATCCGTCGATATTCCCCGAGCAAAGCAGGTGGCTGTCAACACCATTCAGGACATCGAGGTCGAGATCCATGCCGAAGTGAAGCGGCTGGAGGACTCGAGCATCCTGACTCGCTCGCAGCAGGTGTTTTTGGATATGTTGATCTGTTGCATTGCTGGGCATACTTTTTACTCGGCGACGGCAATTCGCTTCAGACCTGTCTGATTTTTCTTTCTTTCTGTTTGAGATTGAACGTGGTATAGACATGAATGGTTCTAAATAGTTCTCCCTATGGAGAGAATGAAGACATCGTTTCTTATATCAAGAATAGCTGAGAAATGTTGCTGCCTCCGTCCGTCCTCTTTCGGCTGTCACGGGACCAGGCCTCAATCTCACCGCCAGAACTTCAACTCCATCTCCAACTCCAACTCCAACTTCAGCTTCAACTTCAACAACCTCCACTGAGACTCGCAGTCAGATGCTCACTCCTGAAGAAGAGCGTGGAAGCAGCAGATCAGGGTAAAGGTCGGTTGGATGGTTTACAGACAGCGTTCGAGCGTCTCTTCAACCTGGAGAACGAGCCAGTCAGCTGAAGAAGCGTAATAAGGTGAGTCTAGCTACGCTGAACGATGACACGAAAAGAACTGGTGCCAATTGTGGACGATAGCATGGTCAGAAAAGTCACTGCGTTGAAATTGATTCGCTCTTCCCACTAATCATCCGTCACTAGATCCATCCCAGTCATCTTTTCCCTCCTGATATCCAGGTTATCCCCTCAGCGTTTAGCCGCTTACACTGAACGAGGAAGTCGACTTCAAAAGTTGATTTGTTGATTACGACGCGGCATATATTGCAGTGCAAACAAGCCTGTAACACCTCCTGTCGACTGCTCTGTCCTAGTGACATATTGCTGATTATCAGGGAAGACCTGATGAAGAATCCCAGACCAGATGCCTGTAACTACGACTCTAGCTCAGTGCAAGCCGTGCGCCGTTGGCTGGGAGTACTACTGCTTATTAGTGACGATCTTATGACAACCTTTTGTACTTACTGTTCCCTGGATGGGCTCTTGAGCTAGACTATCGGAGGCATATCGTTGCAACGAATGTAGAGTTTTTGGAAGGCTGGAAGAAGGAAGAAATGACTATTTTAAAAGATTTTGAGAAAGCTGAATAAAAGGAACCATCTGATTTATATAGGTACTTTGATGATATTCACTAGGTCTGATAGTATTCACTGATCTGTTTCAGAACGGAAAGGATACGAGATCGGTTCCACATGCCCACAGAGTCACCCAAAACGCTCTTACCACAGACCATCATAGTGAGAAGCGGCCAGTCAATCGTCTCTGGAGCTGTCACTGCCCTGTCGTGAGCCTCGAAAAGATCTGCAGGCAGGTGGGACAGCCAGAATGGAACAGGGAGAAACTCGCCAAAGGCAACCAGCATATTTCGCACACTAGTGAGATCCATCAAGTCACAAATGGTAAATTTGAGCTCTAGAGGCCAGGAGAAGTGTGTCAAAAGGTAGATTTTATCAATTGTATGTTCTGCTTATAGTTTGATACCAACATACCAGCCCTTCTGCTGCTGGAAAGGCATGGAGAGCTCTGCAGCCGCCAAATGGATAGCAAAGGGCCTCTGACGGGGTTTTTTCCATCTTGCACGTTCATTCCACCGTTGCTGCCATTCTTCCTTCTCTGACATGAGCAGCGCCGGAGCCCCAACCGGCCAGTAGTCTTCGCTTCCAGAAGATGGCACATATCTAGCAGTAATAAGGCCGGGGAATTGTATTTATGATACTATTCAGCTAGATCTTCTACTGGTGAAGTACTCGGTAGTGACATAATCCTGACACTTATAGTATATTAACCTTGAAATCCTATTTCTATATTCAACTCATCTGCTAGTTTATTAGACTATACGGAGTATACTACTAATACAGTCCTTACTATTCTATTATCCACTAGCACTGATTGAGAGATATGGATGGCCATGGATTATTTATAAGTTTTCCTAAGCTTTTGGGGCCGAATCCTGCAATTGATTGAAGACTGTCGATCACGAGCGAGAAGAGATCGAATGGACAGAGGCCGACGGCCGAGAGAACGCAGAGGGTTGATGGGGGCGATAGCCAGGGGCAGGGATGGGAATATCCAACAGTCTGAGTCTGACTATCACCAGAATACTCGGACTCAACCTCAAACTCAGCCTGCACAAAGCAAGAAAATGCAAAAAGATGTGCTGTACCTGTTGGTGGTCAGTCTGCCGACCAAGGAAGAAGTCGATGAGTCGGTGGTTCAGCTGGAGCAGACGATGAACAGTCATAGTGGACAGTATGAGCAGTATAGATATTGAAATTATTATTCTATTCTTATTCTTATTCTATACTCTACACTATTGATAGATTACGTTATACTTCCAGTGGGTCGATTTGGAATCATTTCATATTCTGACTCAACGTCACCACCACAGAGAATATAAATAAGACCATAGAGGATACGATTCAAGTCAGGTCAATAATCAACTGACATTGACAATTAATTGTATCAATAAAATGGCTGCTATTAAACCCCCCTTTACCTTTGAAACGGCCACGCAAAAAGTCAAGGCCGCCCAGGATTTATGGAACAGCCAGTGAGTTTCCATTACTATTATTCAACTATTTATCTATATTATCTATATCTACCTCTGTTAACTATTAAAGGGAACCTACGAAAATCGCCAAAGCGTATACTCCCGACTGCATCTGGCGCAATCGCACGGATTTCCTCCGCGGAACCGACGCGATCGTGGCATTTCTCACTGCCAAATGGAACCGGGAGAAATCGTATCGTCTGCGCAAGGAACTCTTTGCCTTCACCGACAACCGCATCGCGGTGCAGTTCTGGTACGAGTACCGCGACGGCAGCGACGGCGACCGCTGGAAACGCTGCTACGGCCTGGAGGACTGGACGTTTGATGCCGAGGGGAAGATGTGCAAGCGGATGATGAGTGGGAACGATCTTGTCCTGGGGGAGGGCGAGCGGTGGTTTGTTGAGGGAGTGGACGTTGATCTGGTTTCGATTGGGGAGAGCCATTGGTAATTGGATAGTTATCAGGTAATAGTACCACATAATAGTAATTGTTTACCATAGTTGAGACTGGAGACTTTAATTAGTCTAATTAATTAAGATTATTGGGTTTAACTAATCATTAAGACTAATGGGTTTAACTAGAAATAGTGGGAAGCTTATCTTTAATAAGGCCATATTATAGATAATTTCGTAAATAGCATAGCAAGTAATAATAGTATAGCAAGTGATAAATTGTTTTGACTAGAGAATCTCACGTGAGTCACCAAGGACAACCTCATCTTCCCTCCCCCTCCCTCCCTCCCTCCCTCCCTCTCTCTCTCTCATCTCTCTCATCCCTCCCATTCTTCTGACATCACTCGCATTCTCAAATTCCAGGTGAGACACTGGAATATCTCATGACAAACAGCGATAACTTATCTCCAGATAACCTCCCCCACCTCTCCCGTCCTTACTCCAGCAATGATCGACACCTTCCCCTGTCGCTGGGCCAGATTACTCGCACTCCCTACTCTCCGCCAGATAGGCTCCTGCTGGCCTATCAGCCCATACTGCTTCGACAATGCAACCGTCGGATGGAGGACGTGGAGGCGGAACATGCCCGATCGCCGTTTGCGGTCGTGACATCGGACCCTTATCACCCCGCGTATCTTGCGACTGACTACTTTGATGAGACCACAAAAAAAGAAGGGAAGATAAGCTGGAGTAGAAAAGGTTCCCTTCGGACAGTATTTGCTGCCAGACAGAATCACTCTCACTCTTGACCCCGTCGCCATGGCTTCTCCCTCTCCCTCTCCCTCTCCCTCCCCCCCAGCCAAAACCCCCGGCTGCGACGCCCTGGCGAACAAAATCCCCAGCAATGTCTCGGCACCGGCAGAGGTCGTCGAGGTCGCCCGTGTGGTTGACCACCAGGCAGAGCGGGCGCTGTGTCGCAAGTTCGACCTGCGCTTGCTCCCGGTCTTGGCTGTGATGTGTAAGTCGGATCTAAGTATTCTATCTGCACTTCCAAGCTAATTGCAGAGACCTCTTCAATGCGCTTGACAAAGGAAATCTCGCCAATGCAGAGACTGCCGGTCTCAGCGAGGGTATGTCCATGCTTCAGTACCTCGTAGATACGAGATACATTCTAATTGGTCAGACCTGCATTTCAAATCCGGCCAGTACAACCTGCTGGTGTCCATCTTCTTCGTCCCGTACGTGATTTTCGCTCCGCCCATCGCCATGGTGGGCAAGCGCTTCAGTCCGGCCCGCGTGCTGCCCGTCCTGATGTTCTGCTTCGGCTGCTTCACGCTGATCGTCTCCGCGACGAGCAACTTCGCCGGCCTGTTCGCCCTGCGCTGGCTGCTGGGCATGTCCGAGGCCGCCTTCTTCCCCCTGGTCATCTACTACCTGACCACCTTCTACCGCCGCGGCGAGCTGGCCCGCCGCCTGGCCATCTTCTACGCCGCCTCCAACGTGGCCAACGCCTTCTCAGGCCTCATCGCCTTTGGCGTCTTCCAGATCCAGCACCCCACCATCGCCCCCTGGCGCTACCTGTTCATCATCGAGGGCAGCGTCACCCTGCTCTTCTCCATCTTTGCCTTTTGGTACCTGCCGCTCAGCGCGGGGCAGGCCGCCTTCCTCTCCGCCGAGGAGAAGGCCCTGGCCTTCCACCGCATCCAGGTCGACTCGAGCGCCGTCGTCAACGAGCCGTTCCGGCTGCGCGAGGCCCTGGCCATCTTCCGCTCCCCCGCCACCTACGCCATCCTGGCCATCGAGATCTGCCTCGGTGTCCCGCTGCAGGGAGTCTCGCTGTTTCTGCCGCAGATCGTCGAGCGGCTGGGCTACTCGACCGTGCGCACCAACCTGTACACGGTCGCGCCCAACGTCACGGGCGCCGTGATGCTGCTGGTGCTGGCCTTTGCCTCGGACGCCACCCGGCTGCGCTCCCCCTTCATTGCCCTGGGCTTCCTCTTCACCTTTTCGGGCTTCATGATCTACGCCGCCATCACCGACGTCCAGGCCGAGATCCACCTCGCCTACTTTGCCACCTTCATGATGACCTGGGGTACCTCCGCCCCCTCCGTGCTGCTGAGCACCTGGTTCAACAACAACATCGCCCACGAGGGCCAGCGCATCCTACTGACCAGCTTGGGCGTGCCCCTGGCCAACCTCATGGGGTTGGTCAGTAGCAATGTCTTCCGCAGCCAGGATGCCCCCAAGTACATGCCCGCCTTGATCACCATCGCCGCGTTTGGCGCCACGGGAGCCGTCATCACCGTGTGTTTAGGTACGGCCATGTGGATCGACAATCAACGGCGCGACCGCCGGGCGGGCGTCAAGGTCGACGCAAGGGATGTGCCTACCGAGCGCTTACGAGACGGGCCCGCGTCTGATGAATTCCGGTGGTTTTTGTAGAAACAATCTCATCTTCACTTTTCTTCTTCTTCTACTACTACTCTACTTTTCGCTCTTTTTGCTCAGCTCAATCTCCGAACCAGCCAAATCTTCCCCCAGCACCTCCCCCCCAGCCATGACAGGCCTACAATCCTGCAGAACAAACAACATGCGTAACCACTCCGTCTCACTCGTATTGCGCCACCCATGCATCGTCCCCCGCTGGACGGCGACATCCCCGCGCCCGAGAATGACCGTCTCGCCCGAATCGAGAATCATCTCGACCTCCCCCTCGAGCACAACGCCGTAATCCAAACTCTTGGTCCGATGGATCAACGCTTTATTGCCCGGCGCAAAGTCCACGATCCGACACACCGTGCCGCCCGGCTGAACCAGGCGCAATTTGCCCGAGGAGAGGAGGTCGTCGTGTGCCTTGATGTCGGCCTCGCCGTTGAGATCGACGGGGAACGAGGAGGTCGTGTACACCACGTCAAAGGCCAGGGAGTCGTCGTCGTACCGGACCCATTGCGCGGGCACAGTCGAGTGGATGATTGCCTGCCCGGAGGCGTTGTGGCTTGTGATATAGCTTGTGAGGGGGCGGAGAGCCATGATATTTGTAAAATACTCGATGCTTGATGCTCGATACTTGATACTCGATGCTTGATACTTATAGGATGAAGAGCACTTTATAGTCTTGTCTGCCACGTCACAGGCTGGATTGAAATATCGGTCAGTAGAAAGTATAATGTAATTCGGCCCCCATCTCACCAACTGTAAGGATTTGCCTTACATGCCCCTAAGAGGTACTATATAGGGCCCTGGAGGCCAGAATAGGATAATCGCGGCTGATATTAACCTTCGTCCCCAGGTGCTAGTTAGTGCTTACACCAACACTGTAACACATCCCCAACACCAACAAATTTGAATCAATTTGACCACCACCATGCTGAAGAAATCAATTATTAATTGAAAAGAGTAAGAAGGGCGTCTTCTTTAAGCTGTCAAGGCTATTAAAAAGTCATAAATCATATGTATCTATAACGCTTTATATATCTTTAAAGTCCCTTGATTAACCTTCTGCAGGTGCCTAAAAGACTGCATTTTTCACTAGAATATAAGCACTAACACCTAGCTAGAGATACTAGACTATAAGACTAAAAGGTTAATATCAGCCGCGACTATTCTGGCCCCCAGTCTAATAGTGATGGTGAGGTTATTCAGGAGATGCCTCAGGCTAACTATAGTAAATAGACATACTATCCCTATTTTAGCTTAGTGGATATTAGGTTCTCTCTCTCTCTTTAGCAGCCACCAAGGGATTATTCTATTAAATTTGGGCCATCACACTAAGGAGTA